TGAGTTTTCGCCAGTGGGAAGTGGGCCATTTTCCAGTTTAAAGCGGAGGAAAAATAATAACTAGGGCCCCGTTGGGGCACTGGCGGGCCCGAGCCGTGTCACGCCGCCCCCAGCGCGACCGCCTCCCCCACCCGATCGCGTCACACTCAAGGTCCAAAGATGGTGTGCGCACTTGTTTGTGGTCATTTACCATTATAATGAACGGGAGGCGCAGTTTCTACCAAAACGCTCGCTGCAGAAAAACTCCATGTCCTATTTGAAAAAAGTCTGGACCATGAGTGAGGGCACAAACACAGCTAAGATATATCCAAATGGCAAGTTGCTCCTCCTTTCGCTTTTGCCGAGAGAGCAGTGCGTTTGAGCCATTGAATGATGAACAGGAAAAACTTGACTTTATTCTCCTGCCATGGGGGGGCGCTCTTTTGGAGAGAAAAAACTCCTTCACAAATGTGTTGATGGCTGGACATTGCATCATCCTAGAAAACATGGAGGCCAGTGAGGACAAAAATAAAAAGTTATAAGACTTTTAAATATGTGGATTTTAGGGTTATATTTGGCGCCCCCTAGAACCTAAACCGTGGGGTGCAGCGTCATGATTTGAATAACTTTTAATGGCCATGGGGTGTAGATTGGCCTGAGCAAATGTTGTGCCAGTGGCACGAAAGCCTTCGGAGGAATTAGCGAAATTCCAATGTGTGCGAATCTGCAAAAAATGCGAAATAACCCTTTAACCGTACATTTTACAGATACGTGGCCATTGACTTTTTCGAAGATCTTATGTAAATACACGTGTATGTAAAATTTTGTGTCAATACGACAAAACATACAGGCGTAGCACTCAACAATGTGTATTTTCACCTTAGTGGACAAGAAAAAATTGACTTTTTTCTCCTGCCATGGGGGGGCGCTCTTTTGCCGAGTAAAAATTCCTTCACAAATGTGTTGATGGCTGGACATTGCATCATCCTAGAAAACTTGGAGGCCAGTGGGGACAAAAATAAAAAGTTATAAGACTTTTAAATATGTGGATTTTACGGTTATCTTTGGCTCCCCCTAGAACCTAAACCGTGGGGTGCAGCGTCATGATTTGAATAACTTTTAATGGCCATGGGGTGTAGATTGGCCTGAGCAAATGTGGTGCCGGTGGAACGAAAGCCTTCGGAGGAGTTAGCGAAATTCCAATGTGTGCGGATCGGCAAAAAATGCGGAATAACCCTTTAACCGTACATTTGACAGATACGCGCGCATTGACTTTTTCGTAGATCTTATTGAGATACATGTATGTGTCAATTTTTGTGTCATTTTGCCAAAGCGTACAGGTGTTACACTCAACAATGTGTATTTTCACCTTAGGGGACAAGAAAAAATGGACTTTTTTCTCCTGCCATGGGGGGGCGCTCTTTTGGGGAGTAAAAATTCCTTCACAAATGTGTTGATGGCTGGACATTGCATCATCCTAGAAAACTTGGAGGCCAGTGAGGGCAAAAATAAAAAGTTATAAGACTTTTAAATATGTGGATCTTAGGGTTATCTTTGGCGCCCCCTAGAACCTAAACCGTGGGGTGCAGCGTCATGATTTGAATAACTTTTAATGGCCATGGGGTGTAGATTGGCCTGAGCAAATGTGGTGCCGGTGGAACGAAAGCCTTCGGAGGAGTTAGCGAAATTCCAATGTGTGCGGATCGGCAAAAAATGCGAAATAACCCTTTAACCGTACATTTGACAGATACGCCCGCACTGACTTTTTTGTAGATCTTATTGAGATACATGTGTGTGTCAATTTTTGTGTCATTTTGACAAAGCGTACAGGCGTGACAGTCAATAGTGTGAATTTTCACCTTAGGGGGCGCTATGGAGCCATTTTGCATTTTCTTGTTTGGGCGACTTCGGAATATCAAATTTTTCACCAGGCCCGGTCGTCCTGCCAAATTTCATGAGTTTTCGCCAGTGGGAAGTGGGCCATTTTCCAGTTCAAAGGGGAGGAAAAATAATAATAATAATAATAATAACAAAAGAAGGAAACTACAGGAACAAGAGGGCTCTCGCAGCTGCTTAGCAGCTACGCTCGGGCCCTAAAGAAACAAAGAAAAACCCCTTGGGGAATAATAGGGCTCTCGCAGCTGCTTAGCAGCTACGCTCGGGCCCTAAAGAAGAAGAAAGAAGAATCCATCAGGAATAATAGGGCTCTCGCAGCTGCTTAGCAGCTACGCTCGGGCCCTAAAGAAACAAAGAAAAACCACTTGGGGAATAATAGGGCTCTCGCAGCTGCTTAGCAGCTACGCTCGGGCCCTAAAGAAAGAAACAAAGAAAAACCACTTGGGGAATAATAGGGCCTACGCCCGGCTGCTCTGCAGCTGGCTCGGGCCCTAAAGAAGGAAACTACAGGAACAAGAGGGCTCTCGCAGCTGCTTAGCAGCTACGCTCGGGCCCTAAAAAAAGCATAATCACTTGGATAAAAGAGAAGTAACAAGCAGAGAAGTGCAATGTGGCGAAATAAGAGTTGTGTTTCATCTTTATAAAAATACTCAAGTACATGTTAAAAGTATTGTGCATTAAAGTTAAACATAAAAGTACAATTTATATTTTTTTAAAAATATACCCAACTAAATGTAACGGAGTAAATCAAAATACACACCTCTGATGATGGCCTGAACACCCGAGCACGCCACACACCATGGGTGCTAATCTGTGTTAGCAGCTTAGCTTCCTACTTTATATTTTTTAAAATATGCACATCAATTCTTGAGCAAAGTGTCTCTTACAGTAATCTAGAGTGAATTTCCTATCAGCCACTTCGAATCCACTCCAAATGACTCTCCTGCCACCTCAGCATTGAGTGTTTCAGTGCGTGCAAACTTTATCTATAGGCTCTGAAGCAACAGAGTGGGGGTGTGGTCTGAGGAAATATTTTTCTAATAAATCATAAAGGATCTTTAAAAATCAGCATGCAGTGAAGTGAGGAGTATTTCTTTTTTCATTCTTGCAAGTACCTGAAGTACACACAGCTTGACTGCTAATGGCTCAGCGGTAAATCACATCTCACACCATGGGGCTGACTCTAGATTATCTTGAAGTGCTTGGTTATTTGTCTTGTGCTGCTAAAGCCAATCCATAAACCACACACATAGGTTATTGCTAAAACCTCCACTCCACGGCTTTAAAAAGCGTTGACCTTCACTGTTCAGCCAGCTTTAACTTGGAGTGAGAGGAGATAACCCGAGCTTTTGAGAGGTGCTACAGCGCTGCAAAGAAGAGACAAGCATTTTTTTTTGTTTGTTTGTTTTGTTTTTGTCGTAGTCTGGTACACGGGACTTGTAGGACACAACAGTACAGCAACTAAGCAAATGAATACATACATCTGGAACAATGATCATTTATAAATGAAGGTTTACATACAGAAAGGAGAGCTACAAGATAGTGATGGGCATGGCAGTTCTTTTAGATGTACTGAATCACTAGAATCAGTTCATTAAAAAGATTCGTTTGAAAGATTTGTTCACCGAATCATTCAGCACTTGGCGGGAGGAGCCTGTGACTCCAACTTTCTGAACTGATACACAGCTGAACAGTTCAAGATTCAGTTAAAATCATATTCTCCCTCTGCCACTCCTTTCAAGAGCTTGCTACAGCTGGTGATTCTCACTCTCTTCTCATTACTTCCAGCCTAACATTTTTTTTTTTTTTTTAAGTGGGAACTAAATCTGTAAAAACAACAGGTAACAATGGTCACCATGAAAGTGTGAGCGGTACCTGGCTCGTCTGGCAATGCTACATGCCATATCAGCTGCACTGCTGACAGCTCAACTGCAGTGAGAAATGAACGAACCACTTGAGGAAGTGATTCGGTTCAGTACGTTCACTGAAAAGATTTGGTTCTTTTGAACGAATCATTCGCGAATGACACAACTCTATTATAGGAACCCTGACACAGTGGCAGAAGGAGCCAGAAGTCAACAGCCGAGCCAATAGTCCAGTACAGTCAACAATCAATCTGAGCACAGAGCTGGACACATGAGGACATTAATGTCCTTGTTAAATCTCTCCACTACTCAGTTACGCACACAAACAAACATACTAACAGAAAGAGAAACAGGTAACCAAGATTACCAGAGGTGCCAGCCAAAAGCTCTGAGAGCTGCTGCCAAGTTAATCAACATGGTCCAGGAGCAAACCAGAGGGCTCCACTCACCAAGAGCAGGTGGCAAGTCAGACAGCCAGACAAACAAACAGACAGACAAACAAAACCTCCCATGTGTTCTTGTGGCTCTGTTGTGGTTTCCACCATGTCTTTTAGTTATTGGATTGTGTCACAACAAAGCCTGGCACACACAGTAATAAATTTTGAAAACCTGAACATCTTTGGAAAGTCTCAGCGGCCTCACACATGATTAAAAATGGTGACAGATTTGACAGTTTGCTCCTTCAGGATGTGATGTGCAACGACATGGTGAACATAGCGGACCACGCACGTATCAATTCTTTTTACTAACTCTTAAAACTGGTAATCTTGTAATATCACTCACTGTCATCGAAGCTTAGAAGTAAACAAGGGAAGCTATTTGGTATTAGCCTCCTGGTTGCAGTAGGATTTCTTTTCAATGCTGCCTTTTGTTATATGTTTGTGGTATACACTAACAGTATGCCATTGCTATGTATCAACAAGTAAGCTCTGCATGCTGACATTTGTCTCAAATTACACTTTCTTCTTACTTTTTTTGCCATGGCTGCATTTGTTGTGGTTCCTTCTTTAGTCATCTTACTTGCAGATGGGTATGGTTTTGCCCTACATGACAATGGAAAGAGTGAATGCCCAGCTACCTTGGGGGAATCCCCGCACAAGGATTTCTGATCATAAATATTGATCATGTTTAATATCTGTGTCAAGTCTGGACAGCTCTGATCATCTTCCATGCAGATTAGAGGGAAGACTCAGACACAACAAGATAATCCAAATTAATAACTTTCAGAACCATCAGACAGTAGGCCTTTGCTGACTTCAATCAGAGGGGGTAAATCGGCTCCAAGTCAGCATGATTGTCTTGGAGTGTGTGCCCTGCTTAAGCCTTTTGTTATTTCTCCTTTAAAATCTGCTCCTGGGTCAGGTGCGGCAACAAAATGATTAATTTAAAACAATTTTATGCATTAAAAAAAGGATCTCCAAAGTATGACCTCTGGCTGACTCTTCCTTTGGTGTAGAGAGCGAACAACTAAACTTATTACTTTGTTCCTTTTCTATGGAAAACAGAAAAACAACAATTTATATGGAAATTACACCCAAATCCTATATTCTTTTCAACAATAGGAGGAACTTTGGCTTAATAAGTGTATTTTTTTTTTCTCTTGGAAAGTGTTGCACTGAAACAAACTAAGTCTAATGTTGCTAAAAGCCAAGGTTCACTAAGGTATTTATACAATAAGCCATTTTATTCATGATCCTCTATCTGTGTCAAATTATCAGCATCTGTCTGAATAACACAAAGATAGAAACTGAAGTTTAACCCTCGGTATCATTTAAAATATATTACACTGGTTTTGGAATCATTGCATTTGCTCCCTGTGTGGTTTAGGATCGATTTTAAGGTTCTTTTACTTGTTTTTAAATGTATCAATGGGTCTCTGGCCTTCTTATCTCTCAGAACTGCTTTTAGGAACCTCCTCTGGCAACAGGCTCTTAGTCATTCCCAAGTCAGGACACACACTCACAGGGAGGCGTCTGTCCAGTATCACAACCCTCATCTTTGCAGCCTGCCAGAGGACCTCAGGGTTGCAGAGGACGTTTATGTTTCCAAGAGTGGGCTCAAGGCCCACCTCTTTAGCCTAGCTGTTGATTAATATGTATTTATTTGATCTTCATTTATGCTGGTTGCTTAGGTTTCTTATTCCATATTTATCTTTGCCTACCTACATTATTTTAAAGTCTGTGTTTTATTCATATTTTAGTTTTTTTAACTTATTTTTATCCTTTAATAATCTTTAGGACCCATAGTGTTTCCTCTTGGGGAGCCCTCTGTGGTCTGGGGGCCTGTCTCGTGGATTCCTGGTGGAGGTTGGTGGCTGCTCCAGCTGTCCTCTGGGCCATGTGTCAGTGTCCTGTGGCTGTGGGCGGTAAGGCAGTTGTGGGGGTAGGCTCATTGGGGGGAAGGGCATGTGAGATTGTTTTTAATGGACAGCAGGTAAATTTGTGTGACAACTTTTTGTATGATAAGTGCTACATAAATAAAGTCTGGTTATCCCTAGAACACTAACGCCAGGTGATTTTCACCCGACCAAATATGTTTACGTGATTTTCATTATGTTGCGTTTGTCTGAGTATCATGTGTCCCTGGGTAGCTTCAGCATTGCCTTTGACATCTTTAAAGGCATATTTGTTTCCCTGATCCAAAACCTGCTTTTTCCTACAGGTACATGTTCAGGTGATTTTCACCCGGCAAGAGTGATAGAGGGTAAAGTAGGTTTAGGTGGATTTGAAAGCTGCATGTAGGGAAAAAAGGTCAGTAAGAGTGGTCCTGGAATTTGCGTGCTATCTTTATTTAGCGCAGTGGTTATGAATAACTAGAACAAAGTAGTGTTTTTCAAGAGAATTTATATGGTGATAAGAAATATTGTAGTCAGCTGGTCATTTTTACTTACTCAAAATCTGCCATATTTTGGTTCTCTCCCCTGCAGCTTTTATTGTGCCAAGGACCCTGAGTGGGAAGACTCACATGCTCCAGGAATGGGTGGAAAAGGAACTAAGTTTACTCATATATATATATATATATATATATGTGAATATTTTTGTTCATGAATGCCTATTTTCAGTTATTATGTTGCATTTTTTATAGTCCCCTAATGGTACATTGTTTTGGGTAAAAATCCCCCAGCGATAGTGATAGAGTTACCAATTTTAGCAATAGTGTTCTAGGGTTAATTGATTGATTGACTGAGTAACACAAAGTTTCTATATCATTATGAGCTGCTTTTTAGTCCTGCATTAGAAAAAAAATGATGCTGACAATAGTGTCTTCTACTCACTTACATTCTCCTTCATTTTAGGGTCAGGGTTCTCTTTTTTTGGCAGATCCTGGGGAATCACTTTGATCCCCACAAATCAAAGCTGCACACACAGCCTGTGGGAGCTGTAATACATGAGTGAAAAACACTGGCCATTAGTAGCCCTCTGAAGCACTGCCTGTTTATCATCTTGTGTAACCAGCAAAAATGCTAAGATCAAGTATTTATATCCTTCAGTGAGGCATTTTTCAATCAATCCCTGTGAACGTTTGCCCTTCTCAGATTGTCACCAGTGAAGGAAAACTATGGAGCTCTGCTTCAGGAGCTGTCCAGTGCTGAAACTGCATAAAGAGCCCACAGGGAGCCTTTCTTTTTCTGAGCATTAACTCAGACAGGAAAACGCCAACATAATGGCAAACTAAACAGCTGTGAAGTGCTTGCTTCTCCTCCAGGGTGTTTTTTGAAGTGACTGATAGAGACATAGTCCCAACTCTTGTCTAATGAGAGGATGCATCACAACCAGCTGTAAGACAAAGGAGAAACCGAAAGTAAAGGTATCTGCACTTAAACCTATCAAATCCACAATCCCTCCTTCAATCAGTGGAAGATACCAAAATGTGCCTGGGTCATTAAATCTGCAGACAGAAACTGTTACCAGCTGTCATGATTTATTCATGGTATTTATATAGGAGAATTGCCTCCTTTAAATAAAACATTTGGTGTGAGAGGGGTGCTGGGGGAAAGAAAGGGTTTTAATGACTGTTCAAGATCTGCAGCTGGAAGGACTGGATTAAAATACTTTTCCTCTGCCTTGGGGCCTCTTGGGCTCAGTCTGCTCTGAGACTGGCCATTAATGGCTCATCTGAGCTGCTCATTTGCTTTGCTCTTGATGGCTGATTTAACATGGTTGATGCCAGACCTTTATGTCTCGAGTCAAGGTAAAGCTAGCTGCACATTTAGGCTATGCCCAACTTGCTTATTGGTAACAGGATGGAGATGTGGAGTGACATGGAACTATTGATCAGGTAGAATGTTTTCTGATAGGCCAAGGTGTGGTCTTCATGAGGGCATCGAAACAACCATTTTACTGTGGCTAGCTGCTCTGAAAGAGTCACTATTTGCTTACTTTTATTGTAAATGAACCTGAATGGACTGGGCAGCACAAATCACATCATTTCACCAGCATTCATACAAAAACAATAGATTTATATTTTATTTTATTTTATATTTTATTTTATTCTATTTACTTTGCTGCCTTGTTGGATCAAGATTTTCTACATCTATTAAGTAATTTCTCTCTGCAGTAGTCCTCTAGGATTAAACCAGCGTCTTCTATCACTAAAGCTAAAAAAGGGGCATCTGTGTGAACCAGAGAAAACAATCCAACAACGCTCAGTGTGTTTACATGTACAGCTTAATCGGACTAAGCTCATAATTCTTTTGTTTTGTTGAATCGGACTTCTCTCCTTGTCTGCGTAAACATGCAGCTGAGGAAATTAAACTATTGATGTTAATATGTCCTTCTCCCCAAAACTAGGGGGTGATTTGGATCTTTTCAGCGGCGCTGTTTCCGACCCCATACAACTGTCAACAACATCATCAGGTCCGTGCCAGACATCAGAAGTGGCTACAACTGCTGCTGGGCATTTTCAACAGCGTTGTTTTTGTTGTAGGTGATGTACACATGGCTGGTCCGTGCATATAGGCGAACAAGGAAGCTGATTAGAGCGGCAAATTGCAGGGGCGACACTGGCGGGGGGGAAAATATGAAGGAAAAAAAAAAGGTGGTGGCTGGCAGACATAATGTGTGCAACAAGGCCCGCCGTGTTCATTTCTGAAAGGTAAGAAGCCCAGTACCTTTTTTATTTGCTGTGATTGGTTACAGGTTGGGTTGTTGTTGTTGTGTTTGAGTTTCTGACTGCTGTGCTGCTGCACACATTTTGTTTTGTGCCTGCCTGGTGGGTGTGCTTAAGTTGTGTATAGGGTTATACACACAACGGCTGTGCTGTATTTCCTCCCCTGACTGTGCGTGTGTTTTTGGTTTAACAAATAGCCTACACTTATTATTCAGCTGTGGTTCACTCCACAGTGATTGGTATTAAATTCAGCACAATGGACAGCGGCAGCGTTGTGTGCGTGCGTGTGTGTGTGTGTGTGTGTGTGTGTGTGTGTGTGTGTGTGTGTGTGTGTGTATGGCTGAAGCAGGCAAGCAGCTTTAGCGTAACAATGATTGAGCTACATGCTCTCTTTTTTGTCATTTTCGGTCTGTGTGTGTGTTTTACTGTTGCTGTGCTGCTGTTTTTTTCGTCTGTTCGTGCACCTGACCGTGATCTTAAAGACTGCCAGTGTTAGCTGTACTGCGCGTGTATGATCAATAAAATAAATACTTTGGAGCAGGGGCAGACTGGAGGCGAAAAGTGGACCAGCCCCGGCCGGGGCTCAGGGGCGGCTCCAACGGAGGTTGACTAGAGCGGCACTCATTGCTCAGCTGGCCCTGGATGTACACATTACTTTCTCCGCAGATGAGGTGCATGCTACTCCTCTTTTCTGGTGTTTTTGATCTGGGGTTACGGGGGCGTGGCGCATTCGCACATGCATTTCCCAATCATACTCCGACTACGCTGGTTACATGGTCAAGAAAATCAAATTCCAATTGCATTATCTGGTTGTCTTAACCGGAGATCTACAACTCCAATTGGAGTTCTCAAACTCCGATTATGGTCGGACTAAAGTGTTTACATGCACTTCCGTTGTGCAGTCTTAATCAAAGTAAGGCAATTATTCGGTTTTCTCGAGTGTCATGTAAATGTAGTGACTGACATTCCAGCAAAAATCAAATCACCCAATTATATATACCTCTGGTTTCAATGTAGAATTACAAGGATTAAAGTCAGATTAAGGCAACAACTGAATTGAATGTAACAGGATCAAAGCTAATTGCAGCAAACTACAGGATTTGTATAGAAGGGTCTTCTCAAGCATCTATATCCAGCTAGATCCTCTGTAATGATACTGTGCAGCTGTTTGGCTGCTTTCCCTTTCTTTCATCACAAGTCAGGGTAGCTCCAATTGTTCTGATCTTGGCAGATGGGCCACTTGTCTGAATATTCTTATCTTTGCTGAATGACTGTAGGGATTTAGTTTCCTGTTTACTTGCTTGGACACTGCTCAAGTGCAAAATTGAAATCCTGCCCATTAAGACTTCTACAAGTGTGTGCACCAAGCTGAGCACAGACAGACAAAAAGGACAATTTATTGAAATATGTGCAACACAACCCCAAGGGAAGAGCAAATATTCTCAAAACCTTAACAGTCTTTCATTTTTCTTTCTGTTTTTGCTCTGCCCACAGTCGGAATAGAGCCACTAATAAGAAGAAGCAGTAAACCTCTCCTGATGCACTGCTCTTGCATTGTAAAGCTTATAACACAGAAATTGTGAAAACAGGGACAGTGAATGGACAAAAGCTAAAAAAAGGATCTATTTCTCTGAGAACAATGCCATTAAAACAGCAGAGTCTGCAATCCAGAGCAAGAGACGAAAGTCAAGAGACTGGTGTGAGAAGACAAAGACAGAGAGACAAATAAAATACATGGTTTGATATAAATCTGTGTCCAAGAGGCAGAAAAATAAAAGTCTGCAAAATTACTTGAAAAGCAATTTATTGAAGAGCCAGTTCCTGTTAGCCTAACAGGAGAAGGGGGTGCTTGAAGTACACCAATGATATTCAAGGACTTTACATAGAAATGAGCAGCAGTTCACACACATATACACATAAAAGCATGCAGATGTATGCGCAGCCAGTGAGAGGCAACATTTTATCTGCAGACAGTCAAAGAATAAGAATAAGTTAGATGCTGCACCGCATCAGCTAGAAACAGAAGCTCCTGATCCGTTAAACAGTTTGTCTGCTGGGACCAGCTTGGCCACAGTCACTGAGAAGTGTTCACACCTAACACCACAGTCAAATACAGATCACATATTTTACACTGGGATGGATTAAGTGTCAGAGGAAAGGACAAACAGTGGGGCAAAAAAGTATTTGGCAGCCACCGATTCTGCAAGTTGTCCCACTTAAAAAGATATGAGAGGTCTGTGATGTTCATCATAGGAACACTTCAAATGTGAGAGACACAGTGTAAAAAAAAAATCCAGGAAATCACATTTCATGATTTTTAAAGTATTTATTTGTATAATGGTGCAGAAAATAAATGGCAAATAAATAGTTTATTAATGTAAGTTAATAGTTACTTTACCGTTTACAAGCAATTAAACTATGATTAATAATTTTCATTAAATTATTAATGGACTGTTTATTAAAGGTTTAGTAAATGTAAAACATCTAGATTAAAATTTGTGTCAGTAGCACTTTGTAAATGATTAAGAAGGGGTTTATAAACTGCCTATAAACATTACTAAGATGGTTATTCTAAATTTAGGGTTAGGGTTTGGGTTAGGTTTTTAAAATTGTAAAATTTACAATTTATTAATGGTCTATATATCATTTTTAAATCATGACTATTAATAAACTATCTGCTTACCATTTATAAATGGTATATTTACCATTTATAAGTTATGGTTATTGTAAAGTGTTACTTTTTTCTTTTTTTTTCTTTTTTTTTTTTGTATTTTTGTAATTTAATGTCTGTAACAGCACTACGAGGAAATGTTTGAAAAGCCCATTCACCAAAATGAGTTGGCATACAGACTAATTAGGGTGTGACAAAGGAAAAAAAAATGTTTTGCTGACAGCATGTTTACTGTGATGGATTACCTCAGTCTGAAATTTACACTACATGCTGCAATTAAGAGAGACCACTGACTGGAAAGAAGGAAATCAATGTTATGGTTCAGGAAACGCCCAGCAGTACTGTTAAGTGGATACTGTTTGCTGTTTATACCCTGAAATATTCAGGATCATTTGGAGGACGCTTGAATGGATCAGTTTAAACTTTTATGAAATTTAACCCCTAAAATATAGAAAGATTTTTAGAAAATTAAACAAGTCATCAGTAGAGAATCACTCTGACACCACACTCTCCATTGGAGCTGACTCTCTGTGTCTACAGTCAGTCAGCAGCTCTCCTCTGGCTCCTTTATAAATCAACATAATGAGGCATAAATCAGCACTAATCAGCATATGGGTTACAGTGAAATGACTCATGACATGCTGTATACCCCTAATTATCCACTTATACAGGGTGCCAGCAATCACAACCTTATCTCTCCTACTGCTTCTCTTCACCAGCTCATCATTGAAGGTGACCAGCAGTGCAATTTTTACTCTACAGATAACGGGTCAGTGATTGCCAGACTCACAATCCATTAGTATTTTACTGAAGTAGACTGATCCACAAATAGACCAATGACTAGAGCGAGGTACACAACAGGAGAGAGCTCTTAAAGCCTGGCAAATGACATGGTTGATTTCATATCATTTAAATTCATGTAACTTAGATTTTTTAAAATAAAAAGTGGGTGTTTTTTTTTTTTTTTTAGCCTTTGTCCCTCACAAGTTGACACCTTTCTCCGCTTCCATGCTTTGTTTCTTCCTCTGGTAACACTTTATTTGATGCCTATCTCTATATTGCATTATAAATATATGTATAATGTGTTATAATCACATTATAGCACTGTATAACCATAGTTATAAACACTCATAAATTATTTTAATGCTTTATAGCAATAATCATAACACATTATAAAGCATTTTATCATGATTTAGAAGGGGAGGTATTATAATGTGTTTTAACCCTTAACAACAGTTGCATTGCATTATCTATGTGGGCATTGTCAGTGAGTTGTTAACAGTTAAAACACCTTATAGTACCTGACCTTGTAAGTCATGATAAAATGCTTTATAATGTGTTATGATCATTGTTATCATCATTTATGGGTGTTTATGACTATAGTTATACAGTGCTATTACGTGGTTATAACGCATTATATATTTATAATGCGTTATAGAGACAGGCGTCAAATAAAGTGTTACCCTTCTTATTCCTCCACAGAGAGTTTAGTGAGGATGGGCACAGATGGTTATTTTCAATCACCGATCACAGAGCAGTTCTGTTTGTGCTGTTTGGCTACTGGACTGTAAACACACAACTTCAAAGTTGCCCAGCAGGGATCTGTCTGCTGAAGTGTTTACAAAAACCTTTCTCCGCTTGTCTATTCTACATAATAGGACCTCCAAACTTGGCTTACCATCCAGCCCCCGGTTGTGTGTTTTTTTTGTTTTTGTTTTTTTTAGATAGACTAGCAGAGAACAAATTGATAAAAAGGGCAAAAAAAGAGTGGATATTTTTCACTCTAATAGCCTGATGTCCAGCTACAGGGTCCCATATTTAGCTGGAAGTGGGAGGCAGATAACTCTGCTCGTTCATCCATTAACTTTAGGCAATGATTAGCTTGTTCATACCACTGAACTCCCCTATTCTTGCATTAATACTTTCCTCTTACTACAATAGTTCCAATGAAATCATTGCATATTGAAACTCACAGGCCAGGGCGACAGTGCTCTGATTTTTATTTGACTTTTATACTGAATTATAATTATGTCAAAAATTTGTCATTTAGCAATCTCACAGTTTGATATCTTATTATGTGTTCATGCTAGCATAAGTAGAGAGCCTATAAAGGTGTTTATTAAGACCTTTATACAAATAATGGACAGAGCTGAGCAGCAGTTGTGTCCATATGGCTGCCTCCAGCTCCTCCTCCTCTAATTATCTCTACTGTGAATAAATATCAGGACTCAGGCACTCAGAGGGGAGGGGCTGAAGGATAGATATATGTCCTTGTGTTTAACACCCTAGAGATGGTTTAATGCCAGCGTGGAGATGTAACTATTCAACCACCATCTTACAGAAACATTTGAACTGTTACCTGAATATTAATGAATTAAAGTGAAACATTATGTCTAATTATAACTTGATGTAATATTATATTGCTCAACTGTAGTTTATAGGAACATCTTTGTTGTATTTTATATCGTTGTGCTTTTTGTACATATTGTTTGTTGTGTAAATTGTGTGTGACATTAAAGTATTACCTTCAAATACACACAGTTTATCTCATGATTTTTTTTTTTCACTCAGCTAATTGTCAGCGTGACATCCTGCTTTGAACCAACAGATTCCCTCACCATGTTACATTTGCCAAGTCTATGTATGTATTTCCCCCACTGGCCCCAGCAGTTCACACTACTGAGCCGCATTTGAAGTTAAAGATGGAGACTCTTTCGAGATGCTCTGAGGTGTGTGATGTTTGAAGAGGAAGTCATCAGAGAATGTAAAATCATTTTTTTGTCTTTTACTTTTCTTGCTGATTATCCTCTCTAACATACATAGACTCTACAAACACTACAGTGTAAGATTCATTGGGTATTATTAGTTCGGTGACCTTACCTTATTCACCATTTCTTCAACTCTCCTCTTTGGTACATTTTCTTCTTTATCAACTATCTACATCTACTCCCTGTTCAATATCCCTTCGCTGGGAGTTACAGCAGTTTATTGATATTTTATAGAGTTGGAAACTTATTTCTTCAGATAGAGAGAAATCGTGTTTCACCAGCAGACCTCAGTGCTACTTGACATTGATGTATGACCACTTTATCGTTCACTCCCTACCTTATTGAGTTTAGATTCCAGCACCTGCAGGTTAGCAGATCTAAAATGTAAATACATTAGGAAAATACAATTATCTTGAGTCAGAAATGTGGCAAAGGGGGAATCACACAGGGTAAAACTGCTTGAGACAGAAACGACTGACTGCTGTAGAGTGACCGTGACAGAACTTCAACACCATTGGAAGGATTTCCATGTGCGGTTTCAGTTTGTCAAGGACCACAGCACAGTCTCACAGCAAGAACAATGACTTTGTACTCTAAAGGGAAATACAGCAGGACTCTCGTTGTCTAAAGGGTTGCAGATTCTCACTATTAACATCCCTGGGAGTCATCAATTACGTAGAAATTAACAAATGGTGCTGGCAAAGTAGAAGTGTTGTGTTGTTTGCGAACGATTCGTTCAAAAGAGCTTAATCTTTTAAGTACATGTACTGAAAAGAATCCTCAAGTGATTCGTTCATTTCTCACTTCAGTTGAGCTGTCAGCAGGGCAGATGATATAGCACACAGCATTGCCAGGCGAGCAGCCGGCGAACGAGGGATCGCATGCACCCAACCTTAATCACTGGGTAAAGGAATCACACATTAAACTACACTCTCTGGAATCATTTTTGTGGGACAAAATTAGCTTTTTTTTTTTACTGCTAAATTGCCACCACAACATCTCGCATACAATAGGACACAGCATGTGACAAGTCGTGCATTAAACCCGCAGCATCCTGAGCACCCCGAGCAGACCTGATAAATAGCATACCATTGGACAGTACACTTAAAACATAATGACTTATAAACAAGTTCATTTTTACAAACCTGTTTGCCAAAGCAACACAGCCAAACACTCTCCTCTCCCGGTCCCAGAAGCTATTAATTGAACTGAATCCTGAACCGTTCAGCTGTGTATCAGTTCAGGAGGTAGGAGTCACAGGCTCCTCCCGCCAAGCACTGAATGATTCTGTGATTCGATGAACGAGTCTTTTAAATGAATCTTTTTAGTGATCCAATTCTAGTGATTCAGTCCATCTAAAAGTACTGCCATGCCCATCACTACAAAGTAGAGTGAAAGTATTTACAGACACTGCCAGAATATGCAAGGATGACAAAAATTACAGCCAGTTGGATGTAACCCAAGGATGAGAGACTTTATACATAAGCACACAGGTTGATAACAGTAAGAGAAAAGAAAAGCCCTCTCAGAGCTTGTAAATGGTTGCAGGACTGACTTTGAATTTAACATGATCAATTAACCTCACATTATTTAAATAATAAACACTGTTTACAAAACCAAACTACATTACAAAGCCTGCCAAGGAGATACAGACCTGTCATCTTTAGACCTTTTTTACAAGCAGCGATACAAAGTCTTATTAATCTTGTGCTGTAAGCTTTAGGAGTCGCTAATAAGTTCTACTTGGACATGCAGTTAACTAATCTGAGACATCTTTTGAATCCTTGCTTCTATACCAGCACTAATGCAAGCCTCACTGCATTCGTAACTAGGGTACAAAAAATCTCAGTCAACTGCTGTGATACCATTCAGGCACACAAAAGTGAATCCTACCGCCTGCTCGCTTGCATATTTATTACTATCTTTATGACAGGCATTTCAGATTCACAATATTTAATACTCTCTGGATTTAAAATGTGATCCTGATATGAACAGCCTCAAACTGAAGCACTTTCCTCTGCTTTAAAGGACTTGACAGAGACAAAGAGAGGGAGGGGATGGTGGTGACTGACTTTTTGATAATCTCAGTTTCAGTGGGACAAAAAGCTAGAGGCTGGTTTTCCAAAAGGCAAATTGAGTCTCTGAACAGTATGGCACCTGTCTGGGGAGGTTTATCTCAAATGAGGAGGTTGAGGGATCAGGATTTAAGCAGAGGATAGCATTATGCTGAAATGGTTGTCATTGGAATCCATTCAGAAAGTCTCAAAATTGGTTTGGAAACCCCCTCCTCCATGCACTCCTCAGATTTATGGCAGCAAAATCATGCCAATTTTTTATAAACCATTTGACACATTAGTCATCTGTTATTGGGATTTCTAAAGTTCTTATTGTTTGAAAGTGTCCAAAAAGTTCACAATTGAATTCCACGTAATGGTAAGCGATCTAAAAAACACTGAGTTTTTTTTTTACCTTTCAAAATGTCGTGATTTTGGAGATAAATGTTTTTTATCCCACAGCAGCAAAATGGGACACAAATGCACTGCCCACATGCATATACAACCCGAGCAAGGGCTTCCACAGCACCACCATGCAACATTTCTGACCTTAAAGTGGGTTTTAGTTGTGCTTTCTGCCGAGCAAAGGGAAAGCAATCACGCACTGAGTCCATTTTTGCACTCATAGAACATAATTTTCTCCTCACAGGCTGCAAAGTTGCTCTCACGAATAGATAAATTGTACATGCAAGTTTGAGAAAAGCTTGCAAGGGTTATGTGCAGGGCAGGCTTGCATGTGAATCTGTGTGACAGCCCCTCTTTCTCTGCCTACTGTCTTGTTCTCTTGTTTCAGACTCTCAGTCTGTTTGTTTTCTCCTGCTTGCAGGTATCTGGAGTTGGCATGTGGATGGAGCTGGAATAATTAGCTGCACTCAGAAGTTATACATTCTTCACAGCTACAGGAATGCTCAGTTTAGCCAGGACACACTAAAACAATCTTTCACTAAATTTGCTCCCCATCTAACCACAAACTTTAACGGCTGGTGTATTGCATTCCAGGTCAATACTTTAGAGGATCTACAGGACCTGATTTTGCTTAAACAGTTTATTAATCCTCTTCAAGAACATATTGCTACCTAAAGAGAGCAAAAACTAAGCAAGGTTTCTCAAGATTCAAAGTTGGCAGATGAATTTTCCCTCACTCACTGAAGTTTTTTTTTTTTTTGGTGAGAGCAGAGGTCATGAAGAGTTTGAAGCATTTCCCAGTAGGAGCTGTACAGAGAGGATGGATTTCCAGCAAAAAAAAGTTTATTTTTTATTTTTTATCTTTTTTAATCTGAAGGAGGCTTCGTCCACAGAGAACCTGCATTTTGAAAGATGCCGCCCTTGCGTTTACAATGTACGCAATTTTTCCTGTATTGATGACACCATAGCACCACCTCTCCTTTAACCCACATGCAGTTTACTTCTTTCTGGCACAAGTTTAATACACATAAAACCATCTTGTTCTCTGTTTTTGGTGTATTTCTGTAACAGCATTGTGGCCTTACTTGGTGTATATATACGATATTGTTGTTAGTGGTTTTGTGTTGACATAATTTTGAGACAATTCCATGTTTACAGAAAACTTTTTTGTAAAACAGGAAAGACAGACCAGTTTTGTCTCTGTTGGGACATGGCCTAAGTCTGTTTTATTTCTCCTGCTTGCAGGAATCTGAAGTTGACATGTGGGTGGAGTTGGGAGGGGTAGTCAGTTTTACAGTGCCTTGAAAAAGTCTTCATACCCCTTGAACTTTTTCACATTTTGTCACTCTACAACCACAAACTTAAAAGTATTTTATTGAGATTTTTTGTCATAGACCAACACAAAGTAGCACAGAATTGTGAAGTGGAACAAAAATGATACATGGTTTTCAAAGTTTTAAAGAAATAAAAAATTTAAAAAATGTGTGGTGTGCATTTGAATTCAGCCCCCCCGTGTCAATACTTTGTAGAGCCACCTTTTGCTGTAAGTACAGCTGCAAGTCTTATGGGGTATGTCTCTACAAGCTTTGCACATCTAGAAACTAAAATGTTTCCCACTGTTCTTTGCAAAATAGCTCAAGCTCAGCCAGATTGGATGGCGAGTGTCTGTGAACAGCTATTTTCAAGTCTTGCCACAGATGCTCAATGAGACTTAGGTCTAGACTTTGACTTGGCCATTCTAACACATGAATATTCTTCGGGGTCATTGTCTTGCTGGAAGGTGAATCTCTTTCCCAGTCTCAAGTTTTTTGCAGCCTCCAACAGGTTTTCTTCCAGGATTGCCCGGTATTTAGCTCTACCCATCCTCCCATCCACTCTGACCAGCTTCCAAGTTCAACTTTGGTCTCATCTGACCAGAGCACCTTCTTCCACGTTTGATGTGTGGCTTGTGGCAAACTGCAAACAGGACTTTTTATGTCTTTCTGTCAACATGGCTTTCTTCTTGCCACTCTTCCACAAAGGCCAGATTTGTGGAGTACATGACTTACAGTTGTCCTGTGGACAGATTCTTCCACCTGAGCTGTGGATTTCTGCTGCTCCTCCAGAGTGACTATGGGCCTCTTGGCTGCTTCTCTCACTCTCCTTGCTCGGTCTGTCAGTTTAGGTGGACAGCCATGTCTTGGTAGGTTAGCAGTTGTGGCATACTTCTTCCATCTCTGGATGATGGATTGAACAGTGCTCCTTGAGATGTTCAAAGCTTTGGATATTTTTTTATAACCAAACCCTGCTTTAAACTTCTCCACAACTTTTTACCTGACCTGTCTGGTGAGTTTCTTGGTGTTCATGATGCTCTTTGTTGACTAGTGTTCTCTAACAAAGCACTGAGGCCTTCACAGAACAGTTGTATTTATGCTGATACTAAATTACACACAGGTGGACTCTATTAACTAATTAGGTGAATTCTGAAGGTAATTTATTGCACTGCCCTTTATTTAGGGGTATCAGAGTACAGGGGGCTGAATACAAATGCACACCACACTTTTCAGATTTTAATTTGTTTAAATTTTTGAAAACCATGTATCATTTTCGTTCCACTTTACAATTATGTGTTACTTTGTGTTGATATATGACAAAAAATCTTGATAAAATACTTTTCAGTTTGTGGTTGTAGAGTGACAAAATGTGAAAAAGTTCAACCAACAGAAAAGTTCTGCTCTTCAACCTACAGCCTGACACTCACATCTGTTGAAAGACAGACAAAATAATATGGCCCATTCAACACATACTTGGACACAAAATACATCACCAAGCAGATGTTTACTGTCCATCATTGTAGTCCTGTACTCTTATCATATCAAACCACAAAGATGCAGCAAGTTAATAAAGTTCACAGAACTGTGCTACAAGTTTTTGCTTCAGCTGACACCAAACATTTAGAAAATCAATCCCTCTGCCCAGCAGCAGACTTCAGCAGTCCAGTTTGGCATGAAAAACATTATCGACAAATGGAGTTGAGTGATCTCCAACAGTATAGTTCATTGCCTCTTTTACCTTGGGAGAAGAGAGAATAGGAAGAGGAGGAGGAGAGTGGTCTGTGAAGTGTTACTCTGATGCTTGGCTGCACATGTACAAAAGGTGCATTGCTGTGGATAAAGTTAGACAACTAGACTGAAAACCAGAGGTGGGGTCTTACATGCAGCTGGGCTCACTCACCTGCTGAAATACAGAGAACGAGGAGTAATTCTTCCTCCTGTCAAGTGAAATTCCCTCAACCATTATATCCCCTGCTATTTCACATGAAAAATCCTCATGACCTGACCATAGAGTGATAAGCCCCATCATAATGCGGTCCCCTGTGGGTGGCTGCTTGTGCTCCAGTCCTCACTCCAGACCCATTTCCTCACTCAGGAACCAGAGGTCGGCCCGTGATTGTGGTCCCGAGGCTGCAGGCTGAGTGAAGCCTCCTGTGGGCTTTCAACGTCATCATGAGCAAGCAGGGCTGACTACTAGAGCATAAAGCAAAAACAGGCATTTTACAGAACTCCTGCACATTTTATTGCTGCATATTTATGTACAGAGCCTGGCTTATAATACTGTATTTTACTAAGTAAGTTCCTGATTGTTTAAAATAACATCTGAAAGAAATGTTTTATATTTGATTGATGATTTATTGTAAATTCTCTCCAACATTGCCAGTGAGCTTGAAAATAGCACAAAGTGAACGCAGACCTCAATTTTCTCCGGTCAGCCGTCAATCAGGAATTTTGACCCACGAAGGCTTTCTTTGTCTGCCATTACCCTTTTCTAGAGGAATAACAAAAAGCAAAAATGTAAGCTCAGTGTTCCCTTAAACAGAGTGACTGACAGCCAACCAGATCTGACATCCCTCCACTGTGAGTGAATAAATCACAAATAATCGCGCTTCATAATGAAGGCAGCAGAACATAAAATTCAACAGAGATAAGCGAGGAGCACTGCCAGAGAACAAACACCTGTGACTAAAAACTCTGTTCATTGATTCAGCAGTTGACAGATGTGTCTCGCTTTTCTGCCAATTTCATGCTTAATCAAGTTTTTTTCAAATCCCCCAAAGGTAGCATTGCAGGAACCCTGGCCAAGATTTCTGTTTAAGTGCATGTAAGTGTTTACAAGCCAATCAGCAACTAGAGATGCGGATTAGTGAGTGAGGATGCTGGTGCGGGGCCAAAGTAGAACAACAATTTAGTTTGGGTGGCCAGGAAATTACGCTGCGTTCTAGTTCTAGTTCTAGTTCTAGTTCTAGTTACCTCGGATGTCGGATGTTGAAGCTGGGAATGACATTACACCCGAGTTGATGGCATTCGGATAAACAAGTCTGAAAACCAAGATAGGCGCTCGCTGTTATAATGTTTAGCCGTTGTTAGCTGCTTTTAACTGCTGTTAGCAATACCAGTTAAAAACAGCACATAATACGGTATTTCATCTGTACAAACACCATAGTACTATGTCCACAGTCAGGTGTTGAGCAGTACTACATATAATACTTATTTGATTTTACAAAAACAAAACAGTAGTACTAATTAATAATACATTGAGAGAGCTTTCACTGTAACTCTTTGATGTTGATGCACTGTGCTGCCATCTTGGATTGTGACGTTATCGTCAAGTTGGGGTTGGTGAGGATCATCTGACTTTCTGAGTCTGAAATCTAAGAGAAAAAATACGGGACGGAGATCAAAGTAGAACTCTCAAGATTAGAGTCGAAATTTTGAGATAAAAAAAAAAAAACTAGGTCAATAAAGTCAAACTTTTGAGATGAAAAATTGAAATTTCGAGATTAAAGTCAAAATCTCAAGATTACGAAATGTCGAAACGTCGTGAATAATGTCCAAATATCGAGATTAAAAATTCAAATTTTGAGATTGACCTTTTTAAATTTCAACTTTAATCTCGAAATGGAAATTGAGAAACTCTCCCTCCTGTAATTATTTTTCCTCTTCTTTAGGCCCTAATCCTCTTTTGTAAAAATCTGACTTCAGGGGGGCGTTCAAGGTGAATTTCTTCAACTCGGAACTCAAAATCTAACTTCCCAGTACAATTGGAATGCAGCATTACATCTCAAGGAAAAGTAACCATTTAAATAGTCAAGACCAGTAACACACAAAGATAGCACAGGATTAAATATAGCAGATGTGTTTTAAAATCAATTTATTCAGTTCCACAAAATAATCATGTAAAAAATACTGAACAAATCCTTTATCAAAAGGGATCAAAGAAATAAATTCCAAGAGGTAATTGCCACAAGAAGGAGAGCAGAGGTTCACAAAAAGAAACCCAAACACTACACACCAAACCAAAATCTACAGAGTGCTGTACAAAAGGGGAAAGGTGATGGGACACCAACACATGAGACCAATCTGCCACAAAGAAGAGAATTTCTCACCTTTTTACTCCATCTCTGCTTCTTGTACAGCTGTCTCTCATGTGTTTCCACAAAGTTTTTTTTACAATTTCTTGAAGTCCAGCTGTTTGAAAGTTCACGCTCAAGCAGCAAGTATCATGAAATTATTGAGTCTCTCTCTGGAGATCAAACATTTTCTTTTTCTTTTTTTTTCAGTTTAATGAGGGATCTGTTTCTTCTGCTCAGACACCTGTCAGCATTTGCCCGCTGACTCATTTACCTCCTAGGCCTCACTCTGATCTACCTTTTAAGTAGTTTCAAAAGCCCAAACCAGCTCCCTCCTCTCTGTACAGACATTTCACGTATGAACAGGTCCTGACACAGCAACACTCAGGAGAGGTGAATAGCAGCGGCACAAGCACCTGCTCTGCCCAGTAATGAGTGTAATTGAAGTTAGCTGGTGGTAGTGGAGTGTCTGTGGCAGAGAGAGGAAGAGAGGACCCAACTAGATACACTCACATGTCTTTTAATTGTCATAGGTCATAAAAATGTAAAAACGTTTAATTTTTAGTGAAAAAGGCAGATGAAGTCACAATCAATATCAGACTGTTTGTCTGAAACAACAAGAGCAGTTTGACTTCATGAAAGTGACTGAAGACTGAGTTAGAGAGATAAAACTTCATAGAGATGAGATGTGTTTCATATTTTCCTGGGAGGCTCTGAAGTATATGTCTCTCACTGACCAAAACATCACAAAAACGTATCCAAATGGCTTTTGTTTGAAGTAAATCTCATTTAAGAAGTTGCTTCAGGTTTACACAGATTTCCACAGCATCCAGAAAAGCTCTGATCCGGAACAGTGGCGATTTTCACTGAATTTCATGGCTGATTACGGACAGCAGGAATCGCAAGAACTCACAAGAACCCGCAGATTCAGGTGCAATCGCGCGATAACAAGTTGTCTTTAGCCACATAGGGTAACCAAATGAGCAGTAGATTGCGTCCTTCCAGAGGAGGAAATCCTCTTCTATCCTTCTAAAATCAGCATCTCCTTATCCATGGTGTCATCGGGATGAAATGTTGTCTATAAACCTTTCACTTGTTCGTCCCCGCCTAATTGCATGGTGCGAAATATGATCTGCCTGAAACACAGAGTGTTTTATTTTGAAAAGAAATCGGATGTTTGATTTTGTGTCTGTGCCCAACTTCCTCTCCAGAACAGGTTAATCTGTGCTGAATTTATCTGTGCGGATACGGCCTTTTCATAGTCATTCTGAATGCGGTGGAAATTGCCGGTAAGCATGTCTTGCTTAGAGAAAACCAAAAGCAGCAGGGTCAAAAAATAAACACTGAATATTTGTAGAAATCAAATGTTTAACGGACAAAAAAAGCTCAGGTCAATACCAAAGATGTCTTAAATAACGCATCTGACTTTGAAACAGCATTTCCGGTGAGGTCAACTCATATAGTATGTGGTAAACAACTTCTCTATGAAGAATACTCACTGGCATCTCAATTTGACTTTATAAAAAGGAGAGAAAGAGACAGTTCAGTCTAAAAAGCCCCAAGGTTCAGCCTGGAGGCTCCTCGGCAGACCTCAGAGTTCAAAGTGAAACAGGCTGTCTCTTAGAACCAGGGGTAGAAGAGGGGTGGGGTTGGGGCTTGGGTAAAGAGTCCTTTGCTGGAAGGTGTGGGGTATCTGGGAAGATTGGACAAGAGAGGGAAAGATCAGGGAGATACACCAACCAGCCATAACATTATGACCACCTGCGTAATAGGTAGGCCCCCCTACAGGGTTCTACAGGGCCAGGACAGCCCTGATCTGATGAGACAGAGAGTCCACCAGACCTCTGTGAGGTGTGCTGTGGTATCTGGCACCAAAACGTAAGCAGCAGATCCTTAAAGTCCTGAGAGTTGAGAGGAGGGTCCACCATGGATAAGCCTTGGATCAGATGCTTGATGGTGTTGAAATCTGGGGAATTTGGGGACCAAGTGAGAACCTCGAGTGCTTCATCAGATTCCCTCAGGCTGAGGCTGTTGTCCATGTTAAATGTGTCTCATGCGTCCATTGTAGGCACTGTAAGCTGTAGGTGGCAGGGTGCTGGCATGCAGAGCTTGACTGGTCTGCAGCTACACAGCCTCATGCACAAAAAACTGTGATGTACTGTGTGGTCCGACACCCTTTCCATCACAACAAACATGGCATTTTTCAGCAGTTCATCTCCACAGTGTCATCCCCTGGATTGAACCAGTAGAACCCATGGTTATCCAGGAGTGCCCCGTAAAATCTGCAGTTTGGATATGCTCTAACCCAGTCCTGTAACCATGACGGTTTAGTCTTTGTCAAAGTTACTCACACTCACACGTTTCTCCTGCTCCCAACACATAAACTTCAAGGACCAAATGTTCACCTGCTGCCCAACTTATCCCTCTCACAGGTACCATTATAGTGAGATGTAGTGAGGTGAAGTTTTACACGTCACCTGTCAGTGGTCACAATGTTGTGGCTGATCAGTGTATGTTATCTGCAGTTAGTAGCAGCAGAGGGAAAGGAGAGGGTCTGTTTATTTGGTTCAGAAATGGGTATGGTTGTGACCCTGTCCGAGCTCCCTTCTGTGGTGTCCTCCCTCTCTGTGGCCATGCCTCTTGTGCCTTCTATGTTCCCTCCTGTTTTTGTGGTGGTGTCTCCGGTAACGGTGGGCTGGTAGGGCAAACACAGAAAAAATAAGAAACATTAAAACATGAAGAAGGGTAAGGCATGAATGTCAGATTGATAATGAGAGGATTCTGAGTAAAAATGATGGAAGAAAAAAAGATAGACATCAGAAAGATCTGAATTGACAGTCGGAGGCGAAACCAGATAAGAGTCTAAGATCAAAAAGCAGGGAAGTCAAGACCACATGTTCTTTATAAAGGGTTTGACTGTTTCCACCACACTAAAGGAATCTGTTTTATCTCACAGCCTGCAGAATAAGCACCCTGAGCTACAGCCAACCATTCACAGCCTCAGTCTAAGCTTGTGCTCTGGGTGTTTTGCCAAATGAGGCTGCTCTGTCCTTTTCTGTCCACAAGGAAATGTTTCCTGTAATAGATGACAACAACAATGAAACTCCGGGCCTTAAATGCAGCATTGTCCAAAGAAGAAGAGTCATAAGAAAACAGTTCCTACCACTCAAAGAAAAAGGCTGGATTACTTCAGTTTTACCCTTCCTGTCACATTGTGAGCTGAATAAAATCAAACTCAAGGAGAAACAAGTTGAGCATTTTTAGTTTTTTATTTTGGAATAGTTATATCTATTCGACCATTGCTGTTAGTCTGAGTATGTCATCTATAATATCTAGGAAAATAGTGAATATTTGAGGGTTTAAATATTTTCAAATCTGCACAATGACAGTCTGTTATCACTGACTTTAGGTTTTTGAATGATCTAAAATGAGATATAACTTGGTGATAAGATAGTGGTGTCATCAGTTCACAGGATTATTATTTTGCACCTGCAAGTATGTAATCCAAAATGCACATAATAATAATAATAAATAATTCATTTTATTTGTACAGCGCTTTTAAAAACACTCAAAGACGCTTTACATAGAATGTAAAACCCAAGATTATAAAACAGAGACATGAAAACAGTAAAATAAAACAATTAAATATTAAAAGCAATTTTAAATAAGTGAGTTTGTAAAAGGGATTTATAGGTAGTGGGGTCAAGGCAGTGTCTAATGGAGGGTGGTAAAGAGTTCCAGAGGGTAGGGGCAGCTGTGGAGAATGCCTGATCCCCCCAGGTTCAGTGCTTAAGGTTCATAAGGTTTTGTTTGGTTTGTAAGATAAATATATTGGTTTTAGCTCTTCAGTTTTTCTACGCACAAATCCTTGGTTTGAAATTCAGTTTTGTGATTGTGATTGTGGCAAGTCTGAATTGTCATAGCAAAGGCAGCTCTCAAGGCTGTTAATGTAGCGGGTTTGACTCACAGGGCTATCATAAAGCGAATGCTAACATATGTGTTTAAAACTTACATTTTTTGCAGATCAATTTTGGCCGCTCCCACTTGCCATTAGCGCGACACTTAGCGGTGGGCACATGGCGTTGCAGGAAGCCATCAGCACAGTGGTAGCGTACTACAGAGTGGATGTCATAGTGGGAGCGCTTTCGACCAATGAGGAAGGCGTTGTCCACTGTAGGAGGGGCTCCACAAAGCACTGCAGGGTCAATGAAGGGGACATAACGAGACAAAATATTATTCAGATAATTTACTTCAGTGTTGTACTTTTACAAATGAATGTGTGATAACAACATATAAGTAATACCAGATTTAGTAGAAGTTGCCAAAATAAAGTATACACCTTTCACTGCTCAGACTTCAAAGTGTGTACAGGACAGCACGCCTCTCCAGCCTGTCAGTGAGTGACTGGTTTTCAAAGTAACTCAGCATTTAGGAAACATTAATAGTCAAGGCAGAATCAGAAAAAAAGGTTTACACAATCTTAGATGAAGAGAAGACTGACACTCTCAGAGACTAACAGGAGGGATGAGCCTCAGGGAGACTCTCAAACCGCCTCATAGATTCTTAACTCTCCTGTCAGAGCGTATCAGTGTCCCTGCGGAGACAGCAGGTGAATGTACTGTAACTCTAGGACTCACTTTTTGGGACTGACAACAGACTTATCAATGTCTCTGAACACGCTGAGGATGTCATCCAAAATTAGATTTTCCCAGTGCAAAATAACCCTTAAAAATAATGACATAATTTCAAATTACAGACATGTCATCATTAGAGTTCACAGCCACGATGACTCATTCACCACAACAACCAATACATAGAACTTAATCTTTGCATCTGTTTATCTTTAAATTCTTGAGTCCCCATTATAATAATGGTCTATTAGTTGAATTAACCTCTATAACTTTACCTCTCATCAATAAATAAAGGCCAAAATCACTTGAATATATCCTGTGTATGAAGTCTCAATGACCTTTGGACCAACATGACCATTTAATGACTGGAAAACGAAGATGAAATCACTGCAGCAGAGTATTTGAGGAAACTCAAGTTTGATTTTCTTTTGCAATTTTAAAAATAAAATGTACATCTTAAACTCTAGGCAGGTCTCAAAAGTTTTCATTGTAGTCTTAAGTAAATAATGACTGGTTCTCTGACCATCTGCATCACACAGCCCTCTGACTGGTCACCTGGCTGATAGAGGTGTCGGACAAGCTCATATGGGGCTGTTATCACCTTGTCAGACACAGGGGCTGATGATGAGCAGATAACCAGATCATATAATCAGTGAACTTCAGAAGGCAGGAGGAGGGTACATGTTATAGAGCTGACAAATTCAACTGATGAGATGAGACATTACACGACTGGTCTTAGGGAAAGAGAGGCTGGTGGGGAGGAGACGAGAAGATGAAAAGAGGCTGGTGATTGTAACTGACTGATTATAGTCTGAGTACAGCTGGATGCTGAGGTTTCGTGACAGTGAACATCAAAGATGGTGCCACCTGCTTGTGAGGGGAATTTTTTTCTTTAGTCAAAGGTGGAAGAGGCTGTTACAGGAGATGTGTTTGTTACCTGAGGCTTCAGAAATGTGTTCTAAAGCAAATACCTGTCTGACATGAACATTATGACCATTGGTTCATGCCACACAAAGAAATGTAATGTGAAAAGAAGAAAACCGTTTTTTAAAGAGTAACTTGCAGTAAAGAGAGCTTTAGCAAAGTCTCCCTAAAGCATGACTTAGTAAGTGTTTGCTCGCCCGTTCTTATCTGCTTTCATCTGTGAAGCTTTAACCATTCAACCAAGTTAAAAACTGAGGACCAGAGTCTAAAACTCTCTCTAACTGACTCAGGAAGCTTAAGTTAAGTTTTTGCAACTCATTTACTACTGCTCTCCGTAAACTTTCTTCTGCCTCAAGACAGACTCCACCTTACAAAAGCAGAACATCTGGCGGAGGAAATGGAGCGGTGCTTTGAGAGGTACAGGGAGAAGATTTTCGAGATGAAGGATGACAGAGATGGAAGAAGTACAAAATGTAAATCTGGACTGAGTGGAGAGCTGATCTCTTATGCTGCAGGGAGTCATGTATGATATAAGTGTGACAAAACCAGGATGTTCACAATACTCTAAGGGTCACGCTGTCACTCTGTGATTGATCACAAACACTTCAGCTGCTTTCCATAAAAAGTTTGAAGAACATTTTGGCACCTTTTTTAAAATAGGTACTTTGTCTGAGCTTACTTTTATGTTGTCTTAATTCATACCTCTCTCTCTTCTCCCTCCAACTGGTTGTTCTCACCTGTTCCCTTCTTGCAGACGTAGGGTAAGTTATAGTTGCATGGTACATCGTTCCATTTGCCGTTCTCATGACCGATCATAACCACGCAGTCTTCTCCTCCAGCAAAGAAGTTGTCTGGCTGGTTTTCTCGCCAGTTCTCATATTGCTGCACATAGAAACACAACAAAGATGCAGAGTCAGAGAAATTAGTATAAATACAGTAATACCGTTAACATAGGCAAATCACTGCAGTCACAAATCTACCTTGTATTTTTTTTCACAAACTTATTCTTTGGTCATGATGGCAAATGAGAAAAAATTAAAAAATACTGTGATGCATGCCAAACAACCACATATTAGACTGTAATGCCATCATACATGATTAAAAATCTGGTTCAATCTTGAAGTATCAGAAAAAACAACAACTCTTTTTTATAATACCTTTAAAATTTTTTTTTTTTTTTAGGGAATTCCTGGTCAAGAAATTTCTAGATGTCACACTGAGCACAGTCAAATTAATACTGTTTGTCTGAGAGATCCAGAGGAGTTTTGTGACGTGTACGAAACAAACGGAAAGTTATATTGATGCCTTTTTATGCTGTAGAACTGTTTTGTACTCTAAGTTAATGTTTGAAACCAGTGCAAGGGCGGTAGGTGTCAGTGGAACCATGACAGAAAAAAAAAAAATAAAAAAAAAATAAGTGGGTTTCAAAAATGAACGAGCTGTAAAGGGCCTTAAACTGAGACAAGATCAACATTTGACTGAGCAAATCACACACTCAGCTGGTTCCTCACCAGGTCCATCTTGTCCGTCCACTGAAAGTCATCCTCCACAGTGCGATCGTTTAACCCGATCCAGGTGTTGTCATGGCTTAGACCTGAGGAAGAGAAAACATACAGTGAGGAAAGTATTTAAGCTAAACACAACCACCCAGTCTGAAACAATGTAGGCCGTCTTTTTGTGGGCAGGGCTTGCTGGAGCAGAGAGGGAGGGGAGAGGAGGAGCTGAGGGGAAAACTGGTTGGGAGGGGTAGTGTTTACATTCAAGATTTCTCCCCAAAAACTGGCACTTCCTCAGATCCTGCCTACCCCACCTTTAACACCTGTTTGACACCCAAACTGTTTAAGATCCCATATTTAATAAAAGCAACTCGTGTATGTAGATGTTGTTGAGTATTCGTCCACACCTTATGGTTTTAACACCCCAGTGTACATCACAGCCTCTCACCCTCCAAAGCATGGAGGGTGCAAAATAACTCTTAATAACAAATCAGGGTAAGTTGATCTTTACTGTGTGTGTCAGATCACTAAAGTGATCATTTTTGTTCCTTGTTGTTGACCTCTGTGTGACAGGCTCCTCACATGAAGCCTCATGAAGACTCAGTCCTGAGATTTTTCCTCAGCTGAGAGATTAAAATGACATATGTCTACTGTTTCTGTCTCTGGTGCAGTGGTGGAGAGATTTCTGTGTTACATATTTAATAGAATTTTAATCAGAGTGTATCAGATTAGCATCATTACCAAGCCCATTAATCTTCTAACTGAGCCTAATTTCTCATTGCAGGAGATGGAAATGTCTATTTTGGGGCAATTACACAAGACATTTGATATCTGAGCAGATCTAATAGTACAGTGTCTCTCTGTTGGTGTTTTATTACAACATATGTGGTTGTGGAGCCAAAAATAAGGATAAGGGAATAAAGGTTTGTGTAAGGTTTGTACAAGTGAGGATGCAGGGTAGATTACATCCATCCACCCACCTCTGATGAAGTTCTGCTCAGCCAGGCTGTGGATGCTGGCCAGGTGTCCACTGTGCTCCCTGCAGTCTTTCTCAGCATCTTCCCAGGTGTGTCTGCGGCTGAAGTACCTGTAGCAGTGACCGTGGAACTTCTTCCACATGTGCTCACAGCCTGCAGTGTCTGTAGGAGTGAGATTATATCCAAATTCATTAACCCCACAAAGAGAAGTTTGTGTTTTTTTTTGCACTCAGACACAACAAACACTTCCTGTTTGGAGCCTGAAAGATTTATCGTCTCTCCAGTCCCTCCCTTTTGTTTTCTTTCTTTATGTCACTTTCATTGCAACACTTTCTGCCTTCATTCCGTCACCCACTCTGTGTCTTCACTTTGATGTGACTTGAAATATACAGTGGTGGCAAAATGATGGTGAGACAGCTTGAAGTGGTCAAAGGGTATTTCAATCTATTCAAATGAGGAGAATCTGAAGACACAGCCTCACAGTGCTCAGTGCTGGCTTGGTAATGAAGACCTGACACAGTCCTGTCAGCTATCTGCCGTCTCTCCTCCCTCTCTCTCTCTATCTCTTCCTCTCCCTCCCCTCTTATTTCTCTCATCTCGCACCCCTCAACTGACTCTGGGTGAGCTGTGAAGCTGTGAGCTCTACATTTCAAACGTGATGTTTGTGTGGCCTCTATGTGCAAATATGTGTGTATGGGAATGTTAAAATCTTCAGTGTGTATAGTTGGTGTGGTCCGAGCTCAATCTGTGCCACCTCCAAGTTTCTAATACTCATACCCCTTTGTGGGCCATGCTGTCAGAATCAGGGAAAAGGCACTTGCACTCTTGCTAATCTGAGTTGACACCAGTAATCTAGTGTAAACTGGTCTGTATGGAATATACTGTGCAAAAAGACAATTCTGGGCTGTTTTCTCTGTTGTATAGCTCTTAATCATTTTCTTGGTTGTTAAGTAACAAAGCTTCACAGTTCAATGAGGTCAGATCACCAAACACAGTAAGGCTGTTTCTTGAGATAAAGCAACTTTTCAATAACAATCCACAGGGTGACCATATGCAGTGTTCGGGGTGTAAAGATTCCCCAATCTAGATTGGTTTCTGACCTTGACATTATCGAATTAAGCACACCTGGCAAACTGTGCTCAGCATAATCAAACTGTCAGCGTTAATTTTCTTTGTTTTCACCAAGATCTGACAGGATTCAGACAAAAGATACAGAGGAAAAGAAAAAGAAATTACCACAGGAGTCCCCTGATTATGAATTCCCTAATTTAAGTGCTCAATAGCCTGTATTGTTTTGGTATCAAAATAATATAAAACTTTGTTGTGGTTGGGTGAAACTGGATTTGACTGAACCCGATCACTTACGGCTCACTGACAAGTGCAAATAATCCCACAGTCACAAGGCATGGATCGGCTAACATTAACAAGTACTTCTTCACACTTCTTTGCATATGAAATGAGGTTTATAACGCCTCAGATAGTTCTGGGACATAAATCCCCATCAGTCACAGGAAATGTGAAAATCCCATCAACCATCAGGCTAAACTGCATGGATAGTGTGTGTGTATTTAGTGTATTAGACCTAAATCTGTCACAAACACAGGCTAAAGAAGTGAATCATCACCTTAGTGCTTTGCTTTAGTAGTCGTACTTTTAGCAGTTGTGTAAGCCTGATTGATTTTGAATTTGGTCCAAGATACAGTAAAAAAGCTTTCATGTTATATTTAAATGTGAGAGTTTTGCATTTCCTTCTTTCTTTTTTAAAGTTGAATAATAACTGTATTCGTCTTGAAATTCAGGTCAGACTGAACTGTTGCCATGATACCGTTCTTGCTATAGTTGTTATTTGAGGATAAATTCAATGTATGTAGATAATTTTATGTAGAAATTTTTGAAAACTGCTTTACATGTTGTCTGCTCAGATCCCTCCTGATTGTAAAGAGATTTCATTTGATGTCTGAACACAAACTGATGATTTGAAACTCAACTATCCACTTTAACTTTTACAGGGCAGCTCAGTGTCTCACTGGTTGGATCTTTTTCCTCAAAGGTGAACTGAGCTGAGTTTAACTAAAATATTGGCCTAAGACAAAATACAATCATGTGATTGTCACAGTTGGCATTTTCCAAAGAAGACAAAGAGTGCAGTGGTGACAGTTGATCTGAAAAGACTATAAAGATCTTTAACAAAGACAGACATGTCAGTTTAAGCTATTTAGTGCGAGTGTCTATGTATAAATACCATACCTAACATTAACACAAATGCTATTTCCAGTCTTAAACTGTGATTTGTTGATCCACATTTTTTTTAATTAGAGGGATCCTCTCACAGCTCCTCCTGCTCCTTTCTCTTAATTCTACATTTCTACCCTCTTCCCACTATGACATACACATCCTAATTTTCTCCATTTTCACATTTACTCCTCCTGTAGATTATTTCCCTTTTTTTAACCACCTCTCTTCATCCTCTCCAGTTTCCTATTTCTCCTTTGTTACCTCTTTCACAATTAGCTCCACTGTAGCTGGGCAGACAAAGACAGACATAGGAGTTGACCTCATCGATGCAGGTTCCTCCATTCTGGCACGGATTAGACTGACAGTCGTCAACATCTGAAAGAAGAGAACAGAGAGTTGAGTGAAACACAAACACACATGAAAGACATTACCAAATAGCCACTGTCACAGGTTATCACTGAACAACTCCAAGAGAGATCAAACTTCTGAGGAGATTAGAAATGTACGATAAAAGCCAACTGAACATAATTAGTGGGCAGTTTTGGTGTGCGATATGTTTGCACACCCTAAACTCATGAAAGGCAAACCCAAACTGTTGTTGTCAAACCCAAACTGATGGGCAAGGGGGAGTATGGTGCAGTGGAGAGAGAGGGAGACTCGGAGACAAGAGGGAGAAAGAATATCTGTCAGACAAACCTGCATCTTATACAACATTAATGCACATAAAAGCTATCCCCTAGCTACAACTAATGCAGTCTAGAGCTTTGGCGATGGGGAATACATTAGAGATGCAAAACAAAGTGTTTGTAAGAAGAAGACATTGCGCAAAAGTGCTGATATAATGCTGTGAATTCTGCATTTGGCCGGTTTCAGGGTTGGATTATAGCAGCTTTGTATATTTGGGATAGAAGTGTGGTTGGGTAGAACAGTTTATCAGCTTTATTTCTGGTTCTCCGCTTCATGCTGGCTGGTACTCAAAGCTGAATTAGAGGCTTGACATCAACCTAATTGGAGAAGCTCGGATCAGATGACACTCTTTCTGGTGAAGAAAGTATCTCATTATGATTCATGGTGGACTGAAAAAATCAAGACAAACAACAAAAGAAGCAGGGTCAGCAAGAGATGTTGATATCTAAGCTATAAAGATCAGGGATGTTTTATCATGAGTCTTTAGCCAGCAGTATAAACAAGAGGAATGGCTGCTGCAGAGATGGCCAGTTCCTACATTTATTGAGTTTTCCTCAAACAACGTACCAACTCTTCAACTATTTCAAGCTTGGTGACTCGATTCAACAATGTCATAAGAAAGATTAGTTTCAAAATAATGACTTAGCATTTAAATCCAATAATTGTAAGTGAAACAGTGAGGTTGGTTAAAGACAAACTGCATGGTGTGTACTGTTTCGCTCATAGACTGTATAGACAACTTGGTTTCACCATCCACCAGTATACGAATTTAAAGCCAAAAAGCTCTCGGTAATTCCACGTTCTTTCTCCACTTCCTGAAACCAACATTGCGCAGTAGCATCGTGTGCATTCGGTTGCAGAGTCACCGAGGGTCGCTGTGATGACGCTCAGCTCAAACAGCGTATCCCTCGAGTGAGCTACGTAATCTTAGTGCACCCATAGGCTGTATCAGGTGTCAATCATAGAAAAACATGAACCCTCTAATAGCTTTTAAAAACGGAGCTGTACAGAAAAAAAGTGGACTTGAGCACAAACCAGAGGGTGCTGTTCTCGGAGTGACTTTACCCAACAAGGAGGCAGACAGCGTCTATTCTATATAAAGTCTATGGTTTTGCTCAATGTTGACTGCATAAACCATGGGTTATTGTTACAGCTTTGTATCATTCACATGTCTATTTATTACTGAGACTTGGCAAGGCAGAGGGGCTTACAGTTTTTAATTTTGATGCAGCCAACAAACAAAAGAATACAAAACTATATAAAACCACAGAAATGTCCTTTTACTGATGAAAATCATAAATAACCAAGAAAAAATGATGATGATAACAAGGGAAACAGCAACTTGGAAATAGTAGACATACATGTCTGCAGAATTATTATTTTTGACATTTGTGGAAACCGATATGTAGCACATGTATGTGACAATTCTTTGATCCCAAGTGTCTATCACTGTCTACCTTCCTCCCACTCAAACTCCATTCAATGTCCACCCTGCCCAACTGACTTAATGAGAGAGCCATCCGGATTTAGCAGGTGGCAGAGTGGGTGTTTGTGACACTTTCTAAAGTGTGTATCCATGGCTTACTGGCTCTTCCCCCAATAAAACAAAACAAGGCTCAGGCTTCAACATCTCTGGAGAGTGGAGGGAAGCAGAGCTACAATGATCTGTCAGCACAGAAATGGATGGAGAAGTAAACAGGAGGCAGCATGGCGCTAACAGCTGGGGGGAGAGACCACACATGCCTCTCTCTCAGAGCTCTTCTTCACTCTGACATTTTAGGTATGAATCCATCAGGAGAGGCAGGGAAAGTCTGTCAAAAGTTCATGCAGTTAACATAGTGTCAGAGGAGACACAAACATATCAAATGTGATTAATAAATGGGAGAAAAAAGTGCAGAATTTTAAATCCATAATATAAATACAAGCTGTTCTTGTTGCCTCTGTGTGTATTTAAGGATAGCTGTTGGTAAGACAGTAGCTAGGGAAACTAGAAGCAATGTCAGTTGAAAGAAATATCTAAAGGCTCACTAGAGGCATGTCAAAATCATGTAATGATGGTATGAATGATTGAAAAAGGATAGAGAGACCAAAAAGGAGACATATAGCAAACATAAATCTGGTGGGATCCCTGTTTCGATGAAAGTAAAACTATGCTTTATAAGACACAAATTATGTCAAACTGTTTTAAATCTCAACTTTAATCACATAATTGTATCTTGACTTATTTCCCCATAATTTTGACTTATCCACTTTATTATCAGAAAAAAAAGATTAACACTTGATTCTTAAACTTCCTCAAAATGCTTGATTAAATAAATAAATAAATAAATATACTAATGGTTTTTTTCTCAGCACTGGCTAGGGCTGGGTGATATGGTAAAAAGTTTATCACGATATATTTTTTTCATATCAGTCGTGATCGATATATATCACAAAACATAAAATGAAATTTAACAGTGTGTAGCATGTCTTTTGCAATACAATAAGCTACTGCATCTGTGAGGTCTTTGTGTCTCTTCCACGTTTTGTCGTAAGGCGTTGCACTAGAAAAAGCGGAATGGTCAGCTGTTTCAGCTGCACAGGCGCCATGGGCTCCTTGCTCCACTCGGGGTTTGTAACCCTTTCGCATTGTGTGTGCTCTGCCGCCTGGCACTGCTTCAGGTGGTGAAAAAGATTTGTGGTATTCCCCAACTTTGCGAGAGCATGTACTCGACATTATTTGCAGTGCACATTACTCTGCTTCATGTCCGACCTCAAAAAAACAAAATACCTCCACACCACCGACGTTTTTCTGCCAGTCATGTTGACGATGTCATCATCTGTTGAGCCTTCGCCTGCACTCATTTCCTTTTTTTTCCACCATGTGCTGTCAGCTTCACATGTTTTAGTGCTATGGTTGCGTGTAGCTGCACCCTGCTACTATGCAGTTGTTTGCTACTCAGTTCTAATTCAGCACATGATTGGTCCAGCACGAAGCGGACCTGGAGCAACTCCCTTTTTTATTGGCTATTTGTATAGTCTACCAAAACATTGTAGAATGCTGGTTATCAAAAAGCATATGAACCATGTTTTATATTATTATTGAGGGAAATTATTTTTTGATATATAGCGTTGTTGTTTTATCGCTCAGCCCTAGCCCTGGTTAAAAAAACCTCTTCCATACAAATGAGTGGACGAGTATAACAAGAGTAAGGAAGGAAGCATACAAATAAAGAAAAACTTAACTTTCAGCAAAGGCTAAAGAAAAAAACCTGACTGTCTGCTGCATAGACAAAAATGTATTTGCATACATGCATGCTACTATACACACTAAAAAAAAAAAAAACATTTGCAGATCTGGTCAACCTTGTCACATCCTCTTTATTGTCCCTGAACCACAGCTGACATTATGTAAAAATAAATTGATGTGAACTCTGTTAAATGGCATCTTTCAAATGTAAATGTTGTCACACAAAGGTTTGGCAGGCATGGTTTTTGTGTTTGTCATCTTTCATTGTGTGAGGCTCTGGATCATTGACTCTCTTTTGCGGGCTGAGGGGCATTGACATTTCCTGCCCTTCTACAAAGATGGATACCCTCCTATTGAACTGCTGCTCATCCAAAATACAGAACTACTCAATGAGCCGTGTTGAGCTGCATCAATAACTAAAGTGCATGTGTGTTCTGCAGGAGTATGGTGGAATTTATGTTAAGCATAAAATGTTTGTATGTGCGTGTGTGTGTGTGTGTGTGTGTGTTAAGAGACTGAGCATAAACACTGCAGTACAGGCACAGTTATAAACCAACACTCTTGTTTTTATCATTACAGTGTGTTGGCGAAGCATAATTTGTGTATTTGTAAATCAGATTTTTCCAGCTGCAAGCAAATACTTAATGAGCAGTATTTGTACTACTGTACTAGGCTTATGGGATTGGGTATGATCCTATAATTTCATACAAGACAAGATAGAGATTTCAAAATAAAGCTAAGGGAATTAACTGGCATTGGATTTGATTTGATTGGATTGGATTGGATTGATTTGGGGATTGATGGGAAAGACAGACGGACAGGTTTTTAGATTTGCCTTGCCTGGACTTTGCTTTTTTTGTAATGGAGCACACCGGAATAAGGCATCTCAGCTCCAAATATTTATCACACTTAATAATATAATGTATGAATCCTAATTGTGCTACTCCAACATTAAACCTTTGCACATATCCAATCAAACCTTGCCTGTACCTCTTTGCACTTAAAGGGATATTCCGTCTTAAATTTAAGTTAGGGTTAATAACACCATAACACCGAGTTAGACACCCCTTCAAGAGATGACTGTTGCTGACTGCTTGCTTCTCTAGTTATACCAACCTAAGTAATGGCTGCACTACAGCAATACACGGCGGTCTACAAAAAGCCACTCTAAAGCCACAAATAATGCTCAGAACAGCCCCTAACTTCATCAACAGTTCATATAGGGTCCCAGCCATTGTACTAGCCACCAAAAATCTTTTCAGCTTTGCCTGATTACCTTAGCAAAGAGACTAAACACAACTCACCCACTCTCCTCCAGCAGCCGCTTGTTTGTGGGGGAGCCCTGAGTGCAGTTGGGTTTCGCAGCTCAAGGAAGAACATTTATGGTTTTTACTTCATGGAAATGCAATCAAACGTTTTGTGTATATTGTATGTACACTGCAGAGGTGGTAGATCTTCTGCCTTAGCGCCCCAGTCTGATTGCAATTCCATGGAGTAATAATCATAAATTTGCCAAACAAGGGGGCGTCTAACTTGGTGTTACGGTGTGTTTGACCATAACTTAAATTTACACTGGAATATCCCTTTAAAGATGCTTCCTCAGTGGCTTATGTCTGGCAGTGGACAAGTTTACACATGTAATGTTTCTGTGTATACACAAGCCTCTGCACGTGATTTTTAAAACAGCCACACAAGATGTGCATCCTACTGTGTGCAAGTGTTTGCATGCACTAACACTGCACTGCTGAGTGTCAGTCCTTTGGCTGTGTTAAGGCGTGCATGGATTACAAAGAGATCAGGATCAGCAGGGAGAAGAGGGAACAGACAGGCACAGAGCAGCTCTGGTACAGCCCAAGGCTCTGTGCCGCTCTCCTGAGAGCTCACAGCAACACTGATCAAGCAATAAGAGGATCCAAAGTCTGGAGGGAAATCCCTTATCCTGGGAAATGTGGTTGAAATATCAAAATGTTGCCTCACCAGCAGTCTCAGACCTGATTTCATCTTGGAGTTGGCATGATGTATTAATCAAAATAGTTGGGTTTATAGACTTTTATGAGCAGTGAAAGGAAGCAAGCAAAGTGAGCCTCAAACCTGCTTTGTAGACGTTTCCAAAAAGCCTACTGGCATGTAAAACAAAAAGAGCAAGAGATGAAATTCAAATCTGATGCAACAGAAGTATGTGAATGTGTTTGTGTGTGTGTGTGTGTATGTGTGTCAACGGTACAGCCCACCCCAGGTTGACAGCACTGCCTAAACATTCAGAACAGCCGGGAACATGTAATGAGGCAAAGTGTCACAACATCTCACATTGCTCTGCTGGCCCTGACAGTACTGCTCTGTTCATTGGTACTGTGTGTGTGTGTGTGCATGTGTGTGTGTGTGTGTGTGTGTGTGTGTGTGTGTGTGTGTGTGTGTGTGTGTGTGTGTGTGTGCGTGTGTGTGTGCGTGTGTGTGTGTGTGCATGTGTGTGTGTGCTCACTGGCTCCATCTTTAGTGTCTGTTTATATTTAGAGAAGAAGATGGTATAGTAACCACCCGCAGGAACACAGAGACAGTGAAGCTGAGCCGGCTGCCAGAGAGCCGCAGCCTCACTCTCTATTTCTGTCTCCTCCTCACAGATGGAGAGGGGAGGGAGCTGCAGATAGTGGGACTTCAGTGAAAAAGTAGGAGAGATGGAGGGAATCATCATCAGCAGTTGCAGACCTCCCTTTCCATTTTTAACTTCACCTCCCTTCTCCTGCTTTTCTTAAAATATCTCCTCCCACATTCATTTCCTTTTACCGCCTGCCTTCATTGCCTTCAATTATTCCATTCCACTTACTTCACTTTCAAGTCTTCTTGCCCTCAATTTTCCCCTGCTTTCAATGTGGACCTTACCAGGATAATTTCCTAGTCCAAGAGGGTCTACAGGTCTGAAGCAGCATTTCACAAGCGTGTGTGAGGTTTTGTCTGGTCCTTGACATCTGTGTCAGGTCCATCATTAACACCACTGAGCTCAGCTTAAAATAGCTTTGAGTTTAACTCTTAAAAGTGACAGTATCATGCTTTGAGTTTTATTTTCCTTCTACTTTCACAGTCGACTTTATCGCAACGCCTTCATTTTCACTCTTTTGTTTTTCATTTCATTGTTTTATCACCCAGCTTCCTTCCTTCCTTAGTTTCCTCCTTTTTACCTTTATCCTCTAATTTACATAATTGTCTTCTCTCCCCTCACTCCCTCCCTCACTTCCTCCCTTCTTGTTCTCTTGGTCTTTACCAGTGTCACACTTAAAACTATCTAACTCCTCTCTTAAAGTAGAGCAGTTCCCCTGAGGAGTGACTGACAGGCCATCTACGCCTCCTGTAGCTATTTTTGACCGTCTTAAAGAGGAAATAATAAAATAACATTATCTATTTTCATTTGTCGTCAGTGCAGTCTGAACTATCAGTGAAATTGTATAAGTGTCTGAGGGGAGGGGGCTCTGATGTGTGAAAATAAAATGTCTATGCACGTTACAAATAATATAACAAATAAAGAGGCCTTACAACAGTCATGTTTCCAGTTTTTAAGCAAATTAATTTTTTAAAGTGATAATAACTGGGTAGACAAAGTAGTAACTCAGACCTGGTCGATGACTTTATCATTTTAATCATCTGTCCCCTTCTCTTTCCTGCTTTGTCTCTCTATTCTATTATTTGTGTCTCCTACACATCTTGGAAATATCATACCCACTACAGTGGAGATAAGGAGAAAATAGACTGCTGGGTGAGGCTGCTACAGTACAAAGTGTCTGCAGATATGTGTGATTGAGGAGCCATGCACCCCTGGAATAAGAGAAAAAATAAAAGATATTTGATTTAGTTTAAGGTGCTCTCAGTTTAGGACTTTTTTGATATGTTTGAGGTTGGGGCTGACCTTAAATGCCCCTGCTTCATTCTGATTGGTCAAGCATGATAAGTTCAAAGTGGGGAGGTTCCAATAACAAAAACCTGGAAAATGACGTGCCGAAGAGTCAACTGGGAAACTGAGGCGATGGCAAATGTGATGGTCTTTCAAAACAAGATACTGGGAGGACGGATAAAAAGAAAAAATTAAATTAAATTAATCATTGTTATGTTTTTTTGCGGCCTGGTACTAATTGATCCACAGACCAGTACCTGTCCAGGGCCCGGTGGTTGGGAACCTCTGATGTAGCATATTCACACTATTTGTACTTCAACAATTTTCACATTAATCCAACTTGTACTTCTACTTCTTCTTCAACCCTTCAGCAGTTTTTACATTTATACCTTCCTCCATTTTTTCAGCAGTTTTGCATTGCTTTTATAGCTTTCAGCATTCGGCACTAAGCACTTCTATGCATTTCCTTTCAGAAAATGCTTTCTAGTTCCTTTTAAAACTTTCATTTGTTAGAATATATTGTAAATTTGGAGATGATTTGACGAAGCTGCATAAAGAATTAACAATTGTGCTCAATGCAATCGTACTTATGGATAACAGTCAGAAGGATAAAAGCTCCAAGGAGGCTGTAGATCACTCTGTGCAACAGCAAAACAGTACAGTTGGATGTGTGTGTGTTAGAGATGAGTGTTGAATGCATAACAAAACACCTTATTAGGTAAACACCTGGACCCATCTATGTGAGAGGTGAAGAAGAGACATGAACCAGCCTACACGCGAAGACAGCATAAAGTATAGGAAACTCTTTGTCTAGATCCTCGACTATAAAGGGTTCACAGGAAAGTTAGTCAGGATTCTGAAGTGCTCAGACCTCTAAGGTGTTGGTTTGGTAGGATGAGTTAATTTTGAACCCAGAGAACTCTGTTGCACATTTCTTGACTCATGTGCAATTAATAAAATAGAGCTTCAACTGAGAACTCTTCTGAATCTTGGTCTTCTCTTCTTCCCATCAACGACCACGCGGGAAAAGGGTGAGAGATAATTAAAGAGTTGGAGTCAGATAATTATTATCAGTCAGTACCTTCTTTTTAGTGTTTGGTAAATTAGACTTAAGAGTGAGCCTTAAGGTGATAGGAAAACCATCCTTTTTTCCAACACATTCAACCTTTGAATAAATCTCTGCTTAACTTAATAACCTGAGCTCAAAAGGTGTCCAAGTTATCGGCATAAAACACCCATTATGTTCAGCCACAGTCCGTCTTACTGATTCTATCCTCCTCCTCTAGCTCACTGCTCAGATCTACAGATGCACTTATGATGTGGGTCGGCGGATGATGATATTAACAGCTTCAAGCTCATGAATCTTTCAAGCTCAATCATATGAGAGGAGTGGGCCTCAGGGGGTAAACTGATACAGGAGCCCAGAGGGGCATTTCACTCAGCCTCTTTTCAACTCTTTGTGACTTCTTCACCTGAGGGCGGGCCTTATATACAAATGTTGGATCAAATCACATTGTGAGAACAAACAACAGGACCCAATGATCAAAAATTAGAGGTTTTTTGGGGATAACCAAAATTGTTGTAATTCTGCCACACTGGGTCTTACAGGGTTAAATTAGTTATGCATTAGGTCTTCATAAAGTCTTGAGCTTTTATTGTTTTTTTTATTAGACTCTATGAGTTTGTTTTGGAGGTCATATCTGAATAAGAGACTGAGGACGGGAGACAAAAAAAGAAAAGGGTTTTAGTTTGTGCACTCCAGTGAACATACGGTGTTTGACAGTTGAAGTGTGCAGGTGAGTGAGTGTGTGAGCTTAAATAAGTCTCATTTTATGCATGAGTACAGATGCATTCAGTAGGAATGATTGTTTTGGCCTTTGACAGGGAAATATAGAGCAGGAGGGAAAGAAGCTGAAGCACAGCGCCAGGAAGAGTGAAGGGGCATTGGGGGCTGGGAGAGAGGAAGTTGTGCAGAAAATGAAATGTGTTATCTGAAAAGAGATGTGGGAGGAGGTACAGACTTTTTTTTTTATCTTGATCTCAGCACTGCAGGGCAATTTTACTACAGGCCTGTAGGTTAGAGAGCAGCATGCTAGAGGGTGAAGGGGGCGGGGAGGAGGACTGAACAGGAGAGAGGGAGAAATGAAGACTGGAAATACAGCAACATAGAAATGGGAGATGAGAGAAAAAAAGAGAATTACAAACATCAGGTGGGCTTCCAGAGAGAAACAACTACAGCACTGTGTTTCATGCACAGATGGAGGAAGTTGCTCTCATTATTTTCGTCCTACAATCAATCTGGGAATCCTTGAGATCAGGTTCTTCTTGAAATCTATTGATCTATCTCCTGCTGCAGTTCGAAATCATAACATATGGCCATTAAAACCAATGAGCTTTGTTGTACCTCATGAATCACAAATATTAACAACTAGTTTTAATGACTATGGTTGACTGTAACTTTTATCCAAGATTTTCAATGGTGTTACTGTCTGTATGGTTAAACTATGAGGTCTAAATGCTATTAATTCAGGCAGGGATCGCAGATGAGGAGAAGGATCCCTCATGGTTTCATTGAACTGGAGGGGAAACACTGAGAAGCTCAGCTCTTTCTCTTCTCTTTCTCTTACCCTCATAAATAATAACTACAAATCTACAGTCAGAGGGAACGCAGGCCTTTAATAATGCAGCTCCCTAAAACGTTTCTTCCCAAATAATCATAACTGCAAGTCAGGTCTTGGAGACAGCCTGGAAGGTGTCCTACAGTTTTTTACATTGCTCTCTCATTTTTTCAGAAAAAACATGAATATATATGTTTACATTGAGAGAAGAATTAGTGCGGGCTGTAATGGTTTACATGTTCCTCGGGCTGTTTTTTTAAGGCTGTGTGGATTTATTTTAAGTTGTCTTGAACTAAAGGAAAAAAAAAAGTTGTTGGTGTATTGATCCTACATCATTATATAAAGGCTGAAAGAAGAGCTGTAGATGTGATATACAAAACAAAAATGGCAGCTTTCCTGCAGCTTAATTCCTCTGTAGCAGTATGGTGTGTGGCTGCTAAAGTTGTGTTCAAGTGTCTTTGTGTTACAGGCAACTAGCCATTTTTGTAGGGCACGGCGATATGGCCTCAACTCAATATCACGACGTATTGAGCAGTTCACCTCAATAACGATAAATGGACGATAATTACTCCACGAGCTGTTCAACCCCTCCTACATTAACTTCATCTACTGCAGCTGCCACTCCAACTGTTGAACCGTCCTCCATCTCCTCACCTGTCTTTCCTTCTATGTCACAGACTGGATGGAGACTATAGCCTACCTACACACATCTAAAACAAACTTTTAGTTTTTTTTTTTGTTTGTTTTTTTTGACACTGAATATATTGACGTGCAAAAGGACATTGGTTATTGTTGTAAATTTTGTTATCGGTAAATTTTTTGTTTATCACCCAGGCCTAGCCGTAGATGTGATATACAAAACATAAACGGCCGCTTTCTTCCAGCTTAATTCCTCTGTAGTAAGTACTGTGTGTGGCTGCTAAAATTGTGGTCAAGTGATTTTGTGTTACAGGCAATTAACCTTTTTTTGCGTTTGAAAGGGATTAACATAGGAAACATCAGCTCTGCAGCTGTTTAGCAACATAAATCCTAAAAATATGCAAATTAGGAAAAGACAATCTGAAGGAAAAACAAGAGCGGCAATAATGAACAAAACATATTAAATGTGCTTTCTGAGACTAAAATGCAACACGTTATTGCAACTGTTTTTCTCCAACTTTTATCTGATTCACAAACAAAGCCAAAAAATCAATCATGGACGCTCAACATAAGCTGTGTATGTGCTCAAGCAGTCACTGTGCATCACAAATTATTGATTCAACAGAATGTTGATTGATTCCCAATGGTGTTAATGCACAGCCGCCTTAATGTTGCATAATATATTCTCTTGGGTACTCAAAGTTATTGATTATCAGACTGAATACATTCTTCATGACCCTTGACCTCGGGTCTTTTCATATATGGATGACCTTAAGACCGCAGCTCTGCCTGTTGTCTTTGCATGCATGAATATGGAACATAGAGGGCCCAAGAGACAAAACAAGTACTTCTATCACAAAGCTGAGTGAAAAAATAAGCCGCCAACCTACTCCAGGACCAGGTTATAAAACCACGCACCCCAAACCAAGTTAGGCAAATAACAGGCCTGTCACAACTGGCTGACTAGCTGTATTTAAAAATAACCCTGTGGACTATCAGTGAGCCGGACCTAAAGCTGCAGCTAAAAAGGAGTAACCGTCTTTGCATTGATTCTAAAGAGAGCTACATGATCCCGAAATTGAACCCCTCATTGGGTAAGATCCTCCTGAATTTATTACACCCTTAGAGTCCAACAGGTAAGTACGATCCTATAACATATGCATGTTTTTTTCAGGTGTACCAGACTCTGACAAAGCATCTGTCTGCAGCTGTGACCTGACCATGACTCACCTATTTCACAGCTCTCTCCAGAGAAACCCTGTGGACAGTAGCAGCTGTAGCCATCACCCTCCTGCAGGCAGCTTCCCCCATGGAGACACGGGCTGGTGTGGCAGGGGTTATTCTCCACTGAAAAGATTGAGACACATAATTGTTAATATCCACATTTAATTTTCTATTTCCTTTTCCACAGAGTAAGACCATCATGAAAGTGCCTTCAATAAAAAAAAAAAAGTCATAATTAAAACTGGCTGATCCAGAGTGACACCCCTTTTATAATCTTCATCAAGCCTGTCCTCCTCTTCCTCTCTAGCAGGGGCACAGACTAGACTTGGCAGACACCACTGTCCTCATCTCTGTCTCTATGACTTTGTGCAAGGTAACAGATGGGCTGCTGTTGTTTCATTTTGTGATTCCTGCCAAGAAAAGAACAACGCTGAGTCGACCCTTCTCCTGCCTCTCACTCCATGTCCTCCTGATGAGTTAAGGTCCTCGTAAATCAGCTGATCATCAACCAGTCATACTTGTGCAGGCACCAGTTTAATAGCACATGACTGCGTCTTCTAGAGGGTAATAAACACAATTTACATTGGTGGTCTATAACTCCATGCCTTTGGGTAAGAAATCTTCTGGCAGATTAATGGCAGAGGATGAGAATATATAAAATTAAAATGATTGCACTTATATTTTAAAGAGGGACAGAGGGACATGGAAATTCAGACAAGGGTAGTCAGAGGGGGTCCAAGAGTTTTGTTTTTTTTTTTTTCTAATAAAAGGACTGGCTAGATTAACTGGCTTTTTATTATCCAGTTCTGATAGGACCGCAGCCTCTTACACAAATCTGTCAGGTCATCTAAAACACTATCTTCTTCATAATAACTGTCTTTAATGATGTATGAGCAGATAGATGCAGTTTCCTTAAAGTCTAGAAATTCTGTCAGTTTTTGGGTATGAGTATGGATGTGCCAGAGGTAAGGATTCCCCTTAAAAACTTAAAGACATATTCCGGAGTAAAGTTAAGTTAGGGTCAAACACTGTAACAGATCATTTCCAACACTACAATAATCATTTTGCACTACAGACCGAGACGCGGTAGGTCTTCTGCCTTAGTGTCTTGGTCTGATTGCATTTCCATGAAGTAATGATCATAAATGTTCTTCCCTGAGCTGCGAAACTCCACTGCATTCGGTGATCGACTCTTCAGGGCTCTTCCAACAAACAAGCGGCTGCTGGAGGAAAGTAGGTGAGTTGTGTTTGGTCTCTTTGCTAAAGAAATCAGGCCAAGTTAAAAAAATGTTTGGTGACTAGCACTATGGCTGGGAGCCTATATGTACTGTTGATGAAGTTAGGTGATGTTCTGAGCATTATTTGTGGCTATAGAGTGGCTTTTTGGTTGAGGTTTGTGCGTGGAGTGGTAGACCGCTGTGTATTGCTATCATTCGGTTGTCACTAAAGTTGGTATGACCAGAGAAGCAAGCAGTCAGCAAGATTTATCTCACAAGGGGGTGTCTAACTCGGTGTTACAGCGTGTTTGACCATAACTTCATTTTACGCCAGCATATCCCTTTAAGTCTTGACTCAGGCTCAAGCTTTAGTGCATGCTCATTTATCATTTTGTATTTTTGCTCAATTGAAGCCCCAGTGAGTGCAAAAACTCATCACAGAGCTTTAAATTGTGTCTCTGGACAAATATCCACTTTAGCTAGCCTTGCTGTATGTGGTACAGGATGAAAGCTGAGGTGTAGCTGCAAAAAAGAGTGATCCAATCTGCAGACAATTAGTAATGGCTTATTACACACAGATCAGACTGCAGTACAGAAATGTCTATGCCATGGCAATATATAGCCAGTCTGGAGATATGAAGCAGTTGCTGTGGAGTGAGACAACAGCATATAAAGGAAGCAGTCCTTGTATGGTGTTTCTTTGGTTTCTTTAGGTAACATTTTGCTGTTTAGATAAGATAAACTTTTATTCATCTCGTGGTGGGAGAACTTGCAACTGTCTTGGGAATGTGAGAGAAAACAAATTAGAGATGAGTATGAGAAAAGAGGAAAGTTAGTAATGGAGAGAACGTCACAGAGGGAGCTATTAAACATGTTGTCCTCTCTTAATGTTTGCTACTAGCTTATGATTAGTTACACACTGCTCCTGAAATAGGTTCTCTCTTCTTGTCCTTCTGAGTATGTCTTTTTCTGTTCAAAAGAAAGACAAAAATGAGAGCGAGGAAGGGGAGATACAGTCTTTGCAGCTCTTAGTAGACACATGGAGACCAGCTGTTATGAAGAAAGAGGTTTATCATCCTTACACTGGTTAGAAAAAGCAAAGTTTTTACATGTAGATACTCAGATGCTGAGTCCCTGAAATAGATCACATACTGCTTCTCTTCAGTAGAGTGAAAAATTTTTGATATCTGTTCCCCTGTGTTACATTCTCCATCATGTAACCTTTTAAATCTCCTTGTTGAACAGAAGCATCAGGAAAGTTTCTCCCATGATAACTTATACATACACCAGGATTAAGAACCAAGAGTTCTGGAGTTAGATGAATGTTTTGCACCCTACTAACCCTTAAGTTGAGTAGGTAAAACATTTGCCACAATAGAGGCCTGAAGAGAAACTCGCACAGACAGAAACACTATTATCTAAAACAATAAACACATATTTACATGGCAAAACAGCAGGCACTTAACAATCATCGTACATTCACCCGTTTAACACCAGGCATGTTACGATGCTCAGACTCACTGAAGCTTGTAATAGCTTTGCCGAGACAGAGCTCACACCTCAGCCTGTTCAAATGTTCCCCATCTCTAAGCGTGATAAGCCATCATCTCTCCAGCAAAAGCTCCCTGTTAAAATTTAATGCCACTTCTCCGAAAGGTGCTGAGGCTCCCAGCGCAGTTAGAGCCAAATGGACGTCTGCACTAAACTGCAAAATACAGGCTTAAATACAGTCAATGGCTGTATAATACAGTCATCACTGTAATGGCTGAATGAGTCTGTAGCATGAGATATTCAAAGTGTCACTTCCGTGATTGCTGAAGTGAACAAGGCTTTAATTTATTTGGTGATGATCCAAAACAAGAGAAGGCATCAGCAACACAAAAAACAATGTGAAACTAAGGTCAATATTAAAACTGAAGCCAGAATCAGATAGTTTAAGGGGATATTCCGGCGTAAAATTAATTTAGGGTCAAACACACCGTGACACTGAGTTAGACTACCTACTGAGAGATGAATGTTGCCAACCGCTTGCTCTTCTAGTTATACCAACCTTAGTAACGACCGCACGATAGCAATACAGAGAGTTAGCGCTCAACCAAAAAGCCACTCCATAGCCACAAATACTCAGAACAGCGCCTAACTTCATCAACAGTACATATAGGGTCCCAGCCATAGTACTAGCCACCTAACATCTTTTTAGCTTTGCCTAATTTCTTTAGTAAAGAGACTAAACACGAAGAACATTTATGATGAAGGCAGAATAACTACCGTGTCTGCAGTGCAAAATGATTAATCAGGTAATTATTACTTCAAGGAAATGATAAAGTAATGATAATAAATTTTCTTCCTTGAGCTGCGCACCCCGCTGTAGTCCCTAATGGACTGGCCCAAGGTCTCACTACAAACAAGCGCCTGCTGGAAGAGAGTAGGTGAGTTGTGTTTAGTCTCTTTGCTAAAGAAATCAGGCAAAGCTAAAAAAGATGTTTGGTGGCTAGTGCTGTAGCTAGGACCCTATATAGTGTATATGAAGTTAGGTGCTCTTCTGAGCATTATTTGTGGCTATAGAGTAGCTTTTTGGTTGAGGTTTGTATATGGCTCCCCAGACTGCTGTGTATTGCTGTCCTGCGGTCATTACTATAGTTGGTATAACTAGAGAAGCAAGCAGTCGACAACATTCATCTCATGAGGGGGGTGTCTAACTCGGTGTTACAGTGTTAATTTTACGACAGAATATCCCTTTTAAGCCTCTGTGTTCATTTTGGCACACCCTGTGAACAAAGTGGTAACCCTTGTATTGTTGCTGGTTGTGTCTCTTCCTTGTTAAAGTGATATTAAAATCTCTCTCTGCTGTGCTTTTACAGTGAAATGTATCACTCACTGTGAACATTTGCAATAGGAAAAGTAATTGAGGTTTCTTCAGTGTAGCTACCGTCTCCACAGTTCACAATGAATAAATTATAGATCTTTTATTGTTGATTTGATTTGCTTTTGTACATGATAGAGTTATCATTGTTTATTTAAAATTCCGCATTGCAGCTTTAAGTCAGTAAAGCCATTTTCTTTTTTCAGATAAATTTAGAATTTCTTGGAGCAAGTAGTAACACAGAAGTAATCAGAAAATGGGAAAATTGAAAATAGTCTCACATTAAGACAGACTTTGAAAACAGAAATGACCTCGTTCCATTAGCAAATATCTAACTGACTGTAATTCAAAGGAACCTCAAGAAGATTCAGATTCATTGGTGAGCAGGGATTTGTTGGGCTAAACTGGGTTGTGAATAACAATAGACCATGTAATTTGAACTAATAATAATTTTATTTGTTTTATTTTTTATTGCAGTGTTTCTAGATCCAGCTGTGAAGATTTGCCTGTCATGTTACCGCTGAAATAAATGACAGAAATTGTTGAAACACACTTGTTCTGTGAAGAAAATCACACCTATCATCTGGAACTTTATCGAGGCAAAGCTGACAAGTGTCTCCAGTTACTGTTGGATCAGTTTCCATCTCCACTCTGACAAGATTAGCAGATCTGATCAGGTAGTCAGTTGTATTATCTTTGTATGAACATGTCCTTAGATGGACCAGACAGGCACTGACCGAGGATGAGCTTCGGCTGAGGCAGAGAAAAAGGGTTACAACTCATTTCAGTCGGAATAAAGATAAGCCCTGATATAATATTTAGTGCAGTCTGACATGACTTCATTGATTTACCGAGATGAGCTGCATGAGGATGGGGGGAGGACTGAGACAGACTGAGCGATTACTTATATATGTAATCTTGTTGGCTGACCGGTTTTACCTTTGCTGATAATGTCAGCACCCCAACATTCAGCCTTAGCAGTCCGGGGTCAGCAGGCCTCACCTCCATGAATCATAACCCGCTTCTTTCCCTGTAACCCCCTGTACACCTAGTGGTGTACAATAAATCCCTGGAGTGGAGACTGAAAAGACGAATAAAACACAATCTGCTCCACAGCATTACAGCACATCTTTGTGTGTAGTGTAATTGATTTGAACAACTGGTCATAAATACTACAGGTCTGCAGAGCTGGTGGCATGGTGCACATTTTGTAAAAGGAGGATTATGAGTAGGGCAGGCATTAAAATATGAAAACTAGGTAACACTTTACAATAACCATAATTTATAAATGGTAAATAGATAGTTTATTAATTTTTAATCATCATTTAAAAACAGCATATAGACCAATTATAAATGGCAAATAGATAGTTAATTAATGTAGGTTAGAAGTTACTTTACCATTAACAAGCAATGAAAATATGTCAAATTTACAATTTACTAATGGTCTATATGCTATTTATAAATGATGATTAAACATTTATAAACTATTTGCTTGCCATTTATAAATGGTCTATTTACCATTACAAGTTTTACCAGAAACTATGATGACACTAATCTGTGTCAGTCGTGATGTCAACCATACAGTGCGTAGTTACGATTAGGCATGCAGTATGTTCACATGTTGTTAAAAAAAATCATTACCAAAACAAAATCAGCCTAATCAAGCCACTGAGAGACAAACAAGGCTGAATTACTAAAAGACCATTATGCTTAAGTGTGCTGAGTTATGAATGATTTACAGAGGGGCGTTCTCATTCAGAAGTTGGGTTTTTATTGCATAACACACCCTTACATGCGTATGACATAATACAATAGAGCTGTGGACAAGCAAGAAGAGAATTCATTCAGGCTTATCATCACCAGCACGTCCAATTTTCCTCCCTTTGTTCTCAACATGACTTTGCTTTTATTGTTGGAGCTTTGTAAAATAAATTTTAAAAAAAAAAACATTAAAAACTAACTTTTATCTTTCTCCAGTCCAAAAAGTGTGAACACATGCTTGCTGATATGAGTGTATATTAAAAAAAAATAAAAAAAACCTTAAAAACTAACTGTTATCTTTCTCCAGTCCAAAAATATTTCAAAAAAAAAGAATGAAAATAAAGTGTGAATTTACTTCATTACTTCATATGCTTGCTGATAGGAGTGTATATTCACATAAAATCATCCTGTCACAGTGCAGTGAGTGCTCAGGGGTAAAACACTCGTAAATAATTGACAGATATGCGTACAGAGTTTCTACTCGTAGTGTTATTGTTCTTAACCTTGAAATGCCTTTTGCATAACAATTTGTAATTGTGTTGCCCTCACAGCAAGTTACACACAACTCAAATGCAAAAGACAGTTTGTATTATGGCTCTGGGTCAAGATGTGTCTTAGTTGATACTCCCTGCCAGTCTATTAAATATACCTCTAGATGATTCACTGACCTTGCACAGGTGACATAGCATGGTGTATAGTTATAAGCAGTTACTCAAAACAACAGAGTGCTTAATCTGAAAGAATAAGTCATACACCACACAGACAAAAGCATATGCAAAGAGTTTGGATCTTCTGCTTGTGGTGTGTTTGTTTGCTGTTGTGATTATTAGAGACACACAGGAGTGTGTAAGCAGAACATTTGCCTTCAGACTTTTCAAAAACTCAACAAAAAAGGACTTCATATGACCTTTATGAATTCTGCAAGAAAAAAACGTATTACCCAAAATCTTTACAAAACATCACTGCTTCTTTAAACATACTTCAATTCTATATAGCTCACCTGATAATATCCACACCTTTACACCTACCTGCCTCTCTGTTACATATACCTCCCTCTTCTTGACACTTGTCATTGCCTGTTCACTTGCTATGAGTGCTCCCTGCTGGGACACATCTGTGCCTGTGAATAAAAAGCCCTAAATGATGGGACCACCTGCTGGGGGCTTGCAGGGAGACAAATGCCCCTCTACTCTGTCCTGCTCTATCCTCACCGTCTACAGTCCACCATTATTGCAGCTTTGAAATCCCAGCTGTGTGCACTCATCCTATGTAGCCTGAAAATACCTAAATTTGAACTCGTAACACCCTGAAGGCAGGTGGCTTCATGTAAAAATGACTGCCTGCATGAATGACTCACCGAGTCAATGACAAATATGTGTGTCGGACTACAAAAGAGGATAAAAAATGTGAAAATAATCCTCAAGAATACCGCTCCTTAAATCTAAAGATTCATTTCCACTGTCTGTTGAACATTTGTCACCTACATACATCCACATTCTTCTGCTTAAGGGGTAAAAGAAGTTGTGTTTAGGTGCAAAAGTGATGCTCTTCTGATCTAAAAATCAAGTCCATGTGCAGCTATTTTGTCCTCAACCGTTGTCCTCTAGGAGGACAGACCTGTTAGATACAGATAGTGAGATGAAATATTTTCCAGCTAAAGGAAGCAGTTTCCTGACGTCTCATCTGATAGCTTCTGAATGCTGCATTGTAACAGGTACCAACATAACCCCACCAGATTAAATTCTTCCTCCCTGCACTGCACACAATGCCTCCACACAGAGGATTACATTCCTGACAGCACCCTGTCAAGCTTTTTATATCCATTCATGCCTCCATCTTTCAGTCTTTGTGGCAAACAGAAGTGATGTTGTTACTCCATGACCCAACAACTTCAGAGGCTTTAAAGCTGAACCTGACAATAAAAACTTAGAGAGAGAGAGAGGGGGGTTTATTAAGGAGAATGTAACAAAACAGTCCTCAGGAAATTTGGCCATTATAAAAGAGGTCTCCCATTATTTACTGCACAGGGATGGCTTGCTTAATGAGCTCAATGATGAAGGGAGATGGTTATACCTGAATTGTTCAGGAAGCATGAGTGTAATGTTTTACTCTGCACTGTCACAGTAGACTGCTAATCTTAGATTTACATGGTTGGGAATTCAATCATTTTTTAAAGATTCTAAAAGTACAAAGAAACAGTCTAAGTTGGTAACCCTTCATATTTTAGTCCTTATCATAACCATTATTAAACCCTTTATTGCCTAAAACAACAAATTATGGCCAGAAAATTCAAATTTTTTGGAGCTGAAATGTTTATTTCACTATTTCACAAACAAAAAAAATGTAAATGTCCTTAAAATTTAAAAAATATATGTATTTATCTTGTTTGAGACATCAGATGTTTTTGGAAAAGAGGGCATTTTTATCATTTATCGGACTGTATTAAGGTGTTTTTTTTTAGTAATTTGTTGATCATATTGATTGAAAGAAGTATCATGAAAGTATGTATTACACCACATGACAACAGCACTTCAACCTTCACACCAGACAAATGCCAGACTTTCCTCCAGTTCTTCCAGTCCAAAATAGACAACATCTACAACAGCCTCCAGTCTGCAACTTCCGCCCCCACGCCCCACCCCAAGTCCCCCCCCTTGTGCTCCCCCCACACCTCTGCTCAGCCCCTATCCCAGTTTTCCCCCATCTCTCATGCCCAACTCTCCCAGTTAATAACCAGCATGAAGACTCCCACCTGCACCCTGGACCCCATGCCCTCTGCACTCGTTAAGACCTGCCTTCCAGTCCTTTCTCCACTAATCCTCTCCATAGTCAACTCCTCCCTCCACACCGGATCAGTCCCCGACTCCCTCAAACTGGCTGCTATCACCCCAACCCTCAAAAAACCTGGACTCGACCCTGACATAATTTCTAACTTCCGCCCAATTTCCAACCTTCCTCTGCTTTCTAAAATATTAGAACGTGCCGTCGCCTCTCAGCTTCAGACCCACCTCAACTCCAACAGCCTCTTTGAAGTCTTCCAATCCGGTTTCCGTCCCAAACATAGTACAGAAACAGCCCTCCTCAAGATTTGCAATGACCTCCTCCTCAGCGCTGACTCCGGCCACATTAGCATCATGATTCTCCTGGACCTCACCGCTGCTTTTGACACCATCCACCACTCCATCCTCCTTTCCCGTCTTCATGACTCAATCTACATAACTGGCACTGCCCTCTCCTGGTTTAAGTCATACCTCACAAACCGTCAACAATTCATTAACATAAACAGCAACTCCTCCACCACTGCTCCCCTGACCCAAGGTGTCCCCCAAGGTTCGGTGCTTGGCCCCCTCCTGTTCATTATTTACATCCTCCCTCTTGGACATATCATCCGTCGTCACGGCCTCCAATTTCACTGTTATGCTGACGATGTCCAACTTTACATTTCCACTGAATCCATCACCCCATCCACCCTCTCCACCCTCTCAACCTGCCTCTCCGAAATAAAGACCTGGATGACTAACAACTACCTTCTACTGAACTGTGACAAATCCGACATGATAATCATTGGCCCCAAATCCATCACCCAATCCATCCCCCCTTCTCCATCACAGTTGATAACTCACCCCTGTCTCCTTCCTCCTCCATCCGCAACCTTGGACTCATCTTTGATACCCACCTCACTTTCGAACAACACATCAAACAGGTCACTAAATCAGCCTTTTTTCACCTCAAAAACATTGCCCGTATTCGCCCATCTCTCTCCCTCCCCGCAGCAGAAACCCTGGTCCACGCCTTCATCACCTCAAGGTTAGATTACTGCAACAGCCTCCTGTACGGTCTACCCTCTAAACTCCTCAACAAATTACAGATAGTCCAGAATTCTGCCGCCCGCCTCCTTACCCACACCCGTTCACGAGACCACATCACCCCCATCCTCCTCCGTCTACACTGGCTCCCCATCAAGCAACGCATCATGTTCAAGATCCTCCTTCTCACCCACAAAGCCCTTCATCATCAAGCCCCCTCTTATCTCACCGACCTACTCCAGCCTCATGTACCCCCCCGTAACCTCCGTTCCTCCTCTGCCCATCTTCTCACCCCACTGTCACGACCCAAGCACCGAACTTGGGGGGATCGGGCATTCTCCACAGCTGCCCCTACCCTTTGGAACTCGCTACCTCCCTCCATCAGACACTGCCCTGACCCCACTACTTTTAAATCCCTTTTAAAAACTCACTTATTTAAAATTGCTTTTAATATTTAACTTTCGTCCATCTTACTGTTTTTATGTCTTTGTCTTATTATCTTGAATTTTACGTACCATGTAAAGCGTCTTTGAGTGTTTTTAAAAGCGCTGTACAAATAAAATGAATTATTATTATTATTATTAAATATGATACAAATGGCAAAAAAGGATTAAGAGCTATTTAGCCACTAATACGACACTATAAGATGCTTGTAAACATTTATAAGTGATATGTAATAACAAAAAGATCGGTAAAATGTATTTATTTTTTGCTTGTAATACAGTTTTAGGCTTTAATTAAAGACTTGTTAACAGTTAAGGTTCCATTCATAAGCATAAATATAATGTTTAATAACATTAACTAGACTTTATATGGGTCAATTACAGATTAATAAACATATTTTTTATTAGCTTGCATGGAACTTAATATTTATGACAGTAAACACAGCTTTTAAAATTTGATAAGATGCTTACTCAACTGTATTTTAACTGTATTAATAAAGATTGATTAATCTTGATGTATTAATGTGCTGTATATAAACATTGTAAATGTTAATTTCAAAAGTCATGTAACAATATTGTTGGCAATATGTTTCCTACAAGTGTGTTAAAAGCTTGTATAAATTGGTAATCTTAATTAACCCTTACAATGTCTAATTAATGTCAATAAACATTCTGTTGATGTGTATGACAGGTGCATAGTTTCTCATGAAAGCCTAAACGTGAATAATAAGATATAATAAATGTGTAGATAATGCTCATATTAACATTCATAAACGTTTAACAGCAACTAATATGGTCTTACAAGACGCTTACCAACAAGGACTATTATTCATAATTTTAGCATCTTTACATTGGCTACCGGCTGTTTTTACAATTGATTCTAAGATTATTTAAATGACATTTAAGGCCCGTCATAGACTAACCTCACCCAATGCTTCTGAGCTTTTATCACCTTTTATAACAAGATCCTCTGGGAGTGCTTTGCTGGCTTTTCTGAGGTCCATGGTTGAAAACCAAAGGAGACAAGGCTTTTGCTGTCAATATTTACTTTGATTTTACTTAGGTGTATGTGATGTAGCTTTTTATATTTACTGTTTGGTCGTTATAGTGATTGTGAAGCACTTTGTTGTCTGTCTTAAAAAGTGCAACACAAATATAGTATCGCAATGTAAGTATAACCAAAAAGGCTCCTACAGCATGTTTCATTGAATTTTAGACCCATGCCACAGACCCACCAAACCAAATCTATTGTACCCAAAGAAACTGATAAAATCAAAATTGAGTTTGGTATCCATTGTAACCATGTGAATGGAAACATTGTAGTAACAGTCAAAAAAAGCAAACATCTATCGGTCTTGGCAGGAGAGGTAACCTAAAATCAGACGATGCTGCCTGTGATGAGGTTTCCGAAGGCACAATTGTTATCAGGACTTTGTTGTGGCAGCAAAATGAATAAATGAATTATCCTTATAATACAAAGAAATTTCCTTCCCAGCCAACTGTTTGGGTGCTTTTCCATTTCAGACTCACTTCAGAAAATTAAAAATCTTAAAGTACTGAAAAACATTTGCTTGACATTTTCACCCACTTCACAGAAAATACCCAACTGAATTATTCAGTCGCTGTTTTTTAATCTTTTTTTAAATTAGATTAGTTTTTTTATACATATGTAATTCAAAGCACTTTGGAAAACCAGACACATTTTCCTGTAAAAAACACTGCTTGATGTGTTATCCCATGACCCTCCTAGGAGAGTACTCGACTCGGTCTTAAGAGAGAGTGAGAATTAAAAACTGATTTACTTCCACATATCAAACACTTAAGACATAAGCTTTACCTCCTCTTCAGAACAGATTTATCTTGGCATAAGTTTCTCTCTACATCCCCAGATAACTTATAACCCGTGCTTGATGACCAGCTTGATTTATCAAAGAAGTTTTATGCTATCACCCACAAGCTAAATATATCTCTACTCAATACCATATGAATTCTTACAGCTGAGGCAACAACAAACCTGGTTTTTCACTTAAAAGTCCATTGACATGTGGGCTCCTTCAGCCTAATGCACATGCAAGAAATAAGGGCCTCTATGCAGTTAAATCAGCAGTGATAGCCAAAGTATTTAGTTTACTGAGAACAGAACTTCCAAGTCATGTAATTTAAATAGTAAATGTTGTGAACGTCTCTAATCTTGATTGATCATACTGTTCATGTGACAGCCACACACATAAACACATACATATACTTAGTGCTGGGCGATAGGACGATACATATCGTGGGCACGATAGAAAATGTCTATCGTGCCATTTTTATTTTTATCGTTTCGGGCGATAGGCTGTATTTAATCCATAGGGCTTGTGCCATCAGATGATTCATAGTAACAACAACAATAATTGCACATTCAATAAGTGTATTTGGTGTCAAACGGGAAAGAAGACAATATTTTCTTACAAAGAAAAGGATGCGTTGACATGTAGGCTTGCATTTCTCTTTCGATTTTGCGACATGACGCCGCTTTACGTGCCCTCTTCGTGTCCAGCGTCTCCCGCCGTTGCGGGTTACCTGAGTTACACACGTGAGGGGATCATTGTAAGCAGTGCTTAATTTGTGCCGGAGCAAGTCGGAGCGCACTCTGGGACCTCTTTTGATCGGACCCGGGACCTATTTCAGCCGCTCCGGCACCTGTTTCATCTGCTTCGGGACCCTCCCTGTAGAGGATGACATTTTTCGGGAATTCCCGTGGGTCACGTGATTCCCGCGGGAATCCCACGGGATGGGAGTCATTTTTTAATTAATCCCTTGATCGGGACGGGACGGGAAAAAAAGCAACGGGAGTGGGCAGGAGCGGGAACAACATTAAAAGATGATCATTTTCAGCCGTGTTTAACAACCAGATGAACAGGTGCGTCCATTTTTGTAGTCATGTCTCAGTGAGAGCCAACACTCTTGACCGCGCTAGCAACACAAAAGAACTACAACAGTGGTTTGACTTCCTGTCAGCTGGGAGCGCGGCTGCGCATTTGTACTCTTCAAGCCAGCAGCGAGGAAACGTAATTTTGTGACATTCTGTAGTTTTTCAATCATTTCTGGAGTCGTGGCGAATCAAATCACCTTACCTGTCTGCCCCTGATAGGCGAATAAAGCGCTCGGATTCATGCTCGGGTCTTGCTACGTGCTTCAAGAGTAAAGTAAACAATGATGGAGGCAGAGAGCAGCTTTGGAGGAGAAACATCCAGCAGTGTGAACAACCTCTTCAGAAGAGCCCTAAAGACCTACCTTTTTAATAAAGCCTTTGGTTAGTTTTCCTCTATGCTTTATGCTTTTACTACCTTGCCTCTTTCATTGCAACTCTATATATATATATTTTTTAATTCTTTTTTTATGCCAATCTGTGACTGTCATTCTATTGCTTTTTTTATTGTTGCTGCTCTTTTTTTACTGTGTACTGTAGCACTTTGAGATTTTTTGTAAAGGTAAAGCGCATTACAAATTAAATTTATTATTATTATTATTATTATTATTATTATTATTATTATTATGGAGTGCTTTGGCTCACACTATTGGCGTTTTCTGTGAGTGTTGCATAACTTTGGGTGAGCACAGACATGAACACACTTCAGCCACGTACTTATTTATTCATTTTGCTAGTTTTAAGTGCTGGTCTTGTACTGGTACTGTACTAGTGCAGCTGTATACACTTAAATTTTTCATAGAACTGAAAGCATACCATAGCTATATCGTGATATATATCGTTATCGTGATATAAAATGGTCCATATCGTGATATACATTTTTTTCCATATTGCCCAGCACTACATATACTGATGGCAGACAGCTATACAAAGGGCCCATCAGTACTAAGTCATCATTCAAACATTCACAAGCTGCTGGCAGTGCCACTGGGGGCGATGGACTTTACAACCACAACATAAAATAGTCCATGTTCCTGCCCCAGAAAGCTGATTCAAGGTCTCAAACAACCAAGACAAACTGGACATCTATCCACAGTCCTTCCCTGATAATGTCTTACCCTGACTGACCCTGTCTCCATTTATCTCCTCCAAACCCCATTTGTCCTCACAAAGACTCTCCGACCTGACTTTGCTCTTTCAAAATTTCACACTGTAATGTGGTTGAGGGTTTCCTGCTGTGCTATTGATGCTGCCAGAGGTCTGATCCATCTTGAGCCAAGGATAAGGATGTTGTCAAGATGGCTTTAACTCAGTAGCACCTTGCCCTATATTTGTTAGAGTTTCAGACTGGCATTGGTATCTAAAAAGCTGGGCAGACAGCAAACATGACTATATTGCCTCACTGCTTCACCTAATCAAACAGTTCGAAAGCAGAGCACAGAACCATGTGCCAAAACCTAGAAATCAATTCATTTTTTACTGGTGTTATTACCAAGTCTGACAAATACTTTTCGATTATTCAATATGGAAAAGTAAATACATGAAATCTTTTTTCAGTCATATCCTGTGTGTGTATTTGCATGCAATGTTTTCATATGTGGGATGGATTAGGTGCTCTCCAGTGTAATCTTGGCATGCTGGTGTTTTTCCACATTTATTTGTTTTTTTATGTGTATTTGTCCACTCGTCTGTGTGGGTTTGGCGAGAGACCAGAGCAATAGGGAATCTGACTGCCAGATATAGCATCACATACCAGCATTTTTATTGCCCCTTATATACAGCCAAAAAGGACACAGTGAGGACTGAGGCTGTTTTAATAAAGCAATAAATGAAGACTGGGGGGAAGTAAAGAAAGACTGAAGAAAAAAGAAAGCAGAGGGAGGACAGGTATCGGCAAGAGTGTCCTCAGAGAGCAGTACAACTGTGTTAGTCTGGTCTCTGATCGTTGATTGGAGAGGTTTATGTACTCCCATATACAGGATATACAGGAGGACAGAAGGCACAATCACCCCCTTCTCTCTCTCTCTCTCTCTCTCTGCTCACCAACTTTTCCTGCCAAGAGTTGTCCCTCCACCTGCCCTTTCCCTCCTCACTTTCTCTGTCTCTCTACTGTGACGGGCAGACAACGATTACTATAAATCTCTGTGTGCTAAAACTGACAAACACGAAAAGCCACTCAGAGGAAAGGTCTCAACAAGAGCAGGGCCACCACATCCATTCAAATTTGGCTGTGTCAGAAAAAAACTAACACAAAATGTACGCTTCTACACTGGTGTTGCTTTTTTTTATTTCATTATCAGATAGAATTTAAGATGAAACTTAAAGCTGCAGTAAGGAACTCTTGGTTTGTGTCAAAATAGGCAGCCCCCCAGACAAAACTGTATTTCCTCAATATGATCATTACAGGCTAAAGTAGTACCTTTTGAAATTAAAGCTCATCCTGCTGACTTTTGACAGTCAAATGTATCATTTATTGTAAATATGTTATATGGAGATTGCAAAAAAGGGGCTGCCTCTTTAGCTGCGTGACAGAAACCTACTCCCTCACACCAGATTCAAACGTTGGGAATTACTGTATGAAAATGTTCAATCTTGTCGCTGATGGTTGTGTATGCATCAAGATAGTGCTGGACGATAATTCGATAACAATATATATCGATCGATAGACGTGTGGTGCGATAGAAAAAAAACGGGTCGATAAAAAGTTCGATAGAAAAACACAGTTTCCCTTTCTTTTTCATCATAGCCTATCATGTAGCTTTTACTACAGTCATTACTTCCTCCCAACCAATCACAAACGCAGACCCAGGTACGCTACGGCACCAAGCCCAGCCCTTATCAAACCACAACAGACAGCACGTGTATTAGAAAAAATGATACAGCAAGGAGAAGCGGAGGACATTGTCCCGAAAAAAGGTTTCAGTAGTTCACCAGCATGGTAATGTTTTGGTCTGACAAAAAGCAAACAGCGGTCGTTTGCAAAATTTGCAGAGAATTAGTAAAAACGAAGTCTGGTAACACAACCAACTTGTTTTACCATCTAAACCGATCGCACCCGCAGAAGTACGAGCTGTGTCGGCCGCGCCGCGGCTCCACGTCGTCGTCGGAGGAATCCGCTGGAACCGCTGCCAGCACCAGCACAAAGCAAGTGAAGCAGACCAAACTGGACTTCGTTTCTTGCCAAAATACGACAAAGCGTCCGAGCGGCATAAGGACATCACCTATGCAGTAACATGCTCCATAGCGAGGGACATACTGCCAATAACTACCGTTGGAAAGCCTAGCTTCGACCAGCTTCTAGCCACTCTTGACCCGCGATATGAAGTGCCCGGCCGCAAGTGTTTCTCAAACACAGCGCTTCAGGCATGAAAATGGGTCAGGGGTTGAAAAGCTGAGAAGGGTGCGGAGGAAATACGTTCCGGTGTAGCTTCTTAAAGTGGAAGAAAATGAGCTCATATTTTACAAAGACGCGAGTATTTGGATCATGGCTACTAGCAGGGGGTGCATTCGGCAGGGGTGCATTCTACGACACAACACCGGCGTGGATAAGTCCTGCTTCTCGTGCTTAGTTTCTGTATTAAGTCAATCACATGATAATTAAAAAAAATAAATCTCCCGACCCCGGGAGAAATATTTCAGTGTTCAGACACCAGGCTGTGGGCAGTTTCCCACACAGTTAAAACTGGTAGTATGCTATTCCCACCTAAAGCTATTCTGTTTATTTATATATTTGTTTATTTTCATCAAAAGACTATTTAAATATTTATTTATCAGATTTGGTCACTTTGGTCTTTATGTTTGTCAGTATTTACTGACGTCACTCAGGCCACTTAAGTTGATTTCTTTTTTTTTTTAGTTCTTTTTTAAAAAACTTTCAGTTGTAAAATAAAAAAGGTGGTTAAATAAAGGTTTGAATTTGAATTCAGTGCTTGTGTGTTCTTTATTAAAAGTAGGTCATTAAGCAATAGCATAAAACATCCAGGGCTGCAATTAAAATATATGTTAAATAATTATAACAATTATATCGATAATTATCGATATCGATCAATATGATTTATTTTTTATCAATATGCTTTTTTTCTATATCGTCCAGGCCTACATCAAGATATCATGAAAAACCATCAGTAAAGCATCATCTGCCATCCTCATGACGAGGGCAGGTGTCAAGTTGGTCACCTTAAAAGCTGGGGCTGCACGATATATCTGCACGTGACTCTGCATGTGCTGTGCAGCGATCCACCAATCACATTCGTTCTTCACTCAGTTGCCAATCAGACTACCCTGCCAGCCATTAATCAAAATCAGAGAGGAGGAAACCACGCCCCTGCACATGTCCTGCACATGGAGTGAGTTGCTGGCACTGCCAGTGTTGTGCCAAGAAATGCATACCCACCGAGAATGACTAAGAATTGTATGGGTTTTAAATTGTACATTTACATGGACCACTCTACTACATGCAGGGTGCAATTTGGAAGGTGCATGCAATTCTTGGCAGACATGCATTTCTCAGCACAACACTGCTAACAACAACAACGATTGCAAAATGAGCGACGAACAAGAGATAACCACCAAAAACGAAGACTTGTTGCCAAAAAGAAATGCAACGTCAGTTAACATTTCGGTTACAAGAGGGATGATGTTGACCAAACACGTGTTCTGTGTCGGCAGTGCCTTTCATCTGTTGCCGCAACTAGAGAAAACAAGTCCCAGCACAATAAAAGCAAGCTTAAAATATCTCTAAGACAGGGAGAAGCCGTTCTACGAACATTCACAAAAAGAGGTAAGATCAGTGCAGGTTAACTGTCCTCAAGATTTCAGCAGTACAGCATAACATTAAGTGCTATTCAGGTCATCTGGTGAAAATTCCTGTATTTTTTAATATCGCAATATATATCGCAGGGTTGAAAAAATTGCAATGTTAGTTTTTTGAATGTCCTGCAGCAAGAGTTTAAAAAGCAGACTTTTAAAAGCAGAATTTTGATGTAAGTTAAGACAGAGGAAAAAGGCAATAAAAGACAAGCACATTCCATGCACAGCCGTAATAAGTGCCCCCCCTCCCTCCATGTACAGACACGATGGTCCTTGTCTCAGCAGTTGCTGATTCAACGCCCTACCACAACCTACTTCTGCATTCTTCCCTCACTCTCTACTCCCCCCGTTTTAAGTCCTTCTTTAGCTCTCCTATCAAAGAAAGACACCCCTCCCCTCCATCAGAAAAATAGTCATTTCCAAAACTCTGACAAAAGTGGTTTCACCGTTTTTAAAGGATACACAGTTTCTGTTCAGTTATTTAGGTTTTACATTGAAACGTACGCAACCTAAATTATTAGAGGCATGGATTGCTTCCAGCAGCAACTGAATCCAAAACAGCTCTGGCTCCTTCAGGCTGCCTTTTTTTTTCTAAGTGAAAATACTAATGAATATAAATGAGCTGCAGTGGTTTGCAGCAAAACAAAACAAATAGTCGAGTAACCATAGAAGGAAAGAACGAATATGAAGCAAACATAGTTAAGTCGTTAATACTACAAATTTAGACCAGGATGAGACAAGCAACACTTAGATTTGTTTGGTCTGGTAACTCTGAGGTTTTCCTCTAAAGCAGCAGATCGTTGATAACAAAGACAAATCCATGAGGCTGCTCGATAAAGAGTAGACACTGCTGTCATTGTGAGCAACATACTCAGGAAAGGAGTTAAAACAAACAAACAAAAAAAGAAACGAAAACAAATTTAGTCGGACAAATTTTAAAGTGAACACAGATCTAGGTGAAAACCAGAGAGGAGCACATGCTGCAGTCAATTACGAGTGCAATCTTGTAGCCGGGTCGACATTGATTTGTTGGGAGCTGGGATCTCGACCTCTTTCCATTTCGCCTAATTGCATCTACTCTGACCCATAATTACTTCGCTAAGACCTGGCTGATCTCACTTTAGCGCACTGAACTGCTGTCTGCAGCTGTTTGTCGCACCAACTTGATAGAGGGAGGAAGATGGAGAGAAGGAAGAGGATATGACGGTGGGAGGAGAGCAAGTCTGGACTGAAAGTGCAAGATGTACTGTATGTGTAAGAGAGAGAAGGATAAAGACAAGAAGGATCACAATAGAAACAAAGGAAGCTTACATACCTGATGGCATGAGTCCAAATGCCCAGTTGGGTATGAAAAATCCAAAGGGATTCTTTGTTTCTTTGATGCTTTTTTTGTCTGGTGTAACAGTGGGTTTGTCTTCCTCTGGTTTTGTGCTTACAGCCGTCTGCTGACCTCCAACTACAAAGGAGTCTGACCCCGCAGACCTGGATTCCATTTCTTTTCCAGCAGCGTTTAAGTCCGAGGTGAAGGTTGGGAACTGAAAGAGGTCTGTAGATCTTGGAGACTTTTCACTTGTTTTCTCTTTGTCTTCCTGGACCCACGAGATGGAGGAAGATGGCACAGTTGTTGTAAAGGTTGCTTTTGTGATATGATCCATCCTCTTTGAGTCTCTGTTTGTCAGAAGCTGCACTGTGGTCACATCAGAGGTTGTCAGCACCTCCATTAGGGTTTCAGATGTGTCAGGCCCCACATCATTTCCACCTACACTCATTGTGTGCTTCCTGAAAACAGAAGTAGAACCTGAATTTGAACTACCCTCCCCTCTTTGTGAAGGAGCAGAGGAAAGGTTCTCAGTGGGCCGACGAACATAGAAGATCTGCCCTCTGGCCTCCTCTGCTATGTCAGGTGGGGTGGTTGGTTGTTTAACCAGCTGCCAGTGGGACAGAGTGGTTTGCATTGCCACAGTCATAAGTTCAGTCTGACTTTGGGTAGGTCTACTCTTTGTTTCAGGACTCAGTTCATTTCCGCTGCTGTTAAAGTTGTTCATTTTAATCCCAAACCCAGCGTGAGAGTTACTTCCCTCACTGCTTCCCTCCATCTCCTTATCTTCCCCTGATGCATTTTTAGTAGCTGATGGACTATTGGCATCATCCCCGTCCTGGTCTTTCCCTTGGCCAGAGAACATATCCAGATTATCCTGTCCAAGAGAGGTAGGCAGTGTCATAATCTCAAGTGGCCCTGCTTTGGCCTCCATAGGCTCCCAAGTGGAGTCTTTGCCCATATAGGCCATATTACCAGGAGTCCCTAGTTTGGAGTCATGTATTGACTTCCCCGCCCACTGAAATTGTTTTCTGGGGTCCAGGCCAAAGGTCGAGCTTCCTCTGGGACCCTGAGGTCTGGATACATTGGCATGTTCACTGGTGGGTGATCCATCATCGGAAACTGATGCTGTGAATTCTAATGGAAGCAAAGAGACAAAAGAGACTAATGAATAACATTTCGTTGTGAGGGTGGATTTAATTTGTGGCTGGGGAAAAGAGCAATTTAGGCATAACTCTGGATTACATGAGAGCCATCATAACTCTCATAGTAAGTGATTATACAAACTGGAGTCACAGAATCAGGGATTTGATTCGTAAGTATTGTTTGTAATCATGCACCGCTGATTTCAGTTATTAAGTTTCTGTTGCATTTTTTCATGCCTATCTATTGGGATAGTTATTTTAATTGAAACAAGCATAAAGAAATCTTGTCAAAATATAGAAGGGAATGGGACTACCTCTAAGATGGTGACCTACAAGTTCAGACAGTTGACCATAGATCAGACAATGAGAAAAAATCCCTAATGCTTTTAAACTCAAACAAGTCTGTAAGACATGATAAGTCTCCCAATACTAGATATGTCTATGGGCAAAATCAGCAACAATAAAATAAGGGTTTGGTAGACAGACAACACCTTTTTTGGATTCAAACCTTGATGGAAACGTCAGATACAAAGGTATTTAAAGAGTTGAAGTTGCCCCCCAATTTTAATTGCCCTATGGGGATCAAAAAAGTTCTTCTTCTTCAAAAGGCAGAGTGTCCTTGCTTTACATGAGGTCCAATTAATGGAAGGAAGAACTTTTTATAAAATCTGATATTGTGGAACCTACTTTTTTATTCAATGACCATTTTTTCATTTTTTGACCATTTTTATTTATGTGTCAATACAGCATAAAGCATACACTCTGCTCCATTACCAGAGAAATACGGTTGTTGACAGGCCACTGTGGTCAAAGTGACCTGTCAATAAAAAATATAACGCGGATTATGTTCAAATGCCATAAATCATTTCTATCAGGTGAGGTTCAATTTCTAACTTTGATTTTGAGATGAAGGAAATGTAACCCTTTATGAGCTGATATTCAGAGCTTTGAGATGATGTGGAGTAACTGAAAGATGGCTGTTTTGAGGCTTTTTTTTTCTTTGACTGGTGAACCTGCCTAGCGCAGCTACTCAACTGCTGGAGTTCTAAGATTGCAACCATCCCTTGAGGAAGCCAAAAAGACACACAAATGTGCACACATCCACACACAAACACAACAATAAGCTGAAAGGTGGAAAGAGTGTATTCAAAGTAATTTCACACTCCTTCTCTCTGCTCATTTTTTTTCTTATTCCCTTAAGATTATTTTATCCCAAACTGCCTCCTTCAGGAACATACTTTCCTGTGCTGAGAGAAGCCATGTGGAAAAACACAGCAGCACTTAGGCTACAATAAGCAAATTACCTGCTCCACAACAAGCTCCAATCTTAGACCTGTTTTTTTTTTTTTTGGATGAAGTGGTCCACTTTTTTAATAGCTTACAACTCTAAACCAAACTCTGTCTACAGCCTCAATTATTCATCCTGTCTGCATGTGTGATTTACAGTGTGTTTACAGCCAGTGTGTGCTTTCATAGCAGCAGTGCAGGGATGTTACTGAGCGGCCAAGCTAGTGTTTTATCATCACCGCTCAGCTTATTTTGGCTGTCCTTAGCTCAGTGGGTGTGTCTGATATGTATGGTAATAAGGCGTACAGCATAACCAAGAACTACAGATTTCCCTGCATATACACTACAGGTCAAAAGTCTGGAAGCAAGGCCATTACAGGCAGAACAGTTGGGAGTAACTTCAAGTTTTTGTTCACAATGCTTTTTTGTAAATCCAGCATGAGTTGAATGTATTTTGGGATGTATGGGGATGTATGATTAGATGTTGCTTTCATGGAAATGCACCATTTTAATCCATTTACCTTTAGATACACATTGATGTTAACAGACCAGAGTCACAACTTCAGTGCAAAAGCAAAAAAACAAATCACAGTTGAATTATTCACTTTAACTTTTTGGCTTTTGAGAGTCTGCATACAAAAAGCCTAATAAATCTCAAGTGCATCAAACTACTGCAAAAATGGCTTAAAAAATAACTAAGTAAAGAAATAAAAGTACAGATTTGTACATTGAGGAAAGAAGGATACACCGAAAGAGAGATTGCAAAACATCTAATGGTGTCTAACAAAGGACTCCACTACAGTCTGAAGAGACTAGAGGAACCTGGAAGTTATGATAATAGAAAAAAGGCCAATCAGAGGCGAAGGAGGCGGGACTTTTCCCTACCATCCTTCAGAAAAAAATATTGCCCCCCTGTAAGCTACGCAATCTTTGTACGCCCATCCGACCTTTGAACACCCCCTTTTAACTTTTAAAAATGGAGCTGCACAGAAAAAAAGAGAACTTGAGCACAAACTTGTCTTACAGTAACTACATGTCAACATCGCAAGCAGGGGGGAGAAAAATATATATTCTGTGTAATAAATTTTTAAAGTTTGTCCACAGCTCTATAAGCCTTGCTGGAGACGGAGGGATTTATGACCTATACTGCAGCCCATTGCCAGAGGGTGCCATTCTCAGAGTGGCATCCATTCTATATACAGTGTATGTTTAAAAGTGGATAAAATGTCTGTAAAATGTAAAGGTTAGGGGGGTCTAGAAGAAGGCTGCCTGGGCCTCTCTTGGAGTGTGGGGTTGGTTGCAAGGAAGGTAACTGCTGAACTGATATTTTCTTGTATTACTGATTATTTTTCTTAAGCAAAGTATCTCATTATTGTCAGTGTAGTTATTCTTGAATTCTTGCCTTGTTGGCATTGTCTTTTTTTTTTTTTTTCTTTTTTTTTTTTGTAAATACTATTTTAACCACTTTCGCACCTTTTTGTAAATGTTTTTGCACTGCACCTTGGGAAGCCGGCTATAAATAAATTTCACCATCACTGTATTTTTCAACTACGCCTGTCTTTTCCACCGTTCTTGATTGTTTGAAAGAGAACCCCATGACAATGAGCCTGAGGTTCATTTTGACAAGCACCATGTAGTCCAGCCTAATTGTTCTGTTAAAAATCCAAGTGGCTCCTCATATACTTTTAATGCAGACTGATAAGAGATTAACTTTAGAAAATTACCTGGTTTAATCATCCTCTGTATGTCATGAGCTGTTGTATTGAATATTATACTGAATATTTTGAGACTGTTAGATAGAAATTCTGGAGGTTTATCTGTCCTGTTTGGATCACATTTACATTTTTTTCTCTAATGGTGGTGGGAGAACTGGTAGAAAAGCCACAACCAAACACTGAATAGATCAAACTAATCATGAACTTGGATAAAAATGAAATTTTCCACTTTCAGTGAAAATGGCTCTACTGTGTTAACTTAGTTTTACTTAAGTAAACCGGCTGAGAGGATTCCTGGAGTCAAACAGACGTGATATTAAATTGTGAGAGTGGAGGCTGACAATGAAAGCGGCGCAGAGAAATGACACCAATGCCATTTCATTTCATTGTAGATATGACATGTAATAAAAGAGACTGAAGGGAAGGTTATTGCCAGGCTGCTTGTATTATGTCAGGAGCATCTAGCATCTGTACAGAGAGTCTCTGCACAGAACCCTTTGTCCTCCATCAAAAAAATTGTCAGTGAGGCTGGTGAAACTGGTTGGAGGCAGAAGCCTCATTTCCTTGAGACACTGAGGACTTCAGTCTTGCTTAAATAACTTATTTCTATTGAAAGAAAATTTGTGTTTTAGGAGCTTTACAAAATGTTAGTAAATGTCATCTATTTTTTTCTTAATTAAATTTTGAATTACAAAAGAAATACCCAAAGTCATACACCACATTCAGAAAGCTTTTACATTTCTGAAATACTTAAATTAAACTTTTTTTGCAGCAAATATTTTTGAATCCCTTTCAATCAAAAATGCAGACTAAACCTCTTTAGAACATTGCAGGTTGGTGTTAGCTTAGGTAGCTAAAAATAGAGTGTTTATATTAATATCACAAGCAACTTCTTCTTGACAGAAGTCTTTCACCTTTACTGAATCATTACTCTGGCTGTCTGTAGGAAAGCTTCAGTCTTTTTTACCTTGAGCTAAAGCCTGAATATGTAATTTGTAACTGCAGTAAGAAAGCAAAGTGTATATTTTTCCTCGGGAGTCTGAAAGAGCTGTTTTTATTCTCTGCTTTCTAGCTTCTCAGCTGTGATTTGCCTTATAGGTGCAGATATATGGGTGCAGATATACGTCAAGGAACCTTCACGCCACCAGCCAAACAAGAGTAAGTCATTTTGGAGTTTAGTGTCAGGGTGAATCAAGATGCCACAAGCCGAAAAGGGTGAATGTTGACCTTATCTCTCCTGTGGTGTGTTGCAGTGTACTGCAGTGTTCCTGAGGGTAATTCACTCTGTTGTGGATGTTACTGTCTGACAGGGCCTCCAGGTGCTTTAGGACACATGCACACCAGCTAACCGCTGTATTTTTCAGGCTCTTTCCTACTCCCCTAAAGCATTGTTTTCCCTTATTGAACACTGAATCTTTCAACAGTGTCAGGTAAATCTGCTTTGTTTCATCACTTGTTGATTTATGCTAATACAGTTTTATTTCTCTGCCCAACTCCTACTTTGACTCTTGTACAAGCTGTAATTTGTAATACAGGTCTGCTTTCATTTAAACAAGCGAGAGCAAAACTTGAATGAAATCAAACTAAATTAAATTCAAGCTTGGTTTCTACTCCCTTTGATTACCTCTTGTGCAAATACAATTCAGTCAGTGAATATGAAAATGAATGCAGAACAGTCTCTGCTCTGATTTTTTGCATTATGTTTGTGGTTTGTGTCTTGTGTTTGTTTGCAATTACTGCCTAATTAAATATACAGTGATTCTTTCAATTGTCCTGATGAGTCAACACAAGGGAGACAACAGTGGGGGTGGGAGAGAGTCAAGGGCTGCTCACGAAACATGACACCTACCAGCAACATTAAAATTCACCAGGCCTCCAACCATATCATTTAGTTCTTTGTTTTCATTCTCCTCTCAGATACAGTTTTTCAAAGGTGGACTCTTAGTTTGTACATGACACAGACACAGTGAATGTTGGGTTCGTACCGTTTACAGTGGGTGGAGGGTTGTCAGCGGAGCTGCTGGCGGCTGGTTCTCCTGGCTGAGTGGTGGAGTCACTTTGCCCTGTGATTTGGACTGCAGGCACTAACGGGATCAGTGGCATCAGCTCTTTCTCCTGCTCAGACAGACCGTCCTCTGGACTCTGTAGTCCGCTGGTAGGAGCCCTGAAGGAAAAATGACCACTCCTGTGCTCCATAATGGCATTATCCATGGTGCCCTTGCTCCCACTGGATTTTGGTTCACTCTGGTTTCTGCTGGATGTGTCCTTTTGAGTCTGGTTCTCCCTTCCTATTTCCTCTAGCTCTGCATGCCTGTTTTCTGTTTCCTCCATCCCACTTCTCCAATATCTAAAGGGCTTCATCAGAGTGTTAACAAACTCAGCCAACACATTGTTTTTAGTCTGACCCTGAGGAGTGGAAGAAGCTGTGGAGGATATTGTGGAGATGTCAGATGGTCTGAAATGGTCGGAGTCTTTTCTTTCATGAACAAACCCCCCATGGCTTGCCGAGTTAGAAAGGCTAGTAGTGTTGTTTCTCTCTTTTCTGTAAGATTTATCTTGGCTTTGCTCACTGTTTCTGGATGCATCCTGTTTTCCATCCCAGCCGGCTGCAGACTTTAAATGGATGACCAAATGCTCTTCGGAGATCTCGGAGGAGTTGTTAATTTCAGAAATTGAGTTTAGTTCTGCACTGTCCAAGTCAGGTCCAGGAGTCTTAGAGAACTGGGCCCTGTTCTGTTTGGTGACTGAGGAGATGACTTCAGATGCTGGTTTGGCCGTCTGGTACAGAGACTGTGATTCTACAGCCTGGACTCCCCCTGGCTGCTGGGCTGCAACACACATCAGTCTACTATTACCAAAGAGGACACCACTGTTCATCACTAAACCAGTGTCATCTGCTGCTACAAAGCATAGTAATAAACCTCAGTTTTCCTCTGACTTGCCATGGTAATTACCATAATGTTTGTGCATGTAGTTTATCAGTACCTGTGTAGCAGTAGGCGTCAAACAGGGCTGTGGTGATGGGGAAACCGGTACGGTTTGGGTTGTTGTAGACAGTCCTCACCCCGGGATCGTCTCCTCCACAGTTCTTCCGTGGGACATTGATGGGGTATCTGACGCTGCCATCAGCCAGCCAGCCAGGATCACACTGGTCCAGACCAGCCTGCCAGGCCAGGTAGAGATGCCCCACTGTGGCCAGCTGGGCTCCAAGGGAATGGCAGTATGTGGAGGCTGTGGCCAGGCTGAACTTCTCCTGAACTGTGGCGTGGAAGACTTCACCTGTGTGGAGGGGAGCTCAGATTAGTGTGTAACAATCCTGAAGTCTGGATACTGATACCCAGGCCTTTGCATCGTCAAATACTGATACTGATACTGATCTAATAATCAAATAATAAAATAATCTAATTACACTATCACATAAATCCTTTGTTTTTAAAGGCTGCAGGCAATTACCATCCAAAACAATGAATCCAATAACCATCTCAGTTATTCTCTCACATCTTTGCAATATATTGTTCCTGACTCTGTCAGCTGCTTTGTTTCAATTTCCTTTTCAGTTTGGCGTGATGTTAGTTAAATGCATGATTAAACTGGTTGTGTTATATTGTCCTGAACGCTCCTGCAGCTCTTCAATATCTGAACTTAGCATACATTGCAAGTTGATGCCAAAGTTGTTGGCATAACAAACATAATTTACTTCCAAACTGCAGAGCATCTATAATTACCTTTATCCATGCATCATACTTTGTTTATTTCCTCTTTGAATTTAAAATAACTCCACACAGCTTACTTTACAACGCCCCACTGACACGGTGCATGATTCATGTTGCAGCAGCCTAAACCCATCACTAAGAGCCATCCTCTTTACTGCATGTCCCACAAATTAGTTAAGGTTAAAGGATCTTAACAATTAGGTTATGGTAAGTATTGACAATATTGGATCCATTGATTTTGGCCAGTATAAGGCCGATACTGGAATGGTGCATCCTTAATCCCATTCCCAGAAAACAATCTGTTTGATCCATTCCTCACCCTTTTTTCCAACTTTAGTCTTTGCTTTAAGGAAACAACACTTTCCATGCACATACACAGGCATCAGTATTACTCATAGAACAGCTGCACACTATGGGCCTGATCTACCAAAGGTTTGCGTGTGCAAAAACATGTACAAACCTAATAGCGAGCGCAAAGCTGATCTACTAACCAGGTACACCGAGGATTCATGAATATGCAGATCATATGTAAATCATTAGACCGTGCAAAATTCTGGGAGGAGCAGATGTAAAAAGAATCATTTAGCGCCCACAATGTGGTTTATCAAACTTGAAACCGATTGCAGTCGCTGTTTTGCGTCTATATTTAACACGTTTGAAATGCACGTGCAATCTGGCACAGTTATGCACAAATTTGCAGCCACTTCTCCTCACAGGGAGAAGGAGGCAAAAGTGCAAAAGCGTTTTTTTTAGTAAATGATGGTTTTGATAAATAATTCGGTCAAACACCGAACAGTCGCAAACATTTATCTCTTTGTCTTATTGATTTTAAATAGTTTTAATCCCTTTTTTTCATCTCAAATAAATTTACTTGCATCTGTAAAACACTTTGAATTAGCTTGTGTATAAATGGAGCTATACAAATAAACTTCCCTTGCCTTTAGGTGCAACTCCATGGCTTCCAACTTTATTTTGCATCTACGATCACTCTGTTCTCACGAACTCTCCATGGTGACGGCTGATAGCGCATGCAAAATCCTTGTTTAAAGAGGGCGGTCCACACCATTTTTGCTCCTGTTATCAACTGTGCATGCAATGATAGTAGATCACCTGCAACACACCCACTAATAGCCTGTGCAATTTTTTTGTTTGCACACGCAATTTAGCGTTCGCTATTTGGGATCTTAGCAGATCAGGCCCTATATGTGGAAAAATCTGCATCTATCACGCCCTGGCAAACAAGTGTTGCAGATCCATGATGAAATAATTGCTGCTCAGGTGTCAGGAGACTTTATGTAAATGACCAGGAATGAAATGTCCCAGACATATTCTCGAGTTATTTATTTATTTATCTTTTAATCCTCTGCCTGTATTGCCATAAAACAAGAAATTAAGTTTTGGGCTGACTCCTCTTACTTATTTAGTTAATGCCTGCAAGAAGCCAAAATAGACTCAGTATTGTGATCTCACCCCTCCCCAGTACAAAAGTGAGATTGTTACGGCTGGACTTGATATTATGATTTCTCTGTTCTCAGACCCAAAAGCTACTCTTTTCTTCCTCTATTTCATTTTCCTTTTTCTGCTAACAGACTATTAAATCCTTGCCACAGGGAGCTGTGAGTCTGCGTGCTGCACACACCGGGCTCAGTGAAGCCATTCATGACTAAACACAAATTTATGATTGAAGTTCCTGACTCCTACCTTGAAGCTGCTTAGCAAAGCAGTAGACATCAAACAGCTCATCAGGGGATCTATGGCCGTAGTTACGGACCCCGGGTGAGTCATCTCGATCACCATAGCAACCTGGCCTAGGCAGCTGGATGGGATACCTGCAGGGGAAAACAAAAGAGAGGGACAGAGACAACAAGGAAAGGGAAAAAAAGACAAATGATTATGCATCATGACAAAAGAAGCCACAAACATCCTTGGCTCCCCTGGAATTAATATTTTACAAGAAAACAAATTAAGATAAAAAGTGAACTATACTTTGATACGATGGTTAATACCTATCTTTTATAGACTTGCCAAATATAAACCCCAGAGTATGATTTAAGTCTCCCAGAAACTGGCTGAAATGACTTGGTGAGGTATTACAAGCACTTCGATGGCTCAGAGATAGTGTCAGAGGATAATTACCCCAACATTTCAGATAAATCTTTTAGATGCGTTAAATGCATTGTTGAAACAGGAATCCAAGAAACACAGCAGAGAGAGAGAGAGAGAGAGAGAGAGAGAGAGAGATGGGGAGGTTGGAAATCAAGTATAGAGGTTTAAAGGATCAGGAGTTTCTTTTAGAGGCTTGGCTTGCCTGTGGGGCCAACAAAACAACAATCTTTATTCAGGCTTAAGGTGGGCAATTATTCCATGGGAGTACTGATCCCAGCATCAGCAGGGTACAGGCAAAGAGGCTGATTAAAAGATTACGCTGTGAAAACTGGGACTTTGGAAGTATTAAAAAGGAGAGACACTTCAACAAAAGCAAACACACCCTTCCCTCAAACTTACCTGCAAAAGACTCACATGCCTCCACATATTAAACCTGCTGTGCTTTTCTGAAACAATGACTCGTTTTATCAAAACACAACATGAGAGTAAAATTTTGTAAGTCTCAGACCAAAGCTCCTTTATTTTATGCTTGATGGACGATTTTAAAAAAAGGATGATATCTCAATTCTTGCCAAAGTTTTAATTGGACTCTTCCCTCCTGTCTGATATTCAGACAGGAGGGGGGTTTCTAGGTTTTCTAGGTTTGGACCAATTAGAGTATTCCCACGAGAAAACAGCTCAAGGGTAGGACGAATGAAAAGAAGAGAAAATAGGGAAAGTGCTGCTTGAGGCTGCAAAGAACTGTCAGGAAAACAACAATTAATTTCCATTTGCTTCTCGAGCAAATGAAAATATAATAAAGATATGAAGAACACAGCTGAGAGGCAGGCGCTGGCTGGTAATGTTATAAGAGACTTGAGGTGTCATGGATGTCATATTAAAACACAGAGAGCAACCTGATAGCTCACAGTGCAATCGTAGTTGACTATCTTCCCAATGTGCAAACACAAAGTTGAACTTCACCTTGTTGTAGGGGAGACTGGGGCTTGTTGTCACACTTTTTACACTAATATATTTCTCGGAATCAATACATCATATTTAAACAAAATGTGTACCAGATGAAAGACCAAAGTCTCAGGTAAATATTTCCTATTCATCTAATTTTCATATCTTGTGTCAGTGCAGAGTTATAAGCAATCAAATAGAGAGTGTGAACATGTGACATGTTGCCCCACCATCGGGTAAGTTGTCTCACTATATGGGGTAAGATGTCACAGTGGAATTTGCAGCTAATAAAACAAGGATAGAATTATTGTTGTTCCCTTTTTTTTACTTGAAGATCATCAAAGTCAGAAACAGAAAATGTTTATCATTGAGCTAGAAAAAGCCATTGAACATAGCTATTAAACAAACATTAACATTAAATATTATGCAACACGCTCTGGTGTTGAGAAAGCTGTCTGGGGTTAATGTTTTGCAGTATCGAGCCAAGGTATGGTATTTGACATGAAAGTCCTTTATTGTCCTCCAGATTGATATATCAGCTGGGGTCACCTGCCTGACTGCCCTCAGCACCACGTTCAATTTTTCTTTTGAAATTCCTGACCATGTCTTTTTGCTTTCTCCTCTCCTTTAAACCACTCTTTTCTCTGTAAAAATACAGTCAAAGTTTCATTATGACAACTGCTGATAAGCAGACTCTCTGAGCTCTATTTACATGCTTCGCCGGAGACGTGGCGCAGGTGCGACTGTGTCAGGTCCGCCACACCGACAAGGTGTTCCCAAGCACAATTTGGTATTTTAGTGAATGGCGCAGCCCGGCGTAAGTATCCCCCCTCCCTAACTCAGCTCCTCCCAGCGGCGTAAGTCGTAGCGAGGGAGGAGAGAGGGCGTGGAGTGGGTTTAACACAGCCGAGACCTGTATTGACAAAGGTGGGTTGTGCGCACAGATCACAGCATAAATTCCAATAATGGCATTAAAATCGGAACCATCTGTGCGTAGTGACACATTGCGCTCCATGGCCGGGCTCTTTCTTTCATAGATGTTAATGTACATAGTAGTAAATAACTCATCTGATCACTGAAACAAATCATGTGTTCAGCCGCCGCCGCAGCAGCTGCAGCAGGACAGGGAGAGGACACGGAGACATGTCCAGGTCGAGCTGCGCGAGAAATAAGAGGAAGAGGAAGAAGGAAAAGGAGGGAGACGAATTACATATCTTGTTAACTTCATCATGTGTGTTTATTTACTAGATATTTAATTTAATTTGATGCGGTTTTAGCTGTGTTGATTCAGTCAGGTTGTGTGTCCAAACACGTGTCAAATGCGCTCATCAGATCAGATATAGATCTATATAGATCTAAATGTATGTGCTGACTAGGATTATTAGTTGTTGATGATTATCTATTGCACTGAAATGTGCCTGACACTGACGGTGACGTGTGCTGATATGCCGCCGGTCCACCAAAATACCACTTAACCAAATGTGACCGCCTGTGCTGAAAGCTGACCAGGTTTAACTCGGTGAGCTTTCAGTGCACTTTACACGCCGGCGGCGAGCACAAAAATGTCACTGTGCCCGCAGATTCTGTCGACACCTCCCTCTGCCACACCACCACGCCCAGCTTGGCAGACCTAGGTTTGCCTCAGTCCAAGAAAATACCAAACTGGCTGTACACTGGGCTCCGCCAGACGAAAATACCACTGCACGGGGTCCACCACCCTCCACCGCCTCACCGGCAGACACGAAAATAGAGCCCTCTATGTTAATTTCAATCCCAATGACTGAAACAATGACTGAGCTGTGACAGGATGCCTTAATCTCTCCTCTAACAACTCCGCATGTATCACTGCTAGGATTTTTATCTGAAAGAAGCTTATTTTAAAAAGGTTTTTTATTTATTTATTTTTTTTTATTTTGGGTTGTGCAAAATGGTTAATTGGCGCTCATCTCAGCTCACCATGGGCCTCATGTATCAACGCTTGCGGCGCAAGAAAACCTTGCGTACGCCAAAATCGGCGCACACGTCCAGATTTATCATCGCGAAACGAGCGTCGGTTCCAGCGCTAATCAACGCAAAGTCAGGAGGTGGTGTAGAAATTGGCCGCCGTCCTCGCGCGGGAGAATCTCATCGCCACAGTGTGAATGGGTAAGAAGTGAATACACATTTCAATGAGCCAAATTAATTTATTTTCTCCACCAGACGCTCGAGGACATTTACGAGCCGGTCCAGCCGCTCGTTGATCCCCGCGATCCCCCTGATGATTTCTTCCTGCGATTGCAGGACCCCCTCCGCGAGGACCCTTCCACTGCGTCCGGGTGGTCCAGCGGAAGCGCCGCGGCTGGTGGACGCTCCACCGCTTGTCGGCGCGTTGATGCTGATGCTGGTGCTGGGGCCGGGGCCGGGGGCCGGGGTGGCCCGAATGCCGCCGGTCCTGGCCGACAACTCCGAGCTGGCGGACGGGCTGCCGCGGGCCGGGGTTCCGCAAGCCGGCGACACGGCCGACACATTGATTTCTGTGACACAATAAAAATATTTGTTCATTTCAATTCCTGCTTCTGTGTATCTGTTGCGTTTACATCTCTCTCCACGGTATCATAGGTAATGTAATCCAGTATTTCAAGGTCAGTTATGCACATTACGGTTGTTTATTGCATAAAAAGTTATCGAAAAATGAAGTTAAGGGCGAAGTATAAATCACGTCTAAAAATAGACTGAATCCCAACGTTGAAATGAAGTATAAACTTAGACTAGACGTCTAATATACGTCTTTTGCTCAGTGGGATGGCAAAGCATGTGGACATTTGTGTGACACGCCACTTACCCTATAATAATAATCGCCACGACCCGCTGCTCAAACGGCGTGAGGGTCTCCTCCCCCGGACCCCCACCTGTCTGGCCGATACTCCTCCGGAGGGCAGCTGTACGCCGCTTGACCTCCACCTTGAGGTCCGACCACTTTATTTTAATCTCCGCGGGGGTGCGTGTCTCGCAACCCACCGCATTCACCCTCTCGCAAACTTTCTCCCACTCCAAGCGTTTTCGTTTTGCACTGACGCCACTGGACAGGCTGCCAAACAAAACAGGCTGTCGCTCCTCCACCTCCGCCACCAGCACCTCCACCTCACACGCCGTAAATTTAGTTTTTCTTGTCATTTTGTCTGCGTGCGAGGACAGGGAGACCCGATTTAAATAAATCTGCATATTTATAGGAGGGCGTAACGGGGGCTGGCCCAGTCACTCCGACATCTGCGCTCAATTCCACGCTGATTGGGATTTATCAAGGAAACACACGTGGATTTCGGCGCCCGCACACATTGATACATACGGATTTTTTTCAGCGTGACGGACCTTGCGTGCGCTCGTTTCTGGTATGAGTTCCACGCAAGTATTGATACATGAGGCCCCAGGTGCTCTTCTCTTCTCAGACAGAACACAACCCCTGACAATGTGAAGGAGTAAAACTTATTCCACTTTTCAGTTGCACCCCCTGGTGGCAAAGATAGTTGCAGTGTGACAACTTATTCATGTGACAACAAGCCCCAGTCTCCCCTACTATGAAAGACACATTTAGTAGTGTGTATCTATTTTGTTACTATGCCAGATCATGTAGGAAACTATAGTAGGAAAAGAAAACCATCTATTAAAGATTTGAAACAGCAACAGCATCTCCACTGGAAGATTACTTTTAATCTTCAGCCCTGACTTTTCAGGTGCAGCTGCAATAAATGTGACAATCAGGAACTCTGGAAGAAGTTGTGCTTGGCAGAGGTCTCAGGGCATTTCAATGACTTTTATTCTAAGATGTCACTTAGTGCATGACTTGTTTCATCACAGATTACTTAAACTTTTAGAAATATAACTTGAAAACATCATAGTTTTGTTTTTTGTTTTTTATATGCATGTTGCTTCCTATGACCAAGTGAAAACATGAATGAGAATGGCTTGAAATAAACTGATCCATAATCATATTGCCCAGCCATCAGCCTAAAAATGACAGAAATCAGTTACAGTCAATCACTCCAGTTGTCCTGGTTAGCTTAGCTTGAATATACATCAATAATCCTCACCGTACAGTCTGGTCAGACATCCAGCCAGCATCACAGTTGTCATACCCATCAGCAAAGGCAGCCTGCAGCTGACCTGGAGTCGCGATGACGGCTGAGTTCTCCACACACACCCTCTTGGCGTCGGTAAAGGAAAGGGCGTAGCGGTCATGAGGGGCTCTGTAGTGAAAAACCACACCTGGGACGAAGAGATACAGACTGTCACAGCAAGTAAAGGGGACAACCCAGAAACTGAGTGTCTAAATTTTTGACCTGCAACATCTGGGTCACAGAATTATTCATGAACTGCAACCTTAAAGCATATAAACATGAGTGTGTGCATACTTATAGATAACAAACATAAAAACTCTCACTTGTCTTTATACAAATACATCCCTGTATAATTTCATGCAGCTGCACTGTCAATGTCAACATGTTGTAGGTGGTATTGACACAACCTACTGAACTGTAAAGAAAAGAAAAACTGAGCAGGCGATAAAAACAGAATGGCAACAGAGGGAGGAGACGACTTCATGAAAAGAGCACTGTGAATAAATATGATACAGCTAAGCAGCATCAGTACCTGCTAATTAATACATTAAACTCTTAAAAGAGTTAGTGTGAGGGTGGCTGTGGCCTGCCGTGACTGCTGATTAAGACTAAGCCCAGGAGATGGCAACTCCTCCCCAGCTCCATAATTACTCTCTCTCTGAGGGAGTGCTTTTCATGGCTTGTTAATGGATTAGACAAGAGAGGAGGACACAGGGTCTGTTATGGATTCTAAATCGGATAATATCTTTGTTGAAATACTGAAATTGTGAAGACACACTGTCAACATAAACACACGTTACAGCAGTGGTTCTCAAGTCCAGTCCTCGAGCCCCCCAGTCCTGCATGTTTTGGATGTTTCCCTGCTCCAACACACCTGATTCAAATGATCAGCTCGTTATTAAGCCATTCCAGAGCTTGATAACGAGCTGATCATTTGAATCAGGTGTGTTGGAGCAGGGAAACATTCAAAACATGCAGAGCTCGAGGACTGTCTGTGAATGCTCTCACTACATCATGCTGTGATAGCCTTTACATTACACTTTACAAGAGTATCAGAATTTGTAATGTGTTGTTGTGTAGTTGCTTTTGTTTTCTGTTTTCCTCACCTGTGACTTCCAGAGGAACTGTATCCTGCTCATCATTGATTCCCACCACAACCTCACATCGGTACAGACCGGAGTCACTGGATCGTAGCCCTGACAGAGCAAGACTGGCGTTGTAACGGTTCCCATTGTAACCAGGTAAGGTTACTCGACCCAGGAAGGCCTTCTTCACCTGCAGGAGGAGACGAATGAGAGGGTGAGGGAGGTAAAAAAAAAAGACAGGGATGTAACTCAAACACCAGCACTAATACCCAGTAATTTACAATGGTCATTCTCAGATTTTCTCTCACCTTGACCACATTGTCTTTGGCCACCAGGACCGACTGTTCCTTCTGCAGACCATCAGAGCCTCTTTGGCCCCAAACCTTGGTCCACTTGATCCTGGGGGGCTCATGGGATGAACTGGTGCTGGGGCGGAGGGTGAAGAGGCAGGGGAGGAGAACCGTTTTGGACAGCTCTTCACTTATGGTCTGATGGGTCACCTTCCTCATATTTACTACTGGGTCTGCGCTGGTTACACCTGATAAAAGGAAAGAAAACGATCAATGTCAACTCCAGATGTAGTCAGACATTATTCCTAATAAACCCAGAAGAGATTTGAGAGTAGTGATTATTGCAGAAGAATCATGCTTTGCTTCAAGAACTCATCCCTGTGAAGGTGTAAAAGAGAGAGAACAGAGGCTCACTGTGTCCCTTTGATTATTGGTCATTGATCCGACAAACCATTACTGTGCTACCTGAACAGTGGGAGGCAGGGCCAGACTGTGGAGGGAAGATATCAAAAGCTCTTTTATATGCTATACATCACACCTGGATATGCACCATGAGGGTGATAACAGCCCTCTTTTTACAGCCTGGAGCCCCACCACCAGCAAATATAATTTATTTTTTTCAAAGGGGTGACAACAAACAGAAAGAGTGTAATAATGAAAATTTAGAGTATGTGTGCGTGCAGGAAAGCTTCAGTCCTGGCTGTGATCTGTTATTTTCCACTGCCTTTTTATTGTTATTTTCTTCCAACCAGCATAAAATCAGTCCCGCACAGGAGGGGTATATCAAACATTATTTTATACTTTAATCCTTTGTTTCCTTGCCTGCAAAGACACAGGTGGCCCTTTTATACCGTTAAAGGGAAACGTGTAATCCACTCGTACAATACAGGTCATTATCTCTGAGTTCTCTTTGTCTGTTTATCTACTGTGCACAGTGAAGAATGAGGTTTACCTGTAAACCTTTACTCCTTATGTGACTATTTTTCACACTTAGCATCCACTATTTTACTCCTTCTCCCCACTGAGAAAGATGGAAGTTTAGGGGAAATCTGCTAGACACAAAAAGCTTGTGGCAACAAATGGCATGTTTTAGAGCTGTAATTCTTGGAACGCTTTTCCGATTAAATTGTATAAGACTGATTAAAATCAGTTTATTTGCTCCAATGTTTTCTAGCTGTATTCTCATCCTCTTTGTCAAGTCATGACTAGTGCATTTTTTTTAGTTTTTCACCTGTCTGTGCTGACCAAACGTGACATATAAAGGCTGGTCTTTCTTAAGCAGTGGTGTTGGTAGCTTTTGCATGTAGTGAGTCCCAGACTCCCATGAGTATAGATTTGAGAGGGTCCCTGGGAAACTTAAGGGGTCCCTAATGATGTTTTTTTTTTTTTTTTGAGCAATTGCAATGCTAAAATATCCATAATGAACAGATGTTTAATCAGGTATGTTTAAAACGGACAAGAAATTATAATCCTGGTGTCCTTTCTTTTTTCTTTGTCGACATTTAAAGAGCTCATAGGTTTTCGACTAATCCCATGCACACACCACTGAGTGCAGACTGCAGGGCTGTGTGGGATAAAGTGTCTTGACCAATGATACCTTGACATGTGGACCTCAGATCAAACCCCTGACTATCTGATTGGGAGATAGACTAACTCCTTATCTGATTGTTCTCCAGTCCTTTCCATCACAACATATTGAGGATGAATAACTTCACTCATGCCTCCTTGAATAGACAGGTTTCTTGTGTACAAACAAAACCAGGTGCATGCACAACCATGGGGCAAAAGCCTGCTTTGGAGTGAACTGATATCAATGAAGATGCCATACAGGTTGCTAGTTCTCCCTGACACAATTGTAATTAAATGTCATTTCATTGACAAATCGCTTTGGGCTCTATTTTCGTGCTTCGCCGGCAACATGGCACAGGCGTGGTTTAAGTCAGATCCACCATGCTGACAAGTCGTTCCCAAGCACAATTTGGTATTTTGGTGAGCGGCGCAGCCCGGCTTAAGTATCCCCCCCTCCCTAACTCAGCTCCTCCCAGCAGTGTAAGTCGTAGGGAGGGAGCTGTACGCTGGGCTCTGAGCTCCTTGTCATTTTCTTTCTCCGTTGACTCAGTGGTAAACAAATAACAAATGTCCCGCTTTCTGCCCCCTGGCTGTGCGCGCATACCTGCGATGATGTTGCACAGAAAACCGTCTGTAAGGCAGAAACTGTTTAGTTTTGTTGTTTTTGGTACAGACCTTATTAGCCATGACACTGCTGCAAACAAACTCTCAGACAAAATATTAGTCTGTTTATTGGTATCATAGTCAAACTTCAACAGAAATCTCCGGTTGACATTCCTTTCTCAATCTGACAGTCCTCTCCCTGATAGCTTGACACCAGCCCTTCCCTCCTTGCAAATGCACAAACAGACTTTAATACCCATTTCATATCTTCCCTTGGTAACACTGTCATACAAGCCGAACTCCCTCACCAACTGATGCCAAGCATGACAGCATCAAAAAGGACTTATGCTCTTAAACAGCCTCGCATTTCGCTGGAGAGAAGACTTCAGCACATTGAATGAGGTGATCTGGGAAACAAATGCATGAGTTTCTCAGAGGCAGAGGGATAAAAGGAGATGTGAGGTAGGTAGCAGCGCTGCTATCTGGCGGCGACACTCCTGCAAGAGCAGCATATTTGATAATTAGTGTGTTAGAAAGTTAGAGCAGAATATGTGTGCTCTGATGTTGTGTGTCCCTGATCATAAACAGCCATCTACTGTGCAGTGTTGAACAGATGAACAGGAACAGAAAATTAGTTCACACTATGCCACCATTCACATTCGGGGAGGTACTGAGAGTTCCTGAGCACTGTGTTTTACAGCAGCACACACAAGGGCTAATAGTGCTAGCATTTCAGATCATGTAATGAGCAGTCCCGCTAAAGCCAGCTATTTTGAGCATTTGAAAGAGCTTTATAAACAAATACGTGCAGACCGTAATGGGAGAAATCGCTTGTTCTTGTGCAAATTGTGCTCAAAGGTTTGATGACTACAAGAAATTAGAAATAAGCAGTAGAACTATGAGCTACCAGCCACAGATTTCCTACGCCCAAGTCAAATATGCAGCATTTTGTTAAATACCCGTTTCTTCTATGTCCCAACAAATTCACAAACTTGTGACAGAGTTCATGATATAGGATCTCCAGCCTTTGAGCAAAGTCGAAAAGCAATCTGAGTCTGGAGCCTTCTCATTGAATTTCTCTTCGGTTATAAATGAAGTTATTCTTATTCTTAGTGAGTGCCATCAAGAAAGCAGGTACAGACATTATTGGACAAGAAATTTAATGAAATATCTGTGGAAATATCTGGACAATAACTGGCCAGTACTAGAAAAGTGGCATCACTCGCTCAACAAAATGTTTTAGTGAACATGCTGCATGTCAGTGAACTTGGTCACAGTGGAATTAAAGGTATAAATTGATATTTGCATGTCCCTGTATAAGGGGCTTTCCTTAAAAATGTGTAGACATATGTGGTGGACATATTTTCTTCCACAGGGCCTCTGAATAATCACATCACTTCTCCTCTGTGGGAGATCAGAAGTTGAACACAGCTTATTACCTCCTCTTTCTACCCCATAATCAGGTCAGGTAAAAAAAGGTGTGTATTTCCTCTCTGTGCTGCCTCTCCTTTGTGTCAGATCCTTGTCAACCCTTCCTTATGACCTAGTGTATTCCAGGTGTCTCCAGGAAACTCACCACAGAATGCGAAATTGTCAAAGCTGTAGAAACAAAAGGATGCATGGGATGTACAGAGGGACTTTGTGACACACATAAGCCCCCCACCTCCCTATCACTGAATAAATGCATCTTTTTCAGAGTCTATCAGATCACCTCCCTGCTGTCACTTTCTTTGCTTTGTCCCCCTCAAGGAAATGGTGCTCATCTTTGTGTCACTCATGATCATACATATGCCCCCTCCTGTTGAGATATGCATGTTGAGGCAAAATTAGACGACAAAACTGTCTTTTCTGATTCACTTTGACGAGAGCCTGCCAGGCAAATTCAACCCTAAGATAAAAGACATCACTAATAATTATTCTGCTTGCGACTATCTCAGTTGTTCCTTGGTATTCAAACACTATTTTGGTCCAAAACCAACCTTTACAAACTCAATCCTATTCATATTCTCTCTTTGTCTTTTTTCTTTTTGATGATTCAGACAAATGTTTGTTTTTATTCCCTGGCTGTTGTTGCTGCTGCTGTAATTTGCAAAATTAAATAAGATGAAATTGAGAGCAAGTGCCGTCTTGAAAGGTCTTAATTACATTGTGAAGGAGAGCAGGTGAAAAAAAAGAAAAAGAAAAACACCTTTTCCTTCCTCTGTGGTAATTTCAGTGCAAAGAACATTAGCACCATATTAAATCTGCAAGTAGATGGATGTTTCATCACAGGCGAATCTCTGTCTTATGTTTGAGTATTTATGTGTATAATAACTCTCTATCACTCGTTTCCTAACAAGGCTCATCTGAATTTTGCATTATAAAAACAGAGAAAACACTGAAACTGAATGCCAATAAAAAGCAAGAGAAGTGCCAATAATATTCAATATGAGAGTTTGCAGAACGACTAAAGCATTATCAGTGTTATCAAGGGGTCAGGGGGATTATATGGTTATTTCACTCATAAAAAAAGAGGATATTGGGTACATCCAGTCCTGAAAAAGGGAGGTGGGGGTGGGGTGGCAAGGATAATTTCACCTGCTGAGGAGCTGCAGAATTATCACTTACAGTTATATACTTCAGGATGTCAGCAGTCCAGGTTGGTACACATCCAGAAATACAGGAAGACCATTAGTTTTCTGTGAGGCTATTGATCCTAAATCATTGATACTGAACAAGCAGTGTGTTTGAGGCAGCCTACGCCCAGCACACACAGACACACACATAACACAATATGTACCACCAAAAATGTAGGCAAAGACACCTCCATTTGTGGATTTTTCAGAGAAGAATTAGCACATAGTACAGATGCAAAAAACAGAGAAATTGAATCTGATCAGAAAAAAATAATGATGAATGAAAATTTTGCAGTTAGTGCGCAAATATGATTGCCACAATGTGAGATTGTATGATTTTTTAAAATGTGCAACAATTTCAGAGGATAAAAGCAGGGCTTCATGTGCAGGGGGCCTTTACTCATAGGGGCTGCTGGGATTGATGGAGTGAATCCTCTGATGTTGTGGTCATGCCACCCCTGTTGTTTGTGTGTTAGCTGATTATGTCTGTGTTAATGTGGAAATGTGTCTGGTCATAAAACAGGTTTCTGACAGATGCCTAGCACTGTTAGTTGACCATTGTCTTAAAGAATGAGTGATGGAGACAATATTTCATGCAGCAGTTCAGGTGATGATAAAATTGAATTCATGGAAACATTTTAACAGATCTTAAGTAATCACCTCAGTCCTGATCCTTGAAGAGAAAATGAAACCTAAAAAAATCTCACCCCATTTTCTACACACATACAATACTCCCAGTACGATTTAAAGCCTCTTCTAAGTTTCTATCTTTAGTTTTTGGCTCAGAGGACAAAGGGGGATGATTTTTTTTCCTTTCATGAGGTGATGCAGGTCCAGCCTTTACCTCCACAAAGAAACTCAATGAATACTTATATCACATCCAAACCCTTCTACTTCTACACATGTAGAGTGTGTAGAAGTACACATGTGTAGAGTGATAACATTGCAGGTATCATTTATCACATCCTCTGATTTGAAGCCGGTACGTGTTTGGTGATGGCTCCAACCTTACAGTTCTGACCTATAGAGAAGAGCACCTCTCCTGTATGCAGAAGGGTGGCACCAGTAATCTGTGAAATACTCTGTTTTAATAAAGTTAAATGATGGTTAAACTTTGACAGTAAATTACTTGACAGATTGTCTGCACAAGAAGGAATCTGATATCTGTGATGAAGAAGAAGAAGAAGCAGAAGAAGAAGAAGCAGAAGAAGAAGAAAGAAGAAGAAGAAGAAGAAGAAGAAGAAGAAGAAGAAGAAGAAGAAGAAGAAGAAGAAGAAGAAGAAGCAGAAGAAGAAGAAGAAGAAGAAGAAGAAGAAGAAGAAGATGAAATAAAGGTTTGTTCTGTCCTCTTTGTAAGTCAGGTGACAGGGGTTGCTGACAGTTTAATGGGAACTCACCACAGCCAAAAGTTTGGAGCAGGAGGAGGGCCAGTAGGGGCTGCAGTCCACTCGAAGATGGTAAGTCCTGCATCCTGCTGCACCTGGAGACATATGAATATGAAACTCTTTATTAAAGCAATTCCAAAACAAATACAGATAGTCTTTAGGTTGTTGTTTTCCAAGATTGTCAAGTCATTCTTTATCTTGATTTATTGTTTCATGAGGTTGGTGCTCTATCATTTTAAATTCAGTTAAATACCTACATTTACATAGGAGTGTTTCCCTCTCACATGAAAAATGTAGCCCGTATATCCACTGGCTTTACCTGAATAACTTTATTTAGAGTCACAGGGGGTTAAACATATCCCAGCATGCACTTGGGAGAAGGCAGAGTAAAAACACACTGCATGTTGTGGACTGGCAGCTTTCCCAGCTTGTTTTATGGACACAGATGCTCTGTTTATAATTGTGCTCTCCAAAACCACCAGACTTTCATTTTATTGGACTGATACACTGACATGGAGCCAATAATGTTCAACGCTGATCCATGAATGTTAAAAACAGCAGGTGATCAGAAAGTTTTTTTTGTCTTTACTGAGAAACACGGTAAAGGTTAAATTTAATAAATAGCTAAAACAAAAGCATCTGTTATCTCTGTCAGAGAAAAACTCTCTTGTTAGGGAAATTAACTTTACATCTTTTTTTTATTGCATAAAAGCGTGTTTGTTGATGTGTTGGATTCACAGAGGACAGGTTTGAAAAAAAAAAAAAATTTAAATGAACAGAGGACAGTAGGAAAAACTGATGCAAGAAACCAGCCAAATCTAACATGATGGACCTTTGGGTTCCCATGTTGACATGAGATGCTAAAAACTCTCAGAGGCAGAAAAAAAAATCAGCAAATAAACTTGAGATACACTTTTACACACTTTTTGGGTGTTTATAACTGGATGAGGTCTGAATCTAACACTTTTAAAAAATATATATTTCTTTACTTCAATTCCTTGAGATACAGCTGTTTTGATCTGGATCACAAATAATGTAAACTGCTAAGTGACTACCTCAGTGGACCTCACAGTGCCGTGTAGCACCGCAATTCAGTTTGATCTGTCTACCTGTCAGATGGTTGAGACATAAAAAAGATAAGCCCAAAGCCATTTCTTTGCACCGATCTGTGTGTATGTGTGTACTTCAAATTTATGCATGTATAAATCTAAATCAGCTAATGCAGGGCCTGGGGAATAAGACCAAATGAGGCAGGTCAACCCCTGCTGTGGGGTGTTAATAATGAAAATAACACGTCTGCAGACGTGGCGGGCCGAGCGGAGCCTGAGGGCAGGAGAGGAGCTGCCACGGTGGAGAAACAGGAGGAGGTGGCTGGTAGAGGAGATGCTGGACACAGATAGCCAGTGTCAGTTACAGCAGCGTTAGTCACTTTGGCTCAGTTTCAAAGGTGTAGCCAAGGACAAAAACACTGTCCTCATATCAGATACCTCTGCTTGGCACAGCTGAATGGAAGCTGATATCAGGGTGTCTGGGTATTCGGCATAAATCCACATTTTTTTTATGGGCTGAGGTCTCAGCTCACTGTTGCCAGTTTGCCCTTTTCCCTTTATCAACTGAAGGCTTATCTCTGCGCTGTAATTCCACTGTAGGCTCATGTAGTATCAAGAGGCTTCACATGGCAAATATGGCAAATATTCACAGTCATTGATCAGTTTTATTGTAAATAGACAACAGATAGAGATTATTTTGTCACTTCACAGCACTGTCACAAAAGAATAATACAAAATCAGCAGGGATATAAGGGTTACCACTTTCTCCACAGGGGGCACACAGGGAGATTCCCATTAGTGCTGCTGTTGAAGTCCCTTAGAGTGAAATATAACATGAAAAAAAGGCAGGAAAAAAAAATCAAAAAGGCGTTTGAAAAAGATGTTTGTCCCCAAGTGAGATATCACCAAGATTTAAAGAGGGATCTGTTGTACTGTGTCACACATAACTGGCTTTAGCTGTTCACTTTTCTGTGTTTTCCCTCGGCTTTCAAGCACCTATTATCCTTTTTTGTTGTTTGGGTGTTTACATTATAAAAGCCCCAAATGACAATAAAAGCTGAGTGGGCAGCTTTATCAGCTGCTTTAAAAGCAGATTAATGTTAATAAATTCTGTTGTTCATAAATGAGGAGCTTGAAGCTCTCACAAAAAGGTGCAGTCAATCAAAAGCTTAGCAAAAGGAAACAGAGGTAAGAAATGGGCGAGGATGAGTCTCAGCTTGATCCAGAGTTATCACTGCAGAGCTGAAAAAGTGCTGTCAACTACAGTGAGTTTTCACCGCAACAGCCTGCATGCAAACACATACTCAAACCCACACATGGAGCACAATGGGATTTTAGTAGAAGCTTGTGGTTGACTCAGTGTGTATTCAGATGCTATATTTGCTTTAATTTGACAAAATTAGATAAACAGAGGGTGCCTTTGCTTAACACTCTAATGGTGCAGAGTGGGAACGAGTTTCTGGGCTGCCCAGAACCCTATTTCTTAGAGCTGAGAGCTGCACAGATTAACCTATTTCATACAAGACACCCACACACCAGCCTGCAACCCACACATCAAGACATCCTGTGCAGGATTTGGCTGGATGTAAATGTGTATATTTTCCTTTAAGATGAGCAAAATAATCTTAGGTGGCAAGGCAGTGTTAAAATGTCTGGGACTTCTCATTTACTGCCCTGCAAAGCCACTTTACAACAAATGTTTAATTTGTTCTGGGCACATCAAGGTCCCTTTGGGTGCTTAATCATCTTTGACTAGGATGTAAATGCAGCTTATAAAGCAGTTTAATTCATTTTACAAAAAAATCTAAAAAAATCTTCTAGGCAAACGTTTTATTCAACGTATATTTGTTCAAACCAGACAAACATCTGTCTGTAGATCCTTTTTTTTATTTGACTGTGAATCTCAAACAAGTTTGGAGTGTTTTAATAGAAAGTCTTAAATGTATAGAAACAGAGATTTTGAATGGGATATGTGCTGTTTGGGGAACTAATGTAAGGCTGATACAAGTGGAGGAACTTTAAGGTACAAACGGAAAAAGTTGGAATTGGAGCCAAAAATGACTGGGAAATGCTACCAAGAACATTTCAGTACTCTAGAACAGTAGTTCTCAAGTCCAGTCCTTGAGGCCCACTGTCCTGCATATTTTGGATGTTTCCCGGCTCCAACACACCTGATTCAAATGATCAGCTCGTTATCAAGCTCTGTAATGGCTTAATAACGAGCTGATCATTTGAATCAGGTGTGTGATAGAGTGGTGGGGCTACATTCGATCTTTTTTAATTGGGTCCAACAGAGGGACTGGAAATTGATGCTAGGGAGAGGGATGGCTCATATTATAGCCTTCTGCCACTATCAGACTGTATTAGAAAAGGTGAAGAAAATAGATGGATAGAATCAGTGAAAGAGAAAGATGCTGTGATTACTGTTCTCACACCTGTGAGAGTTAAAAGGGAGGTAATGTGGTGTTCAAAGCAATAAAAAAATATCACCATGGTTAAAATAAGAAAAAAAGGCAGGCATATTGACACTGGCTGCAGTTTTGGCATGCTCTGTACCCATTAAATAATAACACTTTGAATGTCTGATGAATCATCAGAGTCTGAAACAGCAAAACAGTGAGAGTGCTGTTAAAGTGTAAATAATGAGAGTGAGAAACTGGAGAAGCAAAGAAGAGGAACAACTCAGGGGAGTGAAAAGAACTGTGAGAAATAAGATAAGAGATTGAAGAAAAGAAAGAGTGATGGATGCCCAGAGGGGTGTGGTTTAATTTGATATGCACTTGATTGTTGCTTTGAGGCTGTTTCGGCGGTGTCTTTATGAGTTGGACAGTCTGCTACCAGAGGGATCAATTTAAAACTGCGCTCTGCACCCTGCCGCAAATTCACATTCTTGAAAGTACGGCCTGTCGTCATATGTGCTCTTTATCAACTACAGAGAGATTTCCAGAAGCTTCTCCTCACTCTAACTTTGTTTCTGTCAGGACACACAAACACTACACAGTTTATCCAAACTCTGTATATATCACATCTTAATTACAAATTACACAGGGTTATGTCTTTTCCAGTAAGAGTATTTTAGGAATCAGGTTTAAGAGTGAGTTTCATTTGTTTCAAGCTAAATTCAATGTACACAGTTAAAGTGATATTTAGGGGTTAAAGTTTTTTAACCTTGGTTCCTGTTAATTTGAAGCTCCATCCAGCCTACTTTGTCTCCAAAACGGACAGCAGATACGTGTTCATAAAATAATAATTTTTTAACTTTTTTTTTTTTTTTTTTTTGACTGATATCTCTTAAACAATTTCAGCCCTGATCAATAAAAAAATAATGAACACAAAATTCGATGTATTACCCTTTTTATGCCGGTTTTTGTGCACCATATCACTGTTATTTTTAACGGTAAAAAACACAAAATTGCCATATTTTCCATCTCAAATAACCTAGATGTTTTTTTGTTTTTTTTTAATTTTAATAAAAAAGAGTCTGGGCCATGTCAATGATGAGAAGTAAAACCGATTTTGGTGCATTTAAATCCTTTTTGTAGTGCCAGTTTCTGTATTTTAGCTCCATTCAGCCTACTTTGTCTCCAAAACGGACATGGAGATTAGATCTCAACATCATGCAGGTCGGATGATGTTTAGTGGATGAAATAGTGCTTCAAACACTCTCAGTTAAGGTGACCAGACGACCCTGATTTCCGGGGACAGTCCCCAAGTTGGATGACCAGTCCCCGAAACTGTCCCAGATTTAAGCTTTTCGTGGATGAGAACAAAAATGTTGCGTGAAGGCTAGAACAACGGTTATTACAGTGTCCGAATGGGTAGGAAGCACAAGTAAGCAGTCCTGAAAAACAGTTTTTACTGGGCTTATTGCAAAGGGTGCTTCTAAATAGTGCAGAGAAGTTGTCTGTGATCACGCAGCCCCTGGACCCCCCCACCGATTGTCCCCGGATTTCATTACAGAAATCTGGTCACCTTACTCTCAGTCCATGAATGAAGACTTACGTGCATGGTAAAAATTTAGAGCCCTGGTGATCGAGTGATTGCAAAAAAAAAAAAAGGTTGTAATATGTTGTTATGGTGCCATAAACACACAGTGGAAAAAAAAATAAAATAACGGAAGTCTGTTGTCCGATTTGCTGACAAAGTAGGGTGGATGGAGCTAAAATGCGGCGACAGAGTTTTTTTGTTTTCTTTTTTCAATATGAGGAAAAATAAGAACTCTCACCAAATTTGATGCCCCAATCTTTAAAAATGTGACTGTCAGCTCAAAATAAAGATGAAAAAAAATGACCCATGTCCTAAAAACAGACATATAAGGAACCAAGGGTTAAAGCCTCTCATAGAGTTCCCTTTTGATGTCCCTCATCTCTTACAGGTAGTGTGTCTGCTTGCTATCTCACACTAAGCCCTTACACACACACGCATAAACACACACACTCATCCATTGCTGCTTCAATCCTGTAACCTGCACAGACAGCCTGATAATTGGATTTCAACAGACGGTTCAAATGTTGGCATAAAATAATTAGCAAAACATCTAAGCATCAAACACGTGCACGATTACCATCACTGTGGTCTGGCAGGTCTTTCTCAAACAAGCAGAAAATGCACAATAATCATCTTATGCAATTTGAATGCTTAGTCTTAGTTTGCATGCATGTAAAGCATGACAAATGCTGTGATGATTCGCAGTGTACCCTGTTGTCTGAATGACTGAGTCATGCTTGCATGTTCATGATGTTTGCATTAATCTCTGTTAATCAACTAACCGCTGCTTCCTGATCCTGAGTGTTTAGTGTGCATGCAGTGATGGGAAGCTTGCATAAAGCAGATGTAGCAGAGCGTTAGTAACCCTTCTACCCTGTCTTTTTAGCTTGGATCAGCGGTATTGTCTTATCAGCTACTGATGGCCCACTTGATAAACGTTCAAGTCTTAAGACACTTGTGCATTTTATAGAGAGTAGCCTGTGTTTACATGTAGAAATTGAAATGTGAAGGGTAATGCATGGGGTGTTACAGCACTGTAATATCTTCTTTTCAGTGGTATCCCCAGAATTTTTTTCATAGGGGCACCACTAGAAATCTTTGTAAACCATATCCATCACAAAATTTAATGAGGTATTAAAGCTCTGCTGTATGTTTTGTAGACTGTAAACTTTTTTTGAGAGCAATTGCCCTTTACCCTAACAATACAGGTTGATAAGGTATCGTTCACTGACTCAAAATAGGCTGTTAAATTAAAATTTATCACACGTAAACTACAACCAACTTATTTTTATTTTATTTTTTTCCAGATTCAGTATTTAGTGGTATTCTCTGTGTATTTTCCCTAGTGGTTCTGTCCCCTCTGATCCTGTTTTGTGAGTTTTCAGTTTGGGTTTGATCCTGTTTCTTTCATGTTCTCTGTGTTTTATTCTTTAGATCAGTTTTCAGTGTTTGCTGTTTTATTTTGTAGTAGTCAATCCTTATGTGTCTTCCTGTGTTTTCCCTCCTTACTGATTGTCTGCACCTGTGCCCTTGAGTCTCACCTGTCCCTTGTTACTCATCACTCTGTCTATTTAGTCCCCGTGTAGCATTGCCTTGGTGTTGGTTCATTGCATTTCAGTGTCTCCGCCAGTGCATGTGTGTGAGCCCAAACCGTTCTCAGAGTGATTTTTCAGTTTTCCAGCTTCCAGTGTTCTTTGGTTAATTTGAGTTTTTGGTTGGACATATTCAGAGTGAGTTTTTGCCAGTGTTTTCTAGCTCTGTTTCATTTTCTCCCTATTTTTGTTAAACAGGATTTGACATTTAGCTGTTGCTGTCTCATTGGCAGCTAATTCTGGCTGTGTGCAGTAGAAGTCCTTCTTTCACTCAGACAGCTTGTACAAACACTAAAAATGACACTTTGACAATGAAGTTTCAGGTCATGAACCAACAATCTGTCAAACCTGGGGATGTCCCAAGTGTCTGTGCCCCCAGCATTGCTTTAGCAGATAATGGTTTTAGCAGCATGTAAATTTAATGAACTTTTTATGAAGACCTTGGAGGAGAGAAGATAATTAAATTTAATACGTGTGGTGACTCAATGATAACACTTCGAATTCTGATGTTTCTGCTAAAGCCTGGCAGATTTTTTAAAAGTCAGAGACCCTCCAAATGACAAGAAGTTCAGTAAACATGTATTTTACCCAACAAGTTGTGTAAACACTAAGGCCCAATCCCAAACTGCCCCCTACACACTCGCCCTTCACTATCGAGTGTCACTCAAAATGAAGTTATACTTGCAGCTGTGGAGTGCGCCTCAATTGAAATGGGAGTGTATAAACAAGACAGGCGGGTACAAGACGCCCTCTTCACCGGAAAACAGAGAGATTCATTGCCATAGCAACACAAAGACGTATCCTGTTTCTAAGTAAGCGGGCATCATGTTCAGTTCTGAGCTGCACTGGCTGCCTCTTTTTTTTTCATTGTCACAGTGAAATCATTATTCCAGCAACCATCACAGTGACCGGAGCTAACTAATACGTCTGATTTTAAGTAATTCTACACACCTTTGAACCCCTTTACTATTTGACATGTGCCTGCACAATCAGATCAAACATTAGCACAAAGTAGGATTTCCGAGTTTCGTTTGTTCTTTCCAAACAAAGTCTTTTGTGACTTTTTTTGTCAGCAAGACAAAGGTGGACACGTGGAACTTGTATTCTCCACATCATCCACCATTTGAATCTGCAACCTTTCCACAGTCACAACCTTAAATGGTTCACAAATTGCCCTCACTGACTTTTGGGAATTTGGCTAGACAGTAATCTATCTTTCAAGACTCATAGTCAGAAATTAACCAAAAAATTGAAAAACAAACAAGACTTTTTATACAGAATCAAAGGCTGTCTATCACCGTCCAACCGAAAAATCATTGTACAATCCACCTTCATGTCTGTCCTTGATTATGGTGACATCTTGTATTGCCATGCAGCCCCATCAACTCTTCAGCAGTTAAATCCTGTGTATCATAGTGCACTACGTTTCATCACTAGCGACACATATCGCACTCATCACTGTTGCCTCCATCAAAAGTTTGGCTGGACCTCTTTACGGTCGAGAAGAGAATATCCATCTCATGTTATTCATCTATAAAGCTCTTCTGCTCTTCTTTCATTTAAACCTAGTAGCTACAGAACACGATCCAGTAACTACCTAACCTTAGATATTTCATATATCCATACTTATATTGGCAGAACTGGTTTCAACTACAATGCTCCCTATAAATAGAATGAGCTGCAAGCCGCTCTTAACTGGAGTCTTTCATTCATCTTGGAGATTTTAAATACCTGTTGTCTAATGTTTACAATAATCGCTGTAATTGTTTTAACTGATTCCTTTTTTTTACCTGTTTGTTGTGTTGTGTGTTGATTGTGAATGTTCCTTGTTCTCAGGCCTCTGGCCAAGGCCAAGAGATCTTGGTTACAATGAGACTGCCTGATAAAATAAAGATCGGATTTAAAAAAAACATATATATATATATATATATATATATATATATATGTATTTATATATGTATGTATGTATATATATATATGTATATATACAGTATATGTATATATATGTGTATATATATATATATATATATATATATATCTTTCTCTTCTATTTCTGCCGGCGAACTACTGCAAATACCACCGTGAGTGTGCACTGGTACAGATTAGCTATTTGAGGGCTGAACAGTCTACTTGCCCTCCACACTCTGTGGTTTGGAACAGCCTTCAATATGGTGGAGCCTCCACTGGGACGTGTGTAGGGTGAATGTGTAGGGGGTGTATGGAGCCAGATCAGGCTCAAAAGTATTGAAAAAGTAGTGTAAGTGAAAAAATAAAATTTGAACCTGAAAAAAATAAAATGGTACCTGAAAGTCTTGAATTTCGAAATTGAACTTTGAAAAATCCCAGAATGCATGAAAAAAATCTGTTCAAATGTAACTTTGATTCTGTTTTTTAATACTTTTGAATAAATTACTTATTTCTATTTTTCACTTCAATGTATATTTCGATCTTTGAGTACTTTTTTTTTGGATTGAATTTTATTTATTTATTTCAGATTCAGATCTTATTTTTATGGATTCAAAACTTTTTTTTCGGTTTCAGATTTTTTTTTTTTTAGATTCAGATCTACTTTTTTCAGATTCAACTTGAAAAGTTTCAGGTTGACTTTTGAGCCTGTTTTTCCGTGGGGGCGGGCCTCGACTGAGAGGGGCGCGGTCTGCCATGAGTGACAGGCCTCCCCCTCCTTCCCCACCCCATCACCCTGCGTTCAGGAAGTGGCATGAATACACATTAGCTTAGCCTACAATTAGGCTGTATTGGCTGAATGAGATCGTGTTGGTTCGTTCCACTTTAGTGGTGCAATATAAACTGTGATTCATAAAACAGCTCTATTGATAGTAAGAACTAAAAAAATATATCTACTCATGCCGTCCTGTCGATTTTTAGTAATCAGTGTTTCGGTGTCGAACTATTTCCTTTCTGCGGCGTAGTAATACTTGCACACGCGCAATCGAATGTGCAGGGGGTGAAACGATTTTTGTCACGTGGACCAATAGGAGCCGAGTCTCGTTGCCATAGTATCAGAAATACACAAACATGGCGACGACCGCATCTCGCAGCGAGACAAGCGAAGAGGAAGAAAAGAAAAGGAACAAAAGAAAACAGCCGTCAAACGTGCATAAAAAGAGATGCTATATGCATCTATCATCTGTCCAGAGTGAAGACGTTCTCGACTTTACAAGGACACGTCGGGAAACTTACAGAACTAGTATTAGAAAGTGGCTTTCTCTACAGGGTGAGACAAAGGACCTTGCAGAAACTTATACACTTTGCGTTGATATCGACTTTGACAATGTTCCTGATGACACTGGGTTTCACATAACATGCTACAAGCGATTTATTTGCAAAAGGGGTTTGAGAAACAAGAACAAGGACAAGTAGCACCAGCGTATTTGAACGAAATTCACTTTCTAGGCACTTTTTCCTCTGTCCCAATACAGCCTAAAACCTCGAGCGAAGTTTCTTTCGCGGAGTTTCAGATGCCGTGGACGTGGATGCATCGGCGATGCTGCGTTAAGGGTTTGACTGACCCGCGGCTGCATCACGTTCTTGTTTCTCAAACCCCTTTTGCAAATAAATCGCTTGTAGCATGTCCTGTGAAACCCAGTGTCATCAGGAACATTGTCAAAGTCGATATCAACGCAAAGTTTCTGCAAGGTCCTTTGTCTCACCCTGTAGAGAAAGCCACTTTCTAATACTAGTTCTGTAAGTTTCCCGACGTGTCCTTGTAAAGTCGAGAACGTCTTCACTCTGGACAGATGATAGATGCATATAGCATCTCTTTTTATGCACGTTTGAAGGCTGTTTTCTTTTGTTCCTTTTCTTTTCTTCCTCTTCGCTTGTCTCGCTGCGAGATGCGGTCGTCGCCATGTTTGTGTATTTCTGATACTATGGCAACGAGACTCGGCTCCTATTGGTCCACGTGACAAAAATCGCTTCACCCCCTGCATATTCGATTGTGCGTGTGCAAGTATCACTACGCCGCAGAGGGGAAATAGTTTGACACCGAAACACTGATTACTAAAAATCGACAGGACGGCATGAGTAGATATATTTTTTTAGTTCTTACTATCAATAGAGCTTTTTTATGAATCACAGTTTACATTGCACCACTAAAGTGGAACGAACCAACACGATCTCATTCAGCCAATACAGCCTAATTGCAGGCTAAGCTAATGTGTATTCATGCCACTTCCTGAACGCAGGGTGATGGGGTGGGGAAGGAGGGGGAGGCCTGTCACTCATGGCAGACCGTGCCCCTCTCAGTCGAGGCCCGCCCCCACGGAAAAACAGGCTCAAAAGTCAACCTGAAACTTTTCAAGTTGAATCTGAAAAAAGAAGATCTGAATCTGAAAAAAAAAAATCTGAAACCGAAAAAAAAGTTTTGAATCCGTAAAAATAAGATCTGAATCTGAAATAAATAAATAAAATTCAATCGAAAAAAAAAAGTACTCAAAGATCGAAATATACATTGAAGTGAAAAATAGAAATAAGTAATTTATTCAAAAGTATTAAAAAACAGAATCAAAGTTACATTTGAACAGATTTTTTTCATGCATTCTGGGATTTTTCGAAGTTCAATTTCGAAATTCAAGACTTTCAGGTACCATTATATTTTTTTAGGTTCAAATTTTATTTTTTCACTTCACTTTTTATTTTTTCACTTACACTACTTTTTCAATACTTTTGAGCCTGATCTGGCTCCATAGGGGTGGTTTGGGACTGGGCCTTCTATTGTCATATATCAACAAATGGATTCTACATTTTTGAAGGCCGACTAAGTTTATAATTGTTGCCGTGGTTGCATTTGCTGTGCTCCTTCTGAAATTAGCTTACTTCCCGATTGTCTATCAACTTGTTTCACATGACAAAGGACAGCGTGCATGGGATCCCCAACACACCGTGATATCTGATCGTAAGTATGTTTAATAATATTCACGATTTCAAGTCAAGGAGGCTCAAATCCTCTTCTGTGGGAAGGAAGGATAGTAACTCTTAATACATCTCACAGCACAGGATAATCTGGCAGGACAATCTGTAGCACCATCTGATTACCAGTCCTTTACTGGATTTTGTCAAAAAGTGGAGCTCGGGCCTGAAATCAACATGATTATCTTGTGTGCCCTGCTTAAACTGACAATGAACACACTTGTGCAAAAAAAGGGAGTGCACTGTCTGGATTATAACAACATAGATCTGGCATATAACAAAGACGCCAAACAGCATTAATTGTGAATTATGGTCACTGCAGACTGTATGACAAGCTGCTATTTGTTCTTAATTATATCTTCTTAATGATTCTTGTAGTTACACAGCATTGCAGTCGCAGTGCAGAGCTATTAGCCCATCATATATCAAGCTCTCATTGCCCTGTGTATTGGTTAAGTGTTTTGAACTCACACATGGCAGCATGAATCTTCCTGAAGGCTGCTGATTATTAATGACAGTGTCAGAGCAGAGCAGCCTCCTTCAATCACTCCGCAGGTAACTCTGCTCCCACAACAAACACCAGGGCCAGGAGAGCCTTAATTTAATTTCAATCAGTCCTGCCTCTTATTTCTCACTCAACTTATGTTAATGCCTCTCCCTTGCGGTACTCTAAATAAATGATTAGATGCCACATGTGCACTCGTTTACAAACACACACACTCACGCTACTGAAATGATGACAAATGAGGATGCAACAGCTCATTTAAATATCAGAGAGAAAGAGTTCAGGCGAAACCTCCTCCAGCCTGTATGGTGATTACTCAACTCTGGAACATAAGGGGAATCACAGGAGCAACAAAGAGGACAGGTTTGAAGACAAAGACAGCAGGTGATGGATGCCAGCGGCAGGGAGAGAAAGTTGCAGTTTAGAGACAGAGGGAGGAAGAGAACACGGCTGAAGTAAAGAAAGAAGAAGGAAAAACGTTAGACACGATATAGGGCTGGGCAATAAAACAAAAATTTACCAATAACGAAATTCACGTCAATAACCAATATCATTTTGCCCATATTGATATATTCGGTGTCAAAAAAATAATCAAAAAAAAGTTGGTTTTGGATGTGTATAGGTAGGCTATGGTCTTATGTCCCTTTAAGACGCTGACCTACGTCAGAGATGTGACTCCACCCCATCCAGTCTGTAACAAAGAGGGAAAGCCAGGGGAGGAGATGGAGGGCTGTTCAAAAGTTGGAGTAGACAGAGTTAATGTGGAAGGGGGTGAGCAGCTTGTGGAGTAGTTATCGTCCATTTATCCTTATCGAGGTGAACTGTTCAATATATCATGATATTGATTTAAGGCCATATCACCCAGCCCTACATAAGGATATTGAAGGGGAGAAATACTGTCATCTTTTCTTAACTGAGCTAATCTGGGGGAGAGATGATGTGCAGTTTCCTTAAAACATATGATGAAAACTTCTCTCAAAACGGCAGACAGAGAGCCCGAGAGCCAGCATGTATGTCCCCCTACTCATGAAGCTGTTTAAATGATCCGTTCCTCTTTTTCCTTACATATCTTCTAAAAAGGGTATTCTCATGTGGGTTTCAAATCCCTGTATCAAATTCCACCCCTGGTAAATGACAACTACACAACCCTGCAAACCCTCACACAAGTGCAAATCAACACCCATGAACTACTGATTGTGCAGCGTGATCAATTAAAACTCCTCTTTTGCAACAAAATCACATATACAGTATGTCAGCATGGCTACATCTGACCCATTGCTATGTTTTATAATGTTACATAAACAGTCAATGTGCCCCCCTCCCATTTTCCTCTCTTTCTTTTGTTCATCTCAGAGACCTCTCATGTGTCATCTTGCTTTAACTCCTCACTTAATGACTAAATTGGAAAGGTTAATAATCCTGATCAGTGAGGTCCACCATCTCCCGCTCTGTATGAATCCTTAATGCTGCCGTGTCCCTTTAAACTCTTCTGCCTGGAAATAAATTCCCCGAAATTACCAAAATGGATAGAGGGAGTCATGTTTTAGCTACAGAGCTAAGGCACAGTTTGGCTTCTTCTTCTTTTTTCTTTCTTCCTTTCTTTCTTTTTTCTCCTCTCACCTTTGACCGTCCTATGTCTCTCTCTCTCTCTCGGCTCATTTCCCTTCCTCTCTCGTAGACCTGCAGTTTGTTGGACTGCTTTGTCTAATTACACATCTCATCATATCCACACACAGCCAAAGGCTCTCAGCAGTCCTCACACATTATTGCTGTAGTGAGACCTTACAGAGGGGTGGTGTGGGACTCTGACAGAGGGGACGTGCTTGGAATAATTGATCCCAAGACAACAGCAGAGGAAAATTACAGATGCAGACTGTTATCTCTAGAAGAAAAAAAAAAAAAACCAGAAAACAAACAACCTATCTAACGTAATTTACAAGCAATGATGAGATAAACACTTGGATAATATTTGTGAATGTTTATTGGGACAGCTTGCTCTCCCTCCAGGCTCATGCCAGGTACTCTGCAGTCACCCATCAAACCCTGGATACTTTCCTGTCAGCGCAGCCAGCTGGTGAGGCAACGGCTGCCTCGCACCTCACCGCTCACTGCTTTTCCTCAGATGTAGACCTGACATCTCTAGGGCGCATTTTGAATTGAACAGCTGCCTCAAATGCGTTGGATCACTTTCAGCATTGTAAATCTTCAGGAGATGGTCTGCTCAGACTAAACTTCAATACTCTAGGACTGAACAGAAGGTGAAGGTGCCTTTTAATACGTAAATATGGTACAGTTTTTTTTTTTTTTTTTATCAGTCTTTTTTTGGGAAATGATGGTTGAGTTTTTGGCTGTGACTTGAAAGCGCAAATGCACAGAGAGGTGATGGATGCACTGAAGGAGAAAAAGGAAAAGAAGTGATGGTAGGGGGGAAAAGTACTGCATCGCCATGACTTTGTGATACCTTAACTAGGGCTGGGCAATATGGAAAAAAAGTTGTCATCATCTGTTGAGCCTTCATCTGCATTTCTGCCGGAGGTAGAACTCTTTTTTTTTTCTAACCGACAGTGCTGTCAGCTTCACGTGTTAGTACAAATGTACATTAGTTACGTGAAGCTGCAGCCTGCTACTAGCAGTTTTTTGCTACTTGGTTCTAATTCAGCATGATTGGCTCAGCCAGGCGCAACCCAGAGCGACTCCCCTTTTCATTGGCTATTCATATAGTCTACCAAAACATGGCAGAATGCCAACTATCGAAGAGCATATAGACCTTGTTTCATATTGATATTGAGGGAAATTAATTTTTGATATATATCGTTATCATTTTATCGCCCAGCTCTAACCTTTACCTATCATGTCATGCTCAAACTTACTTTGTTTATTCTTAAGGTTGATTGGACCTCATCAATTTAATCTTAGGAAGGTTGTGGTTTTTTGTCTTTTGGTAGAACTGAATCTTTGTGCACGACAAGGGCAGAGCTACCACATACCTCAAGAAGAAGAAAGCATGCGGCATATAGCATTGAAAAACACAGAGTAGCAGAATCTATGTTCAGCCAAAACGCTACTAAAATACACACAACAAAGGACCTTTTCCAGCCTGGATTGTACTGACTAACTCTTCACATCTAGAATCACTTCAGCTTTGTCACTGGGTCAGCTTTGTCTTGTTTCTCTGCCACCAAAGTGTATGGCAGACAAGAAATGAACAAGCAGAGGCTTTGGGAAGCATATGCCCTCACCCTCAGGGTGCAGGAGATACTGAAGTTAATGTGGGTATCATGCCATGTGATGATCTGTGTCTGCTCAAAATAAACAGGTGGCTTCCTCCCTTTATGTGGCATCAGTGCAATTGGGGAAAGAAAAATGAAGGAAAGAGAAACGGATGTGGTTGGGAAAATGTTTTTTCCTGTGCTATTTTCATAACCCCTCTTTTATGAGTTTGTGATATTCTGGTGAAAGAGGCTTGACAAAAGTGCAAGAGGCTAGTCTAGGATTCCCATGCTAGCTCCCTACATGTTCTTCTTCATCTAAGCAATGTATTATTAATAACAAAGGACATGAAAGCCCAGGCTGCTGCAACTGAATGAATTACAGATGAAACTCTCCTGCAGGCCAAGGTTAAATCGAGACCAAAAGAGATTTAAATGTCGACTGAGTTACAGAAAAAACACTCACACAAAGGACACAATTTTCATTATTTCCAAGTAATAAAAGAAAATGAACTCCATAAATCGTAAGTCTTGGGGCCTGGTCTACTAAAAGTTTGTGTGTATAAAAAGATGTGCAAACTTGATAGCGCACACAAAGCTGATCTACAAACCGGGTGCACCGATTGCGTCAGAACATGCAAAATACAGAGGTGAGGAGATGCAAATGGAATCATTTAGCACCCACAATGTGATTTGTCAAACACTGAAACTGATTGAGGTCACTATTTTTGCATCTTTGTTTAGCACATTGGAAAAGCGGGTGTAAACTGGCACAGCTTTACGCACAAACGACTACAGTAATTGTGGCAAGAAGGAGGCCAAAGAGCAATGACAAATGTTGCCCATGTCAACATATTTGGACTGTCAGAAATAAAAATACCAGAGTAATAGTAATAGTAACAGTAATGCCATTTTGAGCTGCTGGGTAACTTAAGGACTGATTTGGAGCCAGTCACAAAAAGGATCTGTGCCATACCTCAGACGGAAAAACTCCTCGTCACACTGTATGGAATAGAATAGAATAGAATATTCCTTTATTGATCCCCCATGGCGGAAATTTTTTTGAACTCCATTTTTGTATTTTCCTGTGTCTGGATCATTCCAGCGCACCATCACAGTTACTGTGTCTCCCAAAGTTTTCCAGTGTGCTATCCCAAGTGTTAAATGCTATGTCACACAGGATGGGCATTCCCATGCACTTGGGATGCAAAACGATAGGTGCAACTCCATGGCTTCAATAATCATTTTTCGTTTATGGGCACTGTGCTCTCCTAAACTCTTCACAGTGACAGTCGGTATAATCCTCAATAAATACGGTGGTCTGCACCACTTTTGCACCTGTTATCAATTGCTCACACAATCAGAGTAGATCACCAGCAACTTGCCCACAAATAGCACATGCAATTTTTTTAGTTTGCACACACAATTTAGCACTCGTTATTTGGTATCTCAGTATATCATACCCAAAGTGTTCAAGCTGTTTTCCCTTATTTGTTCCTCATGACACCTACAGTTCCATTATTGTTTTCACACCATGTCTTCTCCAGAGCAGGCGTTCACAAAGGCAATTCAACTCATTTAACATTGTCTGTCAGAGATGACAAACAAACTCCAGCTGCTAAATTGAAACACACCTCCCTGCAGAGGGCAAATAACGAGGGGACAGAGGGGAGTTAAGTAAATGATCATCCAGAGAGTGCAATTGAAAGGAACCCAAAGGGAGGAATGGTCTGTGTGGTAATGCGGTTGAAATTACATATTGATTTGGTGCCCTGGTGGCAGTGGAGTTTTGATGATGCACAGAGGTGGGTGCTATGAAACAGGAATAGAAGGTAAACTGAGTCTTTTGAACCAAAAGCCAGTGTTTCCTCTCCTTTACCTGGTCAATGACCCATCCAATGGCAATAGCTATAAGGGCAATGAAAAATCTTTGTTAAAATGAGCTACCATTCATTTTTACCTCCGCCAAGGAGGTTTTGTTTTTGGTAGCGTTTGTTTGTTTGTTTGTTTGTTTGTTTGTCTGTTAGCAACTTTAAAGAGAAAGTTACAGACAGATTGACCTGAAATTTTCACCAGAGGTGCGTCTCAGCCCCAGGAGGATCTCATTAAATGTTGGTGGTGATCCTGATCGCCTTCTGGATCCAGGAATTTTTTGAAGGATTCTTTATCATTGTGAGATAGGGCAAATTTTGGAATTTTTGCATTTAACTCTATAAAAATGTCCAGAGTCTTTAGTAAAAAATTACACATAAGGATCTCTATGAGTTTTATGAGGTGTCAAAGGTTGATCCTGATCCAGACAAAATTCCGGATACTGTGATCCAGAACACACAAAAATAAGGGTGTCGTTGGAATTTTCAATGCTGAAAGATAACCAATGAAGATACAAACATGCAACTACCACCATATTGTAGCCAAGACTCTACTGAATCAGAAGTATGCAAACAGATTTGACGTATGTTCAATAGGTACATCGCTAGATCCAGAAGAAAACCGCCATTATGGAAATATCTATTTTTGCAAATAACTAATGTGGTAATAGTGATAGAAGCCTAATTCCAAATGCTATGACTATGTTTTCATGGTCAAAGAATACAATCATTTTGAAAAAATGAATGTAGAAGTATTAGTTTCAGGTGAAAGTCAGGAATACACAATATCAGTAGTACACAAAGTGTGAGCACTACAAACAGCAAAATATAGTAGTTAATTTCAGTGGCGCAAGCAACATAATAAAACACTGAAATCATTGCAGCATTATAATAATAATAAAAGACACGTAACAGTAAAAGTTTTGGTGTGAATCACAATATAAGGGGGGACATGAGCTGCTTGGCGGAGGTCTTGAGTGCTTTTCTAGTTATGTATGAAAAACATAAAGGATTCAACATTTAAAATTCAGGGATCAACAAGCTGATAGTTTATTGGTGTCAGTGAAATTTTTGAGGGTCTCTCTAAATGAATCTTAATCCAGTGTGGCTGTGAAACCACCTGTTCAATAGGAAGATTGGAAATCCATCTGCATACTTAGAGCTATCTTCAGGTAATGGCTTCAAGTAAAAGAGATTTATAGTTAATAGGCTCACATATTTGGAATTACTGGCTCTTTCTGCAGCAGAGTTTTTATCTGCATCAATGGAGCTCACTTACCGGTGTGAAGGCACGCTCACTGACCTTCTAAAAGGTACCATTCTGCCAAGGAAAAGCTAACACCTCATTTATCTGGCAGCCAAAGCAAATAGCAGAAACCACAGGAGGCCTGTGGAGCTGGCAGTGTGATCTGTGGCTGTGACAAGAGCAGTCTGAGCTCTTGGCTTAAGGAAAAAGGAATGGATGTGTGTGAAAGTAAATGGCTGTAAATGGCATGGTGGGTAGTTCAAAGCCAATGTGAAGTGATGCATGCCTTGAACTTTTGAAGTTTACATCCTGTGTCCATAAGTTTGAAGGGAACTGAGCAAAAGTCTGTGGTGTACGAAAATGTTTTCCTATTAAACAGCAATGGAACGTTAAAATGCATCTAACTCAGGTGAGCTGTTTCACTACTTGGACCATCCTGTACTTCTTTGTAACTAAATAAAAAATAAATAAAATACACCCATTGTTGAGTGCACAAATGCACAACATACAAACACATTATCCACATTTACATGGGCAAAATTTCTTTATCCGGTTAAAAATTTGAGGGATTGGATAATCTGAATTCACTGTTTATATGGGCGCAAAAACAAATAATCCGATCATGACGTGCGTATACATGCACCAAGCTTTATTCAGATTAGAGGCATTTGGACATGCGCAGTGTTGTCTAGTATCGCTAAAACAACCGAGAAGGAAGAGTTGTTTTCTGCCTGTGCTGTCAACAAACCAACAAACGCAGTAGTGGCTCACTTCATCCAATTCAGGATTCCTCCTCTTGTTAAATGTTGTCACTCGATGGTGCCCTTGCGGACTTATTTTTACTGTCCTGTCAAAGGTTGCACTGTGCGTGCAGATGTGATATCATTACACTGTATGTACGCCTTGTTATGTTAACGGAGGAGCAGACATGACGGCTCCTGCAGTTGTGTTTTATGCCAGAGTGTTAATAATGAAACCGCCTGTACTGGCCTCAATAAATAAGCCAAAGGCTGAGAGTGAAGATTGAGTCAAGTAAGAGAGTCACGATCAGACTAAGTGTTTACATGGACACGTTCTGGAATAACGATCGGCACAAACCACCCCTCTCAATCGGAATACAATTTCTTTCCAATCAGAATCAACTGGATCAGAATCTTCCGATCGACATGTTTACATGACACATTCTTATTCCAATTGGGCATTTATTCCGATCATTTGTGCCAATGTAAACTCAGCTACTGATGCACAAACCCACCCTCAGAGCCTCTCTCCGGCAGTGGGGTTATTTTTTTTATAGGATTGCTGAGGAGAGACAGGTAATGTGGGGAGTTGAGAGAGGGGAGTGGGGGATGACATGCAGCAAAGGGTCATGGCCTGGAGTCAAATCATTAACCCCTTGGAGTACAGCCTCTGTACATGGACCGCACACCTATTCCACTTCTGACCAATATTGGACCTTTGATCACTTTACTCATTATATAACATAAAACAATTGATGAACAAGTTAGCAAGATTCTTACTTGTGTGGACAACTGTCTACATTTTATCATTGGTTCCATTGAGATGCATGCTATCTCTTAGGCTACTTTATTCATTTGCTTCCTTCCAGGTAAAGCTGACTGCAACTGTGGGGCATGCTCAGAATGTCTGGACCAGTTTACAATAAATACTTGTAAGGATCTCCTTTGTAGAGACTGCGCATCTTAAAGGCCTGATCCTTAAATCAACCCTGGACAACCCACTGAGGTGAGTTTGCAAACATCCACTTCACAGCTTTGAGCAGCTTTTACCTGCTTGGAAAAGCTTTTGGAGGCTGCAGGAACATGGCTCCTTCACTGTTCAGTCTAGTATTTTCCCACTGAGAGAAGAGGAGAGAAGGGAAGGTAACCTCCTCTTTTCAGAGTCTCTGATCCCCTCTCGGTAAGAACAACAAAGGCCATTCAATGAAGAGAGCCATTCAGAGGTCAGCCTCAGATGAATGAGGTGCCTGTAGTCCTGCAAGCTTAGATATATGTGTGTTTTTGGCATCTGAGGACACAGGGAGACCCATTTGGGAGGATAGAAAAGGGACAGTGTTGGCAAGGCTCAAAACTTTGAAATAAAAATGGTACTAATACACTCACACAAAACGTGAAGTTGATGAATTTCTACACCCAGTGGCCAATTTGTTAGGTACACCTGTTTAATCTACTGATATTTTAACACAGTCATCTCTTTATTTTATAGAGAATGGTAAGAAAAAGAGAAAATATGTGGATGTGGATGAAAATGCCTTGTTAATGTCAGAGGTCAGAGGAGAATGGACAGACTGGTTCAAGATGGTAGACAGGCAACAGTAAGTCAAATAAGCACTCGTCACAATCAAGGTATGCAGAATATCTGCTCTGAACGCACAACACATCAAACCCTGAAGCCGATGGGCTCCAGCAGCAGAAGACCACGCCAAGTGCCACTCCTGTCAGCTGAGAGCAGGAAACTGAGGCTTCAATTCGCACAGGCTCACAAATGATTGGAAAAATGTCAACTGGTCTGATGAGCCTGGATTTCAGCTGTGACGTTCAGATGGGTCAGAATTTGGTGTAAACAACCTGAGAGCATGGACCCATCCTGCCTTACATCAACAGTTCGGGCTGCTGCTGGTGGTGTTGTGGTGTAAATGGTAATTTGACTTTTGACAGTACTGACAGGACACTTGGTCTGCTATGAGTTTTACAACGCACTATATTAAAATCAAGATGAAGTTTCACCTCAACACCTAAAGGCTGTAAAGTGAAGATGAAGAATACTAAGGGTGAAAAAGTATTATCAGGACTGAGAGCATTTACAATTTAATTGAGGGATGCTGCTCTGAATGTAAGCAAACAAACAAACAAAAAACAAGAAAGTATTTCTCATGTTGACTTTCCGCACCTTTTAGCACATCTCTGATCTGACCACACACACACACACACACACACACACACACACACACACACACACACACACACACACACACACACACACACACACACACACACACAGTCTGCATTGCTTCTGCAGGAGTAAACTCAACCATGTTTGTCAGATGATTTATCACCGTGGCCAAGGTCTGCAGCTGCCCCGGACCATCCAGCTGTTTCCCTGTTTATCTCACATCTGTCTGACTCTCTTTTAACATCTCTCGTTAAAACTTTATTTTTTAACTCCTTCTCCATTCATTACTACAAAAGTGAAATCTCAGAGAGAAAAAATATAATCCACTGCTTTTTGTCTTTAGCAAAATACTGATGAGAATTTAAGAAATATATATTTTTTTACTGAAAGATATACTAAATAAAAAAGCTGAACTGAAAAATCACATATCCCTCTTCATTTATGTGCAAGTTTATGTAGGAGTTTATGTGCAAGGCTTATTTTGGTACAATGACAATTAACTGCACTACTTTTCTATACCCATTAATTCCTGTGATAACTTTATGTGAACCAAAACCTGGATGGATTTCGACATAGGGCTTTATTATTATCACTCTGGTGCCATAGTTTCATAAACAGCTCGGCGGTGTTAAATCCAAACAAGCAGAATGAAGAAGAGAGGGACAGACAGAAATCATTCTCTTGACAAAAGCTAACTTCTTCTCTTCTCTCGTTTTCATTTTTTTAAATAATTTCTGTCAGATTCAGGATTTATTGAGAATCTACAAATTCAAATCATAAGCTTGCCCACACACACAAAAAAAATGTGCCTCTCTTTGGGGAACTGTGGTGCTCAAGTGGAAAACAACATCAATCTGAAAGCCTCTCAAGCACGACCAGTTTAGCAGCTCATCAGAGTCTGACTGATACAGCTCATACAACAATGATGCAAACCATCAGATACTTGATATCCTTCAGTGAGGCATCTGTCTGTCAAGGACTGGCTGTGAGGATCTGCTCTGGCCAGTTTTTACTCACCAGAATATTCAAACCATGAAGCGGATACAACAGACTCTGCTTCAGGAGCTGTCCGGTGCTGAAACCACATTAAGCGCCCACAGGGAGCCTTTCTGTTTCTGAAGATGAAGTCAGACAGGAAAACACCAATGCAATGGCAAAACAAACAGCTGTGAAGTGTTTGCTTTTCCTCCAGGGTGTTTTAAGAAGTGACTAATGGAGAAACAATTCAATTCAGATCTACTGATGGACAACAACGATAGTGACAAAGCAATCCAAATTGGTAGAACATAAAGGGCTTAAAGTAGCCTCCATTAAAAAAGCATCGTCTCCTCCAATCACTCGTTGATGCTCCAATGTGTCACTGTTATTAATTAAGCAAACAACTGTTACCCGTTTTCATCACTTATTTATAATATCTGATGGGGAAATTGCTTCCTTTGAATAATACATTTGGTGGGGAAAAGGGGGAGGGGGGTAATGAATATTCAGGAGCAGTGTCTGAAGGGATTATGGCAAAATACCGTTTTTTTTCCTCCTTGCCTCCTGGGCTTTGTCTGCTCTGACACTGGCCAAGATGTTCCAGCTGAGCTGCTCATTTGTTTGGCTCTCACTGCATTGGCTAGTTCAATCTGGCCACTGCTTGGCCATTATGTTACCAGCCAAGGCAACGCTAGCAGCAGCAGCAGCAGCACACTTGAGCTTCTGCGCCATCTGCTTGGGTATAGATGTGTCAGTCAAGCAGGCACCTTTTTTACTGGCAACGGCGAATAAAACTGATTAAACATGAGCTAACAGGCTTGACAGCTGTATTTACATACACAGCAAAGACGTTTACACAAACAGAATCTAATGTGTGGAAAAGCTGCACTGTTGCCACTGATTGGATCATGGTTTTATGATTGAATAAATCTACCAGCATTCCTCCAAAGACTCTTACCACCATGGCAAAAAAAAAAAAACGCTTTAATCATTCGCAACAAACACGGTGAGCCTAACAATTCAGCAAAAATTTACCACACTCAGTACCTCCTTTTCCATTGAAGTAAGGTTAGAGCCCCCTTCAAGCAACAAAAGGATCAGACATGAAAGCATACAACACTAAGGAATTTGTAGCTAATGGCCCTCTAGTCAAAGTGCAACAACTCCAGCCAGATTCACCCTGATGCCAAATAGGTGTTTGGATGCTCTCCCATAGTTTTATCCTGCCAAGATGGCTTTATGTGGTTGAAGTGCAGCAGAAGGGTTCATTTTAGGCATACTCTTATCTGTGCTGAATGTCTGTAAGAATTTGTTGTTTCCTATTCACTTGCTTGGACACAGCTCAAGTGCAAAATTGAATTCCTGCCCATTCAAGACTTCTACAAGTGTCTGTGCGAAGCTGAGCACAGCCAGGCAGAGAAGACACATTACTGAAATATGTGCAACACAACCTCAAGGAAAGCTTACATCTTAATTTGTTCTGTTTCTTTCTTTTTTTCCTTTCTTTTTTTCTCTCTTGTTTCTTTCCTTGCCCACAGTTAACGTGGATCCAACAGGAAGCAGTCAACCCTTCTCAAGTGGAGTATTGTTTATCTGTTGTAAAGCCTCATCACACAGAAAATGTGAAGGTAGAGGCAGTGAACCGGCAAAAGGAAAGAAAAGACCACCTCTTTTGAGAACAGAGGTGTGAAACAGAAGAGTCTGTGATCCATAAACAAAGCAAAACAAGAGAAGAAGGAGATAAAAGGAGGAAGACAGGGAGACAAATACCGAGACCATCTTTAATATGCATGAAGGAGAAGCCTGCAATGTGGAGCCAGTTCCTGTAAGTACAACAGGAGCTGAAGATGCTCATAGTTCACTAACACTAGCCAAGAACTGGATACAGAGGTAAGCTGCAGCTTTAACACACGCACAAAGCCACACACAGCTGCTCAGTGTGTGAGAGGGAACATTTTGGAGTCAATCGTGGCATGAAAATAGGGCTGCGTGCTACCCTGTGTAAGCTGGAGACGGAAACACCTGATCCATCAGACAGCACCTCTACAGTTAACAATTTCACCCCGCAAGATGTCAGGATAATTCTGCAGCGCTGACAGGAAATGAAGTGAAATTTCTTAATATTTGTGCAGATATCACACATGTATGGAAAACAATGATAAGAGAATAAGAGGCATAAAAAAGAGCAAGACAGAGAGAGAGCATAAACCTCACAAACTGACAACTGAATTCCTGCCTAATTTTCCAAGCAGTCATGAGCAACCCTGTTTCTTCCATCACTGCCACTATTGATGTAGCTCATACACTGACGTTTCACCCTGAGATAATCAAAGACAAATCATGTTTTTTTTTTCTCTTTACACCATAGAAACAACATCCCTCATTTGTGAAATACTTAAAATGGGCTGCTGTGCCCTGACCTCCTCCACTCTGATCAATGTGTAGCTTAGAGAGGATGCTGTGAGCAGAAACAAAGATAACAAAGTGACCTGTTTGTGGATTTAAGGTGCCATCCAAGACATCTCAGGTTTCTGTCTTTGGTGTGCTGACTGTAGTAACAACCCAGCTTCACCACCTAATTCTATTCATCCAGCAGCTACCTCTGCTTCTGTCTACTTCACATGGAGGCTTCAAATGAGGAGAGAAAGGCCTGTTTATTCCCACAGGAGGTTGAATAATTAAAAGAGTGACATGGTAAGTTTGATTATTTACGTTGATTTGTAATACTACATCTCCAGTCCAGGTTTAAGAGAAACATGGTGCAGTGTCAGGGTTAAAAGTTGACAAAGGAGGAGAAGATGAAGGGGCATGAATGTATAGGCACAGAAACTGTATATCTGGGTCCCTCTGTCGAAATGTTGCATCTACATTGACATTCTGTAACAGTTCCAACATGCCAAATTATCAGATTTCTGTCCATTTCAGCCCAATATAAAAATCACTGTAGGAAAATACAGTGACTGGTTTAACAGTTTAGAAAAACACACATCTTCACTTCTTCATCCATTCACAGTGCTGATAGTAAATATGAGCAACATATACCATTTTCAGTACCACTATGGACAAGAAACCCATAAAAGAACACACTTTGCTATTTAGACCAAAACCCCTAAAGATAATTTGCTGAACTTGCTTTTACCTTTTGTGTGATGTTTGGTCCAGTCCTCGGTGTAGACACGGAGCAGCCGGTATCGCCACAGACCGGGTACAGCGACGCGTAAAAAGCCCTGCAAGTGCTGTCAAAAAGGAAACGACACGGGATGCCCAGTGGGAAGGAAAATGCCGAAAGCTCCGGTATCCTTTTGCATGGACAGAATTAAGAAATGTCAGGTACAGTGGTCCTATTTCTGTCGAAAAGGGGGCGAGGTAGCAGCCGCGATGAGTGGATGAGCGCCAGGCTGATGCTCACCTCTCCAGCAGCTGAGCGCGACTGAACAAAAGAGCGCTCTTGCTATTCTAATAGGAGGGGGGGACCTCAGAGAGGGGGTGCACTGATCCACGGGTGACGTAAACACCAAAGTTCCGCCATCGAGCACCACAAACACCAACACTTCACTCAGAAATGCTCGATTAACCTCAGTTTATCGATAGAAAATAGAGCTGATAACACTTTTTCCCCCCTCGTTTTTAGAGGTAAAATTGTAGCTACAGCCCCGGGCACAAAACACTCATGCAGCTAATAGCCCTGATCCCTTCATGTAAATCACAAGATATGAAAGTGACATGATATGGCATCTCTGCTTCATTGTACCTCCATAAATCCAGTTTAGCTTGTCTGGGCGCAATAATCAATTAATCAATCAATTCACCGATTCACAGCTAATGTTATCTCAATACACTATACAAAGACAGCTGGCCCAGACCCTACTCTGTAATTATGTTTACAAAGACTCAACATCAAGATGGGATAAGATTGAGTCCCAGAACCTGGCTCATGTAGACAGTCATCTGCCGCCACTAGGTTGAGTTTAGAGGGAGGGAGACAGAGAAAGACAGAGATGGAAAGAGACAAACAGTAACAATAATAGAAAATACAGATATGGCTGCAGTGCCAGAGATAATAGTATTTAGAGGGACAGCATATGATAATTACAGACTGATGTTTGTTTGATTTTTACGACAAATTAAAGTCAGAATTAATATAATGAGTAATAATAAATCTGAAGAAAAAAAGGTTTAACACTAATTTCATCAGCACATAATCAGAGGATGAGGGTGGATGGCATCCCCCCTGAAATCAAAATGGTCAGTGAATGTGTGCGCATGGAGTCATGCACACACTCACGCACACACGCCAAACATTTCCCTCCCCGCCAGCGTCGCTTATTACCCACAAAACAGCGCTACTTTTCCTTCTCCCTTCTCCCTTCTCTGTCGGACAGGGTAACCAATGCTGCACATTTTGGAGCTCTATCAGTTAACTTTAACACATATTTTCATAGATATTTATTTCTCCACTTACTTGCCGGGCGTCCATTCACGCCATCATGCCGGCTGCTGTTTCCAAAAGAGAAACAGAGCGCGTGATTTCCGGGTGTAAAAAAGGTAAGTATGGAGGGTCAATGTAGTCACATGATGCAAGAAAACTGAATTCCCTCGCTGCTTGCCATGAATCCCTAAAAATTTAATGCTCCATTTATTTGTTTAAAAACTTTGATAAAATGGTAAAAACTTACAGAGAAAGGACTTCAGGTTAAAAATGGTTTTAAGTGAATAAATGTGTTTTTTTCTAAACTTATGTAATTGATAACGCCCACTGGGAGGGGCTGGGGGGCGTTAAAATAAGGCTGCCTTAGCCTTTCTCTGAGCCTGGAGTTTGTTACATTAAAGGTAAGAGCCAAACTAACTTCTGTTTTGCTGCTGTGTTTCTGTTTTTATTTATTTTTTCTTTTTCTTTTTTTTCTCTTGAGTTATAGTGGAGCCTTGTACATTTTCTAAATAGTATTAAACCATTTTTTGCACTTTTGTCAATATTTTTGCACTGCACTTTGGAAGGCAGGCTGTCAATAATTATCACCATCACTGTATTTTTCTGACTACGCCTGTGGTTTTCCACTCTATTTTGATTGTTTGAGTGAGAACGCTAACCCACCATGTGCACTGTCAGCAGAACAAAATATCTGTCCCAAACAATAAAATCCACCATCCCCCCTAATTTTTCTTTTTTTTTCAAAACTCGACTACTAAACATAATGACTAACATAAGCTTTTTAGCTTTGAAATTGGTGAGAATGATGATCATGTTTGAAGCAGCTGGAAAGCAGGCAGGTCCATATCAGCAGGAAAAGAGCAGTGGTAATTAGAGGAACCTACGGGGTGATGGAGCTCATTACTAACCACAGTCTATCCCTGCAGAAGAGACTGTTGTTAGTGACTCTGCTGCGACATGATGACACAAAGTCAGTGACACATAGACAGAGAGAGGATGGCGAAGGAGAGAAAGGTACTAGATATGCAGTCTAAACCTATAAACTGTCCCAAGCCAAAACCAGCTCTACCTCCTAACTTTAACAAAAAAAGAAAATTTTGCGCCTTTGGGTGTAACATTAGGAGAGGAGTATGTAGTTTGGCATTGGCAGTGTCCTATACTAAACAATTTATGTGTCCAAGGTGGTTTCAAAATATTACATTGATCCTAAGCTTAAAACACCTAAAATATCAAACCTTGCCTGCATACACTTCAATTAATGTAGGTCAAGTCTTCGCAGGACAGTTGGCATCATTATTGTTGATACTGCGCTTGTTAAAAGCACACATGGTTCTGCCTGCAGTCATATAGGCTGAAATATACGGTGTGAGGGGCCCTCTGCTTTGTTGTATGTACAGAATAATGATCCCCCAGGAGATGTCACATCACTTTCAGGGAGATCTGCTGTTGGGCTGCTTGAGCTGGAAGGTTGCAATACAGATCACTGAAAGGAAGAAAAGGGAAGCGCACTTATGCAGTAGCTTACTCAAGGAGCTGTCCATTGTGCTGCCATCACTGAACCATAGACTGTATATACTGGACAACTTGGTTCTGCCTTTCGCAAGTATACCGATTTGAAGCTGAAAAGCTCTCGGTAATTCCAGTTTTTTTTCTCCACTTCCTGAAACCAACATTGCGCAATAGCATTGTACGAATTCGGCGGGAGAGTCGCAGAGAGTGGCTGTGATGACACTCAACTAAAACAGCATATACCCCGGGGTGAGCTACGCAATCTTCGTACACCCATAGGCTGTATCAAGTGTCAATCATAGAAAACATGTATATTCTGTGTAATAAATTATAAGGTTTGTCTACAACTCCATAAGAATGGTTGGCTGAGGCGGGATTTGTAACCTATACTGCAGCCCGTCACCAGAGGGAGCTGTTCTTCGGGTGGCTTCACCCAGCAAGGAGCCAGACGAATTAGGCACTGAACCTGCTCTTTATCACGAATCAGCAGGCTCTGATGACTTTTCCTGTCGTTTTTTTTGGGGGGGTAAAGGCCAACTACTCTTGAATTTTTTAACTAATAGAGTCCAACGGGTCCTTGTAAATGGTCACATGTGCAAACCTTTATTGTCCAACACTGGTTCTCCTCAGGGCTGTGTCTTCTCTCCCCGGCGTTTTATCCTGTACACAGATAGCTGTAGGGCTTGCCAAGACAGCAGCTAACTTGTCAAATTCTCCGATGACATGGCTCTGCTGTCTCTTCTTGAGGGTTCTGAGACAGGTCATGGGGATGCTTTATCAGCGTTTGTTGAATGGTGTGATAACAGCCTCCTGGACCTCAATGTCCAAAAGACAAAGGAACTGATCATCGACTTCAGAAGGAAAGGCCCAGGGCTTTCACCTGAGGCTAGCATCATCCATGGAGTAAAAGTTTGCAAATCGTGGACTCCTACAAGTATCTTGGAACTTTGTTTGACTCTGACCTAAAGTTTGTGTGCAATACAGAGTCAATAGTTAAACGTGGCCAACAAAGGATTTACTTGTTGCGGAAGTTGAACTCCTTTGGTGTTTCTGAGGGGATTTTATCTTGTTTTTATCATTTTTTTATTGAAAGTCTGTTAACATTTTCTTTCATCTGCTGGTTTATGGGACTATCAGTAAAGGACAGAAACAGCCTGAACCAGATTATTAAAGTCTGCTCCAAGATTATAGGAGTGCAGATGACAAACCTGACCTCTCTTTGGGAGAAGCGTGTGGTCAAGAAAGCCAGAGGAATTTTGGATCGGCCCGGACATATTCTGTTCTCTGACTTTCTTCTTATGCCTTCTGGGCTGCGCTACAATGCATCCCCAAGGAAAACGAACAGATACTCAAAACTCTTTTATCCTCTCAGCCATCAGGCTTTTAAATGCCGGGAAGTAGGCTGATGGTCATAGTTGGCCTGTGCTGAACTGGAGCTTCAGGAGTGTTTTATTTCCTATCTTGTGTCTCATACTTGTGGATCTTATTGTATTTTAACCACTGATCTGTGGAATTTGACTGCTTATTGTACTTATTTAGTTATCTATTGTGGATCCTGCTGATCTGTGAGTACTGACAAGGGAATGTGGTTGTCTACTGGCTGCTATTAATGTCTCGCACTTGTCTGGTTTGTTTGTCTGCTAATTTGTGTGTTTGGATGGATCAAACGGCAGGGTAACTGTGAATGGAATTGTCCTTAGGGAATAAATAAAGTTGTCTGAATCTGAATCTGAATCTGAATCTGGATCCCAGTATTCAGTGAATGCAAATCAATAACGGATGCATGGTGGTGTTTTCTTTTAGGCAGCACTTGCAAGGGGATTTTATGTATTAGTGAAAGCGTCATCCATAGACTAACCATAGACTAACCATCCATAGACTTCATGCTGCCTCCATATAGAGACTGGTACCCTCTGACAGGATAGATAACGAATCTCTGAAGCTGTCTGAGTGTCTCTCTGAGGCTCATCTGTCCTCTCGGCCTGTCTCAACATTTCCCTGATTCTGTGACTCCTAATGTGTCCAAAAAAGTTGTTAATTTCACAACCACCCACTCACTGACAGGCTTAGACAGACATGTTGTCTCGTAGAGCTCAGTTAGCATTTAAATACATGTGCTGTGAAAGCTTTTTAAAGATCTCTTAGCTCACACAGCCCCACAGGTTTATAAAACCCTCTTAGACTGCCTTCTCTGGAGCTGCTGTCACCATGACGATTCAGGCTTGTCATTTCTCTTCTCATTAGTAATAATTGTGAGCAGAAAAAAACTACCATGGTTACAGTCTGAATCTTAATCCCTTGGGGTTACTTTACAGTAGTGGGTCTTGGGTTTTTTGAAGTGCGTCTTGCTGGAGGTAGGATCTGGTTTTTTTAGACTTTCTGTAATATATACAACAAGAAGATGACAGTTCATTAAAAAGTGCACTATATACCAGTGTGTTTTATTTCTATCATGCAAAGCCTTTTCCTAAAGTGTTGAAACTGGAGTCAGCGC